TTGTCTTATTCCGAGATTGAACCGTCAAAGATTCTATACGGAATTCTTCAGGAGATGGATTGATGTTGATCCGTTCACAATGTTGGCATCTAAAACCTCTAATTATTTCATCTGATATTCCTCTACCTTTCCCCTGTCCCGACGAACTTCCTTTGGTATAATCTGAAGCGTCTAATCCGTCGTTCGGTTGCTTTCTTGAACAGACCCGACTGGACCGACTTTTTGGAGATTGCATGGCTGCTCCCTGCTCGTTGGTTGTTTGTTCTGTAAAGACTCTAATGGACTGATCTCCTGCCAAGTGGTCGGCTGCTTTTTGCTCGTCGGTTAGTTGTTTTGCTGAAGGAACTCGTTTCCCATACTTCGCAGCATACCTGCGTTTGGCATTGCGAATCTGTGTACGATTCATACCTGGGAAACGAGGGTCTATATCAACTGGTAAAGGCTTTTTATTTCGAGCCCAATTGTTCCCGACTGACCCTGTTTTTCTGGTCGGGTGGTCACGCACCAAAACCTTTTCTTTCATCTCCACATTAAAAGAACCGTCTGGATGGTCCCATTTTTCAGCGACTGGCTTTTCACAAACTTTGAGTCGTTCTTCCGGTCGGCTACTGTTTGGTTGATTTCCTTTCTTTGTTCCGGGGCTTGCCTGAGTTCGTTCCCCTGTTTGTCCACTATTGGCCGAACTTTTCCCTGTTCCCGAACTTGGTTGGATGTCAACCATTGCCGTTGTTACTTTCGGAAACGGTTGCTGGTCTACACCTAGAGTGATGTATTTGAGCCGACCTGTCTTGATGGCCTTTTGAATTTCCTTCCTGAAATGAGTACACTGACTTGTATTGTGTGTGAAAGAATTATGCCACTTACAATATGGTCTCCCTTTGATTTCTTCTTTAGTGGCCAATCTTTGCCCCTTTGGAATACGGATTTGGCCATCAGTCAACAGGATATCAAAGATTTCGTCAGCTTTCGAACTATCAAACATCGGTTGATCCTTTCCTTCAAACCCTGGTACTGGCTTCAATTTGGGGCATACATAAGGTTTTCCAGAGAGGATTTCAGCTGCCATCTCTTCTGACTGATTAAAATCAAAGTCACATGTTTCTGTTCCTATACTCGCCATATGTTGGCCTCTATTACGCCTGTTATTCTGATCTTCCTCTCTGAACAAAGACTCTAAACGCGCAGCCTTAGATGCAAGACTTGCCAAATCCTCAACATCCAGTGCAGTGAGTGCCTTTCTTAAGCGAGTATGCATATTCCGGACCACTAAATTGGTCATCTCTTTCTCACTGATTACCGTAGGACATCGCCCTTTTATCAGTCGCACCCTTTCTATAAACTGTGAAGCAGATTCTTCTGGATACTGTCTCAATTCTAGTAAATCAGTTAAAGAAACAATTGGTAAAGGATTGAAGAATCTGGCATGAAATGCCATCTCCAGTCCTTCCCACGTCTGAATTTGTCCAGGAGGCAGACTTGCGAACCACGAAAACGCTGTTCTAGTAAGAGATAAACCAAACAGCTGCAACTTATAAAAAGGGTTATTGCCAACTTCTCCTAATTGTGCTGTGAACCGACCAACATGTTCTATGGTGGAAGATCCGTCCTCCCCTGAGAATGCATGAAAATCGGGCGGTCGATAATTCCTTGGGAGGGGGTGTTCATTAATGATCCTTTCTGGGAAAGGTCTCTGATATGCAGGGCGGTTAGCCATCTGAGGAGTTAGCCCAAACTGATCCCTTAATATATGTGCGATCTCATCAGGATCTACATGAACGCGTTGATGATCAGGAACATGGAAAGGATCCTGCACATGAATATGAATAGGATCATGTATATATCCTCCAGGCCTGTCCTCCCTTGTATTGTTCGGCTGCGGACTGGAAACCCTTGGTCCCAGCGGAACAGTGTTGGGAAAAGTCAGAGGAGATTTTCCCCTATCCGTTCGGTTGGGATTTGTGGCACTTGGAAAGGCACTATCCACGAATGATGGCCCTGCGAAATTTGCCTGTAGTCTGGATGGTGATACTCCTGGTGGAGTTTGAGTGGGTTGAAGACTAACCCTTGATAGTGCTTGATCCAACATATTCTGTATTAGATTTTGTTGTTCACGCAACATGTTCGTTTGTTGCTCACGCAACATATTCTGCATAACCAAAGTTTGCTGGTTGTTCATTTGTTGAACATAAGACCTCCAATCAGTTGGTGGTTGTGGGTTTTCCCCGGCATTTGGCACAATAGGTGGTGGAACGGATTCTCCCGCCGGTGCCGAAGATGCTTGAGGTTGTGAACCTGCCATATGGACCCTTCCGATGATTCGGCCGGATCTAAGACGTATGAAATTATCGCCGGAATTGGAATGAGCAATTGTGTCTTGCTCCCACTGTGGTCGCCAATTTGTTGATGTAATTTTTCAACAAAAATAAAGTAAAATTCAAAGATATAGAAAATATCCTTAAACTTGATTAATTAGTGCCTGAGATTAGGAATTTCTAAACACTGTATGGTACAGAAAATAAACTGGAAAATAAAAATACTGAAATTTAAAGTGGTGATCCCCAAATCTGACTTTGCTTTGTTGAAGTTGATTGAAGATACCCTGCCAAATGATGATCCAAACCCTTAAATATTTTCTGGGAAACTGTACTGAAAACCGCCGCCCGAACGGTTACAACGTCTCCTTCCCAACCGTCTTCCAACCCTTCTCCTGCTGACACGTGTCCTCAGCAGACCAAAATTATCCCTATATTTCACTCTTTGAGCCGACCACAGACCTTCCGCCCTTTTGGCCCGACTGCCAATCTACAACCGTATTGGTCCGACTGCCAATCCTCCCGACTTGCAAACCATCTGACTTGTTTGGATTAGCTACAGACATCCCGACTAACAAACCATCCGACTTGTTGGTCCCGCCGCAGAGTTCCGACCTGAGAACTTCCCGACCTGCGGACTTCCCGTCCTGAGGACCTCCCGACCTGCGGACTTCCCGTCCTGATGACTTTCCGTCTTGAGGACCTCCCGACCTGAAGGCCTCCCGACCTGCGGACTTCCCGTCCTGAGGGCCTCCCGACCTGCGGACTTCCCATCCTGATGACTTTCCGTCTTGAGGATTTCCCCCCGACCTGAAGACCTTCCGACCTGAGGTCTTTCCGTCTTGAGGACTTTCCGACCTGAAGGCCTCCCGACCTGCGGACTTCCCGTCCTGAGGGCCTCTCGACCTGCGGACTTCCCGTCCTGATGACTTTCCGTCTTGAGGATTTCCCCCCGACCTGAAGACCTTCCGACCTGAGGTCTTTCCGTCTTGAGGACTTTCCGTCTTGAGGACTTCCCCCCGACCTGAAGACCTTCCGACCTGAGGTCTTTCCGTTTTGAGGACTTTCCGTCTTGAGGACCTTCCGACCTGAAGACCTTCCGACCTGAGGTCCTTCCGTCCTGAATTTTCCTTAGAAATAAATCTATTTTCCTTGATTTCCTCACGGTGTCCTTCAGCCAGTGCAATCAACTCTATTGCCAGGCCCATTCTTCTTTTTACCTTGGGCTTTTTAACCTAATTCTAATTTTCATACATAACAATATTATTATATTATTTTTTGTATAATTAATACTAGGGTTGGCAAACAGATCAGGTCGGGTTGGGTTCGGGTCAACTTAAATGGGTTACAAAACCTTTGACCTGAATCTGACCCATTTAATTAAATGGGTTGATATTTGCAACCTTAACCTTACCTTTTATTAATCGGGTCAATCTGAATCTAACTCGTATAACCCGTTTAATCTAAAAAATTTAAATTTTAATTTAAAAATAAAATTTATACTAACAAAATTTTTAAATGCATAATATATATACATATTAAAGCAAAAAATTATTTATTCATATCATGAAACCGATATTCAAAAATTGAATTAACAAACACTACATAACATAATAGTACATAACACAATCCTTTATTTTTTATTATTTATTTTTATAAAATTGGCCATAAATATTGAATTGTATTGATAAAATTAAAAAATATATTTAAATTTAAAATAATATTATTAAATAGGTTAGACGAGTTATTTTCATATTGAAAATGTAGACCTTAACCTGACCCATTTAATTAAATGGGTTAAACGGGTTTGATCCAATTATTAATTGGATCGAAAATCTCAACCCAAACCCAACTATTTCAGGTCAGGTTCGGGTCGGGTTATCAGGTCGGGTTAATTTTTGCCAGCCCTAATTAATACTCCCTCCGTCCACAACCATCAACTAATGTCCTACTTTCCTATTTGGGACGTCCAACAATTATTATCCTATTTCCTTTTTTAAACACAAATTTTACATTTTTACCCTTCATTCATTTATTACTTTTAATCTCTACCATACACTTAAGGGCATATTTGTCCATTCATAACAAAAAGACAATCATCTAAAAAACGGTCCAAATATACTTTAGGACAATAGAAATTGGACGGAGGAATTAATATTCATAGTTTTAAAATAAATTTAATATATATAATTAAAAATAATTTAATATATGTTTAAATATTTAAAAATTATATAACAATTAAAAAATATATGCAATATGGATATCATTTTGTAGAGAATAAAATCTTTTATAATACAAGTAAATAAAAAAATATTTTTGTTTATTTATAATTAACATAAATTAATTTTATAAAAGATGTGTAGTTTTAAATATAGATAAAAATATATATATTTTTTTTTAGGAGAGAGGTAGAAATTTTTTTTTAGGAGAGAGGTAGAAATAAAAGGGGTTTTGAGTTGTCATACGTCATTTACGATATTGTATGTTATGTAGTTAATTAAGTTGATTTATATTTGTTAAATATGTTTTGGTTTAATAATTTTTACCAAAAATAGAAAGGTGTCATTGGTGTCAATTGTAGTGGGACTGAGGTAGTATATAATTCACATCTATTTATATTATATCAATGATATATTTAAACTTAAAAAGTTTATTATTCAAAACTAGTAAAAAAAAAAAAAGATCCCTCTATACATGAAAGGGATGAATGGTAAAAAGCGTTTGAGCAAGCGTCAAGAGAAGTAAAAAAACTCCGGCGAAGAGCGCGATCGCCGTCCACGGGCTATCGAAATACTTATGCACGAGCTCCGCCATCCACGTCAGCCTCCGGCTGCCGTAATGTTTCTCGATCCTCGCCTTCACGCCGTCGAAAATGTCGGCGTTCTCGACGTCGTAAGTCTCGATCTCCCTCAAAACTCGCATCACTTCCTCGTCGCCCCCCACGTTGCTTATGAGTATCCTCCTCTCCCGCAGCTCCTTCACGTCCCTCGCCGAGTGGATCATCGACTTCATCAGATTCACGTACGACGTCACCGTGTAGTCGGTGGCGCCGCTCGCGCAGAGCTCGTACGCGATGAGGTTCGAGAAGAGGATAATCGACTTGTTGGAGATGAATCGGGCGGGGAGAAGAAGACGGGCGAAGAAAATGTTGTGTGATTGAAATGTCACGTCTTTGAGACACGAGGTCGGGCTCGGGGCGAAATAGATGCCCTTGGCTTTGAGGTCGGTTACGGAACGGGACGTGTAGGCGAGCGCCTTTAATGTCGAGTGTCCCGCGGATGACGACGATGATGATCGGGTTTTGGAATCTTTCCGGTGCCTGTGTGTTAGTTGACTTTATAATATATGAATAAATAAATAAATGATACTATTTTTAAATTAGATGATCATTAAACTTATGATAAATTGCATTATATTTACTTTTATTTTATTATGAATGTATAAAATACTTCATATTTGTAATTTTTCTTTATGCTATAATAAAATAGGTGCGAAATATCTTTCTCTTTTTTTTTTTCATCCAAATGCTGATGAATATATCCTTAATTATCAAGTGTTATGTAAATAAATGATATGAAATGTCTTGAATATAAATCATTCTTTGAATAAAATAAAATAAATAAATATATAATTGATTGACTATTCATAGTATAGTTTATAAAATAAAAAAGATTCATAACTTAGTCCTGTAAGGATGGTCTGGTGGTGGTGTAGGGTTTGGATTTATGACCAGCTGCGAGATTCATAACTTAAATTTTAATATAAACTATGAAAAAATTGATCAAAATTATTTATTGTTGTAAAAGAATGATATTTAAGATATTTTATTTAATTTATTTAAATAATACTTATATAGACCGATTGTTGGATGGAATAATATTTTATATCTATTTTAATATAACATAGGAGGTTTTCACATAATTCTAGGTATTTATAGGTCACTTTTAAATTTTGTATTATTGTACTTAACATTAAAAATATCTTTATATTTATATAGTTTTTTATACAAATGTCATTTTATTAGTATTATAAAAAGGAAATTTTTAATGTTAGTATTTTTGTAATTTTTTTTTAAGTTATACTATGTTTTGATATATATAACAAGTAATATTAAAATCAACACCTAAAAAAATAACTGAGCCATTTAGAGGCAGACTGAAGTAGTAAATGAGTTTTTATGTAATTTACATATTAATATAAATATACGTATCTATTTAATTTTAAATTTTTAGATGAGAAAGTCGTACAATAACCTGAAAAGATTCCATTTTGGTTGGACGGGTTCATTCATGGGGGAAGTGTATGTGAGCTTTCGGCGCAGGGCTTCGAGCAAATGGAGAGGCATATCGTCGCCGGATTCCTCCCCATGCCGGCTGTCGTGGAACGTCGAAAAGTTCAAAAGCCCGTCGAGTAAATCCGACCCCTTCTCCTCGTCGTAACGGAGGCGGGTCAGCAACGAGATCACGCGGAATGGGATCTGGTTTTCGATCAAGAACATGTCCGTAACGGTGTAAGAAAACCCGACCATTCCCATGGTGTCGAGGATGCCGTCAAGCTTGTTAGAATTGGACAGTGCCTCCATGTGATTTATAATGAAGCATCCGTCGAGGAGCATCATTTCGGAGAGGGCCTGATCGTCGTAGTCGGAGGTGGAGCCGGCATCGTAGCAGGCACGGATTTCGGAGATTTCGTTAAGGATGTTGTCGCGGAAAAATGCCTTGTCTTTGCCGCTCCCTGTAATGAAAGCTTCGACGGCTTTGGCCTTGAAGCTTTCGCCTAAAATTAGGTGCGGTTCGCCGTGGTGGTAAGGGCCGAGGGAGACTACCTTCGGGTCGTAGTTGCGGCGGCTCCGCACCACCGCCGGCAGCCGCTGCATCTGCCGCCGGCCGCCGCGGCGGCGGCCGCCGGAAGCCCGGAGAAGATCGGTTTGGATTTGGAGAATCTGCATTTTTGGGTCCTTTCTATCTATCTTAGAGAAATGCTTTTGGTCGTTTTTATGTGGTAGTAAAAGTTGACCTCATTTATTTTAATGATCGTTTGGATACGTAATTGTAAGTGTAATTTGTGTTTGGTTACTTTACCCCTTTTATTATTATTATTATTATTAATTTACGGTGATTCAAATAAGCCGCCGTTCGTCATAGCGTTGAGGATTTTCCAACTATGACCACTGGCAAAGCGTAATTCAATTGCACGCTAACCTTAATCAACTTGGTAGCATTCTTTTTCATTCTCGGAAGCACGTTTATTTACGCACGCAGTCATTTTTAATTCAAAATATTATTTTTTTTAATTATTTTTATCTATTTTATTTAAAACAGTAATTATTATCGTTTTTAGTAAAAATAAATATATACTATAATATCAAAATATTTTTTTTATCAATAAAATATTATTATTTTAAATTTATTATAAAATTCAAATAACCTTAAAAATGGTCTTACCCCTTTAAATGAATAGAGAGAATATATAACAATAAAAATTAATAAAAACACGTAAAAATCAAAAAAATATATAAGTTTATTTATTACTATTTAATTTGAGTTTCTTTAATGTGAGAATATAAAAAAAAAAAAAAAAAGAAAAAATTATTTTTCATAATATTATTCATTATTTAAATAGAAAATTCAATCCTCCAAATATAACCTAAAAATAATAAAGCATTCTTTTTTTAATATCTTATTACAATATTCTCAAATGTTTTTATAAAAAATAAATTATTTATTCTCACAAATATCTCGATAGATCACTAATAATACAAATACAAAAGAGTGTTTAGGTTGGATTTAAAAATCACCACTGTTCTGTCCATACCTTTACTTGAAATTATCATTTTTTTATATTTTAAAAAAAATAAAAAATATAAAATCAAACTTTAAAAACACACACAACCTCAGGAGTGGTTTACTTTAAATTTAATTTTGATTTTGAATAATGATTTAATATAATATTTTATGAAAATAATTTTTATTTATCAAAAGTATTATAAGCTGCACAATAAAGACAATAAATTACAAGTAACATCGAGCTTAAAACAACAAAATACGCGACATTATTCAAAAATATACTTGTTTGTGTTTTCAAAATATAAAGATAAAATATAATACTTCTTTCGTCCCGCTAGAAAGTATACATATTTCTATTTTTTACGTCCAATTACAAAGTAAATATTTCATTAAATACCTAATTTTTTTTCACAAATATCGTTGTTTTACATTACATCACATCATTACTTTTACATAAAAAAGTAAGGGAAAAAATGTCATTACATTAATTTTAACTACCCACTATAATTAAAATACTATTATTTTTTAAATATCGCGCTAAAAAGTAAATATATACATTGTAAGTAGACGGAAGAAAGATTATATAATTAAAAATATATATATATTTTTATAAAATTATACTTAAATAAATTATATATTTAATATGAATCATTTTGAAAAAAGAAAATTTTATATAATAAATAAATATAAATCTAGTCATTTATTCAAGAGAAATATAAAAACATTGAAAAAAAAAATTAATGTAGATAAAAAATAATTTGAAAGTAAAGTAACATCTTTGAAACTATTTCAAGCAATACAGTAAAAATATATTACATATTTTTATTTCACAGAATATGTATGCTGTGAAATAAAGATATTTATAACGTATGTATTTTATAGAAATACACTATGTGTTAAAATTAACTGTCACATATGTATGCAACTATTTTATATCTTATACTTATATTATATGTAATAATATCGCATATATTATTTGTTAGCACAAAATCAAGATCCTAAATCCGTAACTAGGCTTGAATGTAACCTCAAGCAAATGCAACCTTTATTAATGTTCAATAAATTTACATTATAATTTTGAATTTGATTTTCTTTTTTAAGCTTTCTTAAATTTTACTATTTGAATTATATATATATATTAATAAAAATATTTATTAAATATTATTATTTTCATAACAAATTCAAATCATTTTTTTTTTTCAAATTCAACCCAAAAAAAAATAAAAAAATACAATTTTATATGTAGTCTTTTGCCGCACAAAATAACGTGGACAAGAATGGGCTGATTTTGAAGAATTTCCCCCATTCAAGTCTATGCAATTTCTAGCATCAACTCATATTGGGCTCGAATCGAACAAATAGTATTTTTTCTATTACATAAATTTTTTGAACTTTTTAAAATTATAATTTTTTATTTTTTTTTCTGTAAAAAAAATTCTCTTTTGTAATAGGAGCCGAAGTTGTTGGAATTTGGTATTAAAATAAAAATAAAATAAAATAATGAGAAAAGAAAAGGGTACGGTTGTGGGTAGATATCAGGGGCATCACGGGTGATCGGATTCGTTCATTACGAAGAGAAGAGTTCCAAAGCGCCGAATTGACAGATAAGGTTTTATCCCCTCCAGATTTTGCTAAAACCCTTCCGCGGCCCCTTTCCTATCTCCCTCTTCTCGATTCCTTTTCTTTCACTGCCTTAATTCTGCTGTAATAACGATATTAATGACTTCATACTTGGATTGCTTGTGTTGATGCGAGGGGTTCGTGATTTTTGTGGGTTTTTTCTACTTAAATGCTGCTCTATCGCTTCGTTTTTCATTTTTTGGGCGAAAATTTCTAGCCATTTCGTGAATTTTGCGGCTCTAATTTCACTCTGTAATTGTCATGAGCTTCTAGGGTTTTGATGTTTTCTGTCTAGGGTTTTTCTTTTCCTCTAATTTTGGGTATGGAAGAGCTGCTGGAGGATTATCTTTCTTCATATTTAGCGACATTAGATAATAATTTTGAATATAATTAGTTACAATACCATCGATTCTGTTTCTTGGTAGATTCTGGATTGCTAACCGCTTAGGAAGTCTTAATTGAGGTACTCTTTTGGATGGTGTTCAGGAATCAATGGCGGGGCAGCTGATTAAAGAATGGACCGCTATACAGCAGTTTCCTTCGGCCACTCAGGAAAAATTGCTTGAGTTGTTGGGGCAATTGAAGAACAAGGTTAATAATGTCATTCCTAGATTTTGCAAAAAATGTTGCTAGTTATATACACCTTTCTGTTGTCCAATCGGAGCATGTAAAAATTCATGGACTATACATTCAATATGGAGTAATATATACTTTGTTTTTGGAGATTGGAGCCTTGTTTAAGATGTTTATGCTGGATTTCTTAAGTAATAATGTCGTTTAAGGATTAATTTGAGTTATACTATTTTCTATAGAATGTTAACACATTGACAATTCTGGTGATGGGGAAAGGAGGTGTTGGAAAATCGTCCACTGTTAATTCAGTTATTGGCGAACGAGCGGTGACTGTGAGTGCTTTCCAGGTACAGTTTCAAAGCCTTACACTTTTGTGCAAGCAGAGATGTGAATTCTGTCTGAGATTAGTTGCTTGATTTTCCAGTCTGAGACTCCGAGGCCGGTGATGGTTTCAAGATCACGAGCTGGATTTACACTGAACATTATTGATACTCCGGGGCTTGTTGAAGGAGGATATGTCAGCGACCAGGTGCTCGAGACCATAAAAAGGTTAGAATCAGTGGCGCAAATGCTTGTTATAGTGTTAGTTTGTTTGAGGGTTGGATTATGGGTTGAGTTTTGAATACTAAAATCTTGAATTGAAATAGTTATTTTGATATGATCTAAATAAGTATTGACGAATGTAAAATTAATATTTAGTATAGTATAAAAAATAAAAAACAGATGTTAGATTTGATGTTTAATTTTTAGTATAATATGAAAAACCTAAAAAAAACAACCCTAGTCTTTGATTTAATGAATGGTGAAAAACCGAAAAAAATAACCTTAGACTTTTCTATCTTGCAATGACCTGTTCTATAGTTTTCTGGGCAGATTCCTTTTGAACAGAACCGTAGATGTGTTGCTTTATGTGGACCGTTTGGACGCATATAGAGTGGATAATTTGGACAAGCAAGTTGTTAAAGCTATTACTGATAGTTTCGGTAAGGAAATATGGCATAAAACTATGGTGGTTCTGACACATGCTCAGCTATCGCCGCCGGATGCATTAAGTTATGAGGAGTTCTTTTCCAAGAGATCAGAATCCCTTCTGAAATGCATACGACAAGGCGCTGGAATTGGCAGAAAGGATATACAGGTATGCCTATTCTTGCTTTCATTCTAAGGGCGTTGATGGTTGTATTTAGAGCTCTGTAGACTGCAGGAGACGAGCATGATAGTTACATACCATGAATAGTGATTTCTTGAAAAACATGAATTTGTTCTTCGAGTGTTAGCTTTCAAAATTTGTTTGGGGGTTTAAATTTTGGATGTGGTTTTGAATTGTAAAAGTTTAAATTTGAATAGTTGTTTGATGGATTTCTTTAGCTGCTGCTTTGTTCAAAACATGTGATAGGAATAATAGGTTTTATCTATTGCTTGAGCATAATGTTCGACATGAAATAAACATATTGCAATTTATATTTTCAGCGTTAAACCTCAGTATCTCACTCTACGTATTGTGTTTGCTCGTGTCATAGAAATACGCCATTTCCGTGGCTTTGGTTGAGAACAGCGGGAGATGCACCAAGAATGAAAATGACGAAAAGGTGATTCTTCACTACATTTTATCTGCCTCTAACATTCAACCTATCGATCCCTTTTTATTTTTTCTAAAAAATTCGACTGGCTCCTCTGAATCACAGGTTCTGCCTTCTGGTACAGCTTGGATTCCCAGTTTGGTCAATACCATAACCGATGTCGCCTTAAATGGAAAACCGGGTATCCTGGTCGACAAGAAATTGATCGAGGGGCCAAATGCAAACGACAGGGGAAAGATCTACATCCCATTGATCTTAGCTTTCCAAGTAAGGATCTTCCCAACTTCATTGTTGTGTTCCTCGGCACTCAGCTCTAATTATTCCTTCTCTTACTTTGGTTGCGAAAACAGTACTTCTTTGTGATCAAACCGATACAGAAGTGGATCAAGCAAGATATCATCAGAGAATCGAGCCCAGCGTGGGATTAGGAATCACTTTTTGATTATCTTCGGCCTTTTCAAAGGTTCCGTCCACTTCTTTTTCTGCACTCATTGGTGGCTTCCCCGAGCTCGGCTGTCGGAATTTTGTCGAATGTGTTACAAGGTATGTTTTATGTTTTTTTGCGTGGATTCTTGTTCTTGAAACTGAATTGTTGGTATGGAACTGCAGTTGTCTCTCAGCGTTAGACGAGTTTCTGAAGTACTTTACATTTTATTCTCACTTTCTATATTTCAATTGGTTGCCCATGAATTAGCCTTTGTTTCAATAATTTTGATTTTTTTTAAGCCAAGGGCGTAATTGGATTTGAATTTGATTTTTAAAATATAAGTATAGGTTTTTACTTTATTTTTAAAAATGGAATATGATAGTAGGATAATATTTTGAACGAAAAATGAGGGCTTCTTTGGTTTGCGTGGAAATTTAGTACTCCTTCGTTTTGTTACAATTCAAAATACTGTTTTTATTATTTCATCTGTCTCATTTCGTATCTATTTTTATTAAATAAGTAATCATACTCTAATATTTTATATGTATAATTACTTTATACTCAAAGGGTAAAAATATCAATTTTTTTATTATATATTTTTATTAACTAATAAAATATTATAATTTTTAAATTTATTACAAAAACTCTAAAGAGCTTATTTAATTTAATTTGGGACTAAAGAAGTATATATTTTACGTGTGTTTATTTTTATTTTTACAAAACAATATATTTATAAATAATACCAAAAATAATCTTAAAATAAAGATAAGCAAAGCCTAAATTATTACGCCGTAGGAGTTTAGGAGTGAACAAAAATCCAATCCGATTCCTTACCACCTCAAATTCCCTAATAATTCCCTTACCATAAAGCAAGGTAGCCAGCCTTCCCTTTCTTTTTATCAATACCAAAACAACCTTTCTCTAATGTTCAATTTTACTATTCTCAAAACATGCCAAAATTATGGGTCGAAGTTTGCCTTGTCTCCGCACGAGGCCTTCGACCTTCATCCCTCTTCAAACTCCAGTGGTTTGCGGTTACATGGATTGATCCATCTGACAAATATTGCACTACGATCGACGAGTCGGGGGCGATCGATCCTGTCTGGAAAACGAGATTTTCGACTAGTGTTCGGGTCCCCGACTCGGGGCTCGACCACTTGGGTCTCCATGTTGAGGTTTATAGTCGAGAACCAATCTTTCTTAGGGAAAGAATCCATGGGAAGGCTAGTATTGGCCTTAAGGAACTTTTCGATGAGTGTGGGAATGGCGAGACTCGATTTTCTAGGCCGGTCGAGAAATCGGGAAGCTTTCCGATCAGAAGAGAGCATGGAATGGGCGAGACGAGGGGATTTGTTGATGTTTCGATTAGAATATCGACTGAAAGGGAAGAACCTGAACACTCCAAAGGTAAATTTATATTGAATTTATGAGGAAAAATAATAAAACATGTGTAGATATTGTAAAATTAACCGTTTAGATTTTATTATAATTTTGAAAAAAAATAAAAATTCATTGTCATAATGATTTTTTTTTTTTTCAAAATAAAAGTATCGTTTTATCTTTTTTTTATATTATAATTAAATAGTATAATATATATATATGTATATATATAATTAACATAGAAAACTCAAAAAAGTGAAATTGTTATTTCACATAGTCAATATTAAATAAGATCTATTTATATATATTTACCACCAATTCATCATGTAGCTGAGTGTGTTTGTTCAGAGGTTTAGATTTTGACTTTTATTTAAATAATAAAAATTTTGAATTTAAATAAATTATGATATGATATAAATATATGTTAATTAGTATTTTTTTTAAAGAATACACCCTGATAATTAATCTTAAAAATTCAGATAATGCAAAGCAAGAATCATCGCCGGGAAAGTCGTACGGCAGCAGTGCCGATCTGCCGGCGGCCGAAAAATATGGAAGCAACAAGCCGGGGAAAATTGTGCTGACCTCCCGGCGGCGGGCCGTGGACGCCCTGGCCGCGCCGGCAGAACCTGGTGGCAACCAATCCCAAAAATTCGTCCTGAATCCCCGAGAGGCGGTGGAGACCCTGTCGGAAAATCCCGGCAGCAACCACAGCCGGAGCATTCGCCTGATTTCCCGACCGGCGGCGGTGCCCGACGATCCCGGAAGTCACCGGCACCGGAACTTCAATCTGATTTCCCGACCGGCGGCGGAGGAACTAGAAAGGAGACAGGCTGTGGAAATTGACCCTGATTCCGTCACACACGGCGTCGCCGGAAATCGCCAGCCACCGCCGGTTCGAATGGCGGCGGCGGTTGGATACATACGGACAGAGTTTAGTGAAGAAGCATTGGCGGCGGCCGCCTTCATATTCGGGGATGATTTCCTGCCAACGTCGGACTTTCGTGGAGGTTCAGGAAATGCTGATCACTACTGTACACTGTGCTATCAAAATGGATTTTAACCATAAATAGAAATGCATATATTTAATTAATCGAGGACAAATACACAATTATTAAATTTTTTAAATTAAAATGAAATATTTAATTAATTGAGAATTTAAGATTTTATTTGTCTAAAAATATTTTCAATACGATTTTTAATATATTTTATTTTTTTTACAAAGATCAATTTTCAACCTAAATTATTATTTTTATATTATCGACATAATTATTTATGATTCACATGAAAAAAAAATTCAAAACAAAATACTAAACTAATAATAAATACTGATGATCTTTTTAAATAAGTATAAACTTAAGGATTTTTTTTATTTTTACAATTTTAAATTTAAATTAATACTATTCTTCCCACAAAATTTTATATAAAAAATATATTAATTTTCTTTTTTTCTTTTAACAGAATATCACATCAATTGATACATAGCAGTAAAAATACCTTGACTTCCACCGTAGAAGTAGGTTTGTTGAATTGAGTCCCCAAACTCTCGTCTTTCTTTCGTATGTATTCATTTTGATTTTCGTTACTTTCGGTTCATTAGTTTTACTAGGTTATCCAAATCAGCCTGCAAAATAATAATAATAATAATAAAAAGAATCTTGATCATGTGCAAAGTATACATTATTACAATATATGGCATATGATCATCAATGCAAAAAGGCCCACACACATATATTGAAGCCTAAGCACAACGTCGATCAATGGATCCAACAACTTGTACAATCGTAATTTTTTTGAGAATGCAATACGTATGATGAATAGAAACAAAATGAAGGCACGGCAAAAGGAGCTCCCTTCAGTCCAAGTATAGAGGGGGAGGGGTGCAAAACTATCTCCCGCATCATCCACTCAATCAATCAGCCTAATACCCGAGTCGATACGATATAATATATATGTATATAATCTATCTTCTCTTATTTGTTGGTGGATTGGTTCACTGAATGAGTGATTGAATGAATGAGTCGGCAGGTAATTCAACCCCAATTCTCATCCATCTATGAGTGGGCTGAAGGAAGCTCTTTTACGCCGTATCTTAATTCACATTAATTACTCAATTAAAAACAAAACCCTACTGCTAATTCTAAGCGTTCATTCATCACTTAAATTCATAATTCATTAATTAAATTAAAACACCAAAAAATATCATACATTTCTATAGCAACAAGAAATGAAAAAAGCCCAATGACTAATTAGTTATTGTTGCTTTTAGATCAAATACTTATATTTTCTATATGGAACATCAAATCGAACACAAACCCTATTTTCTATATGAAACATCGAATGGAACACCGCATTTAGATCAAATACCTATTCAGTTTTTATTATTTTAGAAAAATATATTTGAAACATATATAAGTTTCAATTTTGAATGAAAATAAGATTACAATGCTTTACTCTATCAAAGAACATAATGTAATAAAAGGACAGGTAAAGAACTAAAATTAAAAAATTAAAAATGAACAACAATAATAATCCAAAGAAACTATTACAAAATTGAGCAGGATGACAATCAAAGTAATGCTAATTAATTAAAATCTCTTTTTCAATCTATGATTTTATATATTAATAAAAAGTGATTAATTAATTCACAGGAAGAAGAAGAAGCCTAATCTAGAAGAGCAATATTTGAACATAAACAGAAACCCCATTTCCCCATATTTTGAAACAACAGCAAAGTTTACTCCAAAAACGAAGAACAAACAGTGAAATCTGCAGACAACATAAAATTATCATATGATCATTCAATGGGCAGTCAGAAATATCACAGCAGTGATGATCTTATATATCTACACATATAATCAGCTTCATTCATATTTCCAAGAACTAACCACAATCAGATTCAATTATTCATCATTCAGTATGTACTTGCATAAAGAGAACCAAATGAAATAAAAAATAAAACATATAAAAAACACATTAATAACTTTCCAGAATTCTCTCTGTAGAGAATTGATTTGGCAGTAAGAAATAAAGAATGAATGAAGAGATGATATAGAGGAATCAAATTAATAAGCAATTAAGAAGTAAATAAAAAATACAGTAAAAAGCCAACAAATTCCCGAACACACAAAATAGAGAGGATTGGATCATTCATTGATTGACGGATGAATGAATCGATGACGCTGGTGATCAATGAATTGGAAAAATATATATATATATACAAAATGTGCAGTGAAAGAAGGGTTATATATATATATATATTAAACAGTAGTGTGAAAATTAAACCCTAATTTCTCTCTGGATCGCACCGAGATCGAAGTTCGGGAAAGAAGAGACTGAACACTGTGTACTACTGTTCTTTACTGTGTGTTGTGTGTGCAATGGCAATGGCCATGGCAGTTTTATGTATACAGATGTATATATATATATATATCTATCTTAATTTGTGAAAGAAAAGAGTGTTTGACCAGTTAATTTGGTAAGGATGATAGACAGAATTGATATTTTTTGAACAAATAGAAAGAGTACTCTGTCCATCCCGAAAATTTTGTCCGCTTTTTGGTAGATACTTAAATTTAGAAGCCGTATAATTATAATTAATAAATAATTAAAAATATTTTAGTAAAAATAATTATTATATAATAAAAATAATTATAAATTAAAATAATTTATTAGTATAATTAAAATTAAAATAACTTATAAATTAAATTTTTTAAAATAAAATTAAAATGTATAATTTTTTTTTTAAAAAAAGTAACAAAATAAATGAGATGAACGAAATTGAAAATATGTACATGAGATGTGGGACGGAAGAGTATTATGTTTTAGATTAATTTACAATATAGTACACATAGAAAAAAACATATTTACTCTTTGGTTTAGATAGAATTTTTTTTTCTTTTGAGATTTTCAAAGTTTTGAAATTTTAAAATAATAATATATTAATATTTAATATGATATTTTATATAAATATATATAATGTGATAATTTTATAAAAATTAAATAGTACTTTTCATTCAATTTTGAGATTTTTATTTACTTTTTATATATATATATAAATTAAATAATATTAGCATTATAATAGTATGGAATAGATATAATAGCTTACTTTTACATATAACTATATATTAATAAATAAAATAATAATAAGTGTTAAAAAATATTAGTAATTAATAACAAGATTCATAATTACTGAAAATGAAATATAAACTTTGAATTATGACAAAATTAAAAAAAATGAAATATTATAAGTGGATGGGAGTATAAAAAATTTAAAAAATATTGTGTGATAAGAACCAATAAATATTAAAAGTAAAACAAAATATATGAATGCAGTGTGTAATAATAGAAAGTTTGAAAATGAACCTGGCCTGGCCTGGCCTGGCCTACTTCATGTTTCATGTTGCACTTTAGGTGGGTGCAGCAGCAGTCACTGTTCTACTTTGCCACTAGCGAATCAACTAGTGCTGTACAATTCATAGCAATACAGGGCTATTTTCGTAATTTCCTATTGCATTCTTTGTCGTTTAATAAATACTGTTTATAGCACAATTTTAACAATCCATTTGTCTGCCATGAATATATATTTCTTTTTATACGTAAATTTTAAAATATAGTAGTTAAATTATATTTATGACATTATTACAATAATAGATAAGATATGAGAATTTTTTTATAATATTTATAGAGATTATAATTATCAAATGACATTAATTTAACATCCAACAGCACAAAATGTATTTTTTTTTTTTTTTGGTATTTTTATTTAATTTTTATATTTAGAACAAGTTGGCATATAATCCATATTACATGTAAAATTGTTTTTTGCACTTGCATCAGTTTTCAAGCTACTTGTCTAAAATACCTTAATTTCGTTTTTATTATTTATATTTTAATTTGTTTATATAATATCAACCAATTATTTTTTATTGTTATTATTATTTTCTCTGGTTCCATGTTGAAATACTGCAACTTATGACTTTTGGCAATGTAAAAGATTAAAGGGGCGTGGGGTTAGTCTATGGGCCCCGAAATAGATGACCTATGCTCAAGCTGAATCGTTAAAGTACAACACATTTAGCTCTGCTTACATTCACACTTTTATTAAAATAAAAACTAAAAATACATCATCATTTAAATTTATACTCATTTTTCTTTTGAATGGTCATTAAAAAATATTATTATTTTTTTTTTAAGTAAAGAATTATTATATTTTTTTATTTTTCTAACTATAAAAAAATAACCATTATTACTTACTTTCATGAAAATTCGTGTCCGATCAAACGAGCACATATTTGCATAATAGAGATAGTATATTACATTAAATATTTATTTTATTTTATAAAATATTACGCTGAATTTTTAATTTTATAATATTCTACACAATATATGATTTAGGATATATTTGATTTTTTTATTTAAAATTCAATATTTAATTTGAATTTTAACTTAAATAATAGTATATTTTTATAGAAATATGAGATAAATAGTGTTAAAAGTGCTTCAAATAAATAACATGCAAACCTTTATTTGGTTTGATTTTGATTTGAAATTATATTTTTTATTTAAATTTTGATTTAAATAATATAGTAATATTTTGTAAAAAAATAATATATTTTTATTAAAAATTATACAAACTGTATAATATTAATTTATATTTAAATTTTTTTATGTTTTTATAACTCATTTTTTTATTTATTATTTTTAGAAAAGTATTACATTGAATATTAATCTTTTATTTAAAATAGCATATCCAATAATTATTTTACTTCAAAAATATTAAAATCCAAATTTATGAATAAAAAAAAATAATAACACCAGCAATTGCATTTGCATGCAACTGCATTGTCCACTGATGCAACTCCACTTTATATATATATACATATGTATGTATTTATGCACACACTAAACATATTTACAAAATGCATTTTAGATATCTACAGGAGCAGTATCTACTTTCAATTATATATCCACGAGCAAAAAAATTGGCTCATATTTTCAAATTATCGATAAAGATTTAAGCTTTATTTACTTGTCAACTTTGCATTAAATCTATCTATCAAAAAAAATTATTTAATAGTTATTGTACATCTAAAAATGTTGATAAAGAAATATATCCTTTAATATGCATACCCTTTTTTTTTTAATATTTTTTTTTTATTATATCTTAAATAACTCAAAATATGCAACAAAACAAAAAAGAAATAATTGAGATAAGGTGTGAAAATTGGCCTCCAATTACTGATGAAATGGCTGATAATAAGCTGAATAAATAAACAAATAATACTCTCAATTAATTCTTTTGAAAGTTTTTCTTTCATTTTAAAATCACATTAAATAAAAAAATCATCATACTATTAAATACCTAACTTTTTAAATAGATAAATTCAAATATATATATATATAGTCAAAGGGAGTTGTATTCTGAAATTGAACTTTTGGGTATGTGTGCCTATTGCATTGCTTATACCTAAACCACACTGTTCACTCCACTTGGTTATGTTTGCCAATGCAGAGATAGATCCAATCCAACAACACTACTGTGTCTGCACAACAAGTTTCAATGACTGACTTAGACTTGTCATTCTATCCACACTATTCCCAGATTCTCACACATCCCACCAACTCAAATTTATCATCTAAAATAATAATTAATAAATAATAAACACTGCAAAACACCCAATCACAATTCACACATAACGTATATAAGAGCTACTATTAAAATATACCTGTGTGTAGTGCGCTGAATGATGTTCATGGTGGTGGCCACCACTGATCCAAGAACCAACAATTTTGTGGGACCAATTGCTCAGAGTCAATTCTCCACAAGGATTTGTGATTTCTAGTGCATCAGCTGTATGTATCCAATATGGGGAAACGAGAATAACACTAAATGTAGAATCAATCAAAAAGATTGCTTTCAAAATATGATAACTTACATGGGCTTGTGCAGATTGACCTTTTGATCCCATCTTCTTGAATTGATCTGTGTTCCTGTTTAAAGGGTTCAAGAAAATTCCTGCCCTTGTCTGCCTATAGCCATTGAAAGCATTTTTATGATATATTAAAGATTAAAGACTACAAAGTAGTGTAGTATGATTTATAAACCAACCAAACATATTAAAACTCTTAAGCAACACCTCCAAATGCAACATTATATGGGAATTGTTAAAAGCTATTATAAGTATGGAATTCTCTAAGAGCTGGTGATACATTCAGTGTCGTGAAGTGCGTCGAATGAGTTCATCATCCTCTCCAGTTATCCTTTCGTTGTCGTATTTCCTTCATGGCTTCAACCGGGGACTTGCAGCCGACCTTCTCCTGCATGGTCAAGTATTAGTGGTTAATTACATTCAATCATATGTATGAGTTTCCATAATAGTTATGGCCATTGAGAGAGGTGGGTGTTTGTTTAGATGTGTTTATAAGCTAATGATTCTTGAATGACGATCTAGTTATGGAGGTATTATCATACCTGAAGCTCAGGAAGATCAACACGCATGAATGGGTTAGTCTCCAGTTCTTCATCAATGGTGGATGGAATTGTGGGAAGGTCGGATTTTCGTTTCTGTTCAGCCCATGCTAACTTTTGAGATATCTTCCCATTGTCTGGTTCCACCGTTAAAGCAAATTGTAGGTTCTTCACCGTATACTAGCACAGTTTGAAGATATGTTGGTGTTGGTATTCCAAATAAGATAAACTATCGTATGAAAATACAAAATGAAGATCAAAATCAAAACTAAAACTAATTGTCAGGTCAATATTCAAGGGAATGCCAAAATCAAACTAAAAGAGTAGAACCATGAAGTTAAGATCAAAACCAGAACTTGAAACCACTAGCCTGGTCGATATTCAAGGGAGTGCCAAATTAATTTGAAACTAAACAAGTAAATCAATGAAGTTAAGATCGAAATAAAAACATAAAACAACTAGTCCAGTCAATATTGAAGGGAATCCCAAAACAAAAAATAAACAAGTAGGACAATGCATGCTACAAACCACATCAAAAGAACGAAACCAAACTCAACAAAAGGGAAGATGAAATCGTATTGAAAAGCTTAACATATATTACCTCATGACCACAATATACTCGGGTTGGCTTTGGCAAAGAACCAAGAGTAACACATAGTGATTGATACATGTTCTCTGCAGTGCCTTCGAAAAACCTCCCACAGCCAGCAACAAACTGCAGATGTTAAAACAAGAAAAATAACAACACTTCATCAATAATGTACTCTATATTCCATAACTTATTAGAACGTTGATCGGAAATTAAATGATATCTTTCTAAATCCAATACTTTATCGAAAACAAGAATACAAAAGGAGAATAAAATGTATTGCCAAACCATCTTGCAGACTTTGTTTGGTTTCGTATAATATATTTCTTCAATCAGTATACTAAATTGCCGAGAAGCTGAATACAGAATCTTAAATGTAGAAGTTTTGTATTTTAGTTCTCCAGAGTTCATGAGTTATGCCAATAGGCCCAATACTTCGAAAAATCATAGTAAATCTCTGCTCACCAAGGTGTCTCCAGTAAAGACAGCAGGATCATCTCCTTCTTTCGCAGTGACATAGTAGCATATGTGGCCCTTGGTGTGGCTGAAATCACAAGGCGCACACTTAGTGATTTATAAGGCAAGCCAAAACAAGAAAACTTGGCAACGATGGGCAGGGTTAACATTGCCAAAATTTGGGTTCCCAAATACGAAATGGATCAACTGTTTGATGCGTTTAATTGACAAAGGAGGTAGTCTACCCAAAGAATAATTACCACTACGTACAACTACATAAAAACAACAAATAGATTAACAATTTGCCTTAGCCAGCCAACCAACTTACATATATTAGAAACTCGTAAGCCTACCGAATCGTAAACATTAAACACTGATAGTGATGACTGCTGAAAGATAGAGCTATAAAGCAGAAAATCAAGCTATGCAATGTATACCATGGTGTATGTAGGGATAGTATGTTGATATCGGCCCCGAGAGAGAACCTATCGCCATTTTCAACTTTTTCGGTGCACCCTTTTACGTTGTCAACAGCACCACCGTAAATCTTGATCTCTGGGATTAGTTGCTTGATCTTTTCATTGCCACCAGCATGATCCCTGCCATAAAAACAAGTAATATTTGTTAGCATTTAACAAACAAATCCTAAATGAATTCTCTTTCACCTTAGATCAATTCATCTTAACTCAAGAAATTTCCAGCACTTCACCATCTACATGAGTATAAAGCGCCCCCCCCCCCCCCCCCCCCCCCCCTACCTAATTAACGTATAGAACTAAAAGCTAATAAACACAAGCATCGACAAAGATACCAATTCAACAAAACAGCACACAAACATACTGAAACCCTACTCAAATAAAACGAATTACGTAGGAAATCAAACAAACAATTACTAAGAAAGAAGATGACCAGTGGTGATGAGTGGTGAGGACGAGCTTAAGATTAGCCCCATTTTCCTGAGCTACACTAAGAATCTTGTGCGGCTCCACGGGATCCACCACTGCTGCATCTTTCGTTGCCTCATCAATAATCCTGCAAACACGAGCTTAAAATATAAAAAATCCTTTTTCAAATAATCAAATTGGTAGCTAAACGAGTGTCAATAGAGCAAAGTTCAAATGGATTTCGCCCCCATTTCAAACAATCACATGTAGGAATAGTTGTCTTCCAAGCAAGGGATGTGCAGAATCTGCATATTTCACCACGAATTTGCTAAATTCCGAGATATACAACGAAGTTCGGCGCCTGACGGAGGAAGAAATCGAACGGCGTAAGACTGTATCGTGAAGATTCTGCGGATAGTGTTGGTTTTTTTTTTTTTTTTTTTTTGAGTTTCTATTTTTAAAATCTGTAAAAAATAAGGGATAGGAGTAATTATTAAAAGTAAAAAATCATGGTAAAAAATGGAAGTAAAGTGCGTATATATAAATTTTACAGAACACGATACGCCGTATAAAAATACGTACAACATACGGTCTGTCAGTCCTAAGGATTCGATTCGCTGTCAAAAATAGTCTACGGGTGTTCGATTCAAGAAGCGGATTTGATCGATTGTTCAAGGAGAGGAGCTAATCGATCGTCTCGAGTTCGTGATTCGTTAATCTAATTCAGGTCAATTCGAATTACGAAATAGCAAACGGATAATTGAGAAGGGGGAAATGGCAAAACCCTCGTCAGCAAGGTTTTTCATCAGGTATCTTCATCGCATTGCTTCAACTCCATCGAGTAGTAGTAATCCTAGCGGCGGAATTTCTCAATTCGTCACGAAGAGCCCTAAAATTACACAAACTCGCAATTTTTCTCATTTGCTGCCAACAGCAGCTTCGAAGAGAAGCCAGTTTCCGTCATCCCCCAATATTTTTGGAGTTTTTGGAAAACTAGAGTCGAATTCAAGGTCATCGCATAGCAAAAATCTTCTAGGTTTGAGGTATTACTCATTTCAGAATTTTGGATCCAATTCAAAAAAATTTGCACAAAAATTAGGGCAAAGTCCTTCTTCGTTTATGAAGAATGCGTTTGTGAGGTACAAGGAGGCTGTAGGGCTGCAAATTGAGGCATTCTGGAAGAGGAATTACCTAGTGGTGGTGGGTGCAGGTGGAGTTGTGATCTGCATTCTGCTATGGCGGATCTTGTTTGGCATTGCCAATACTTTCATTGGTTTCTCAGAGGGCATGGCCAAGTATGGCTTCCTAGCTCTTTCCTCCTCCATCGTCGCCTTTACTGTGAGTATTTTGCAGTATCTACAGCTTCTGGTGTTCAATATTGTCGATCAATCATGGTACATTACATAATGAGTGTAGATGTTTTGCTATTTCATTAATTGATGATGAAGGGGAGGAAGACCTTAACAAATACAATGCTGCAATGGGTTGATCCAATATTGTTTTTTGGTCTTGATTCTATATGTATATTCGGTTTTCGTATCGAATTTTAGTCATCTATGCTTATGTTAAGAATCATGATGTTTACATACTCGTATTGAACTATGATGCATCTGGCTATTGTTTGGGTTGAGAACCTTCTGTGACGTGTACTATGATTTGTTCGGAATTCAAAGGCAATCTGAATCTGTTGTTTGATGTCAAATTGTGTTATCTAACTTCCGGGACTTTGATGACATAATTTTTGGCCTGTTGTTTATGTTTTTCCTCCTTCCATTTTCGCTTAGGTAACAAGAAAAACAGAGTATTGTAACATTTTTTCTGAATTCTTATTCAATACATTAATTAAACCTTTTGCACTTCAAGGGTTTGTACTTCCGCTCGAGGTACACAATCAATCCTGATAAAGTTTACAGAATTGCGATGAGGAAGTTGAACACATCAGCCGGTATTCTTGAGGTAATGGGTGCACCCCTCACAGGAACGGATTTGAGAGCATATGTGATGAGGGGTGGGGGCGTCACCCTCAAAAATTTCCGACTACGGCTAAGAAGCAAAAGGTGTTTTCTTATTTTCCCCATACATGGTTCAGAGAGGAAAGGCTTAGTTAGCATTGAAGTCAAGAAGAAGAAAGGCCAGGTATCCTTCGCCCCGTCTGCTTTTAGTGTGTTTTGGTACAAAGTTCATTCTCTAGTAAATAATTTCCTGGAATATGGCTTTGCATGAGACTGTTAAATGCTTATTCAACTTCGATTCTATTATAAGCCTCAATGTGTTCGACATTATAAGTCATGTTGTTGTAATTTGTGGCTTCGTTTAGATAGAAATTTTGGAATTTTGGAAAATTCTATGAATAGTAAAATTTTGTGAGAGGAAAAAAAATATTTAATGTTATTTATTTTTTTACAAAAGTTATACTTGTGCTAAGAGCCTATATTATGCAAGGATGGATAATTTCATTGTCGTAAATTTACTATATGATCTTGATGTTTTCCAGTACGACATGAAGCTATTGGCAGTCGATATCCCCATGGCAACCGGCCCTGATCAACGTCTTTTCTTGATCGGGGATGAAGAAGAGTACAGAGTTGGTGGCGGGATCATCTCCGAGCTACGCGATCCTGTGGTTAAAGCACTAGCTGCAGCTAAAGAGTTTGAAGCACAGGACGAAAAAGAGGATGAAGAGGATGCCGCAAGGGAACTTGAAGAAGCTGAAAGAAGAAATCGGGAAGAACTTGAAAAGATCGAAAAAGGCAACTAACTCTAAAAAACTCTCTTGTCCTTTTTTTTTTTATGAAAAGAATGGTATGTTTCTTTTCGGTTTCTATAGAGATTTTTTACTATTTGTACTCCAAGAATGAAAAGAATCACATCCTTAAGGCTTTTGACATTTGAGTTCTATGTTGTAATAGTTGACAAGAGTTTATACTCATTTTCTCTTTTAGGAGCCTTTGAATAAAAAGCTTCTCACATGATCGCATTCATTGGAACCTTCACAGCGGGGTACAGATTGTTTTGTGGATTCAGTTCTAGCTTGTATGCTTTTGTTAAATTAGTGTTTTGAAAATTGTCATTTTAAAATTATTTTAGAATAATAAAAAATTGTGCTTTATTTAGATACAGAGTTTTGAAATTTTTTTATAATAAGAAAAAATTAGTAATTGATGTGATAGTTTTGTGGGAGAAAAAGAAATTGAAAAATCATATTATTGTAATTTTAGTAACATTTATTAAGAATTGTATTATAAAAAAATAAAAATAAATAAAGATGAACTACACAAAATTAGAAAAAAAAAAAAAAAGAAAAGAAAAAGAACAGTTCTAACTGGTGTTCCAAATAGCCCTACATTGTTCAAACAGGCTGGTCCAACTTCTGCCCATTTCAGCCCAGCCCAGCTTAAATTATATTAACTCTGAAACTGGCTGATTTGAGCCCAATAAAAAATTAGAAGAAGAGTCTACGGCTATATTTCTTTAAAAATCCGTATAGTATTATTCATTAAAAAAAATAATACTAATAAAAAAAATAAAATCCCGAGACAAATTGAACAACATATTCTTGAAAATAAATATATAATCAATTTATCTCGATTTTAACGATCACACAGCTTTTCCTCTTAATAAGTATTCAATCAAATTCATCAGCCACAAATATTGTTGAATATTTGTAAAAAATAAATAATGTTTGCCGCCACCTGTAAATGACCCTACTGACTCAACTATAATATTTTAAAAATAATGTATGTAATTTTTTATAAAAATATATTATATAAATAATTATTTTTTTATTATTTTCAAAAAATTCAAAATTTAATCCTTCAAAAACCTTTTAACCCACCCCAAAGAAAATCAAATAAAGATCGATCGAGAAAGAATGCAAGTGACAGATATCTGCTCACCCAAAACTAGCTACATAATTAATTATTAATTTTCAAATTGCTTTGAAACGTGGCATCAAATTTCAAATTAATTATGTAATCTTCTCCGTTATTTTTTTGCCGAGCAAAATCAAGCCATCCATTCCATCACCCCACGGAATGAACGGCATAGATCAATTAGGACTTATACTCCCGGGACCTCCAAAAGATTCACACGTATCTTCATCTCCATCATCGTAATAATCCAAGAATTTAAGAACGGATGCATTTATTAGCACTGTTGCCGACAATTTCGGTAGAGCAAAAGCAGGTGAAGTCGAATAATCCCGACTAAAAAATGTCCGCATGTTGTCATGGGAGATTGTTATTAAATGAGCAGATTATAGATACCATAATAAGTCCCCTCAATGAATTTTTACTGACCGTTAACTTGAATCGCCTCTCAATAGCGAGTATGATTATGGTATTATGCCGTTGGGGATTCCTATTTCAAAATTCTACCCTTTTTTGGTTGAAGATTAAACCCCAGGTATAAATACATAATCATCTTTGTCTAACACTGCACCACAAATTTCTGCCCGAAAGGTGTTTGCGTAATTGTCTCTGAGAGAGACTATTTGAGGTAATTATGCTTTGTTCTTATGTCGAGTTCATTTTGATCAAGATATATATACATTTATTTAATTTTTGATGATAATTTTATTCTTTTTTGGGCTTTTGTTTTTGATGTATGATTGTGGGGCACACTACTTTGTTCCCTTTTTGGAAGGACCAAATTCTATCAAGATGTGAATCTTGTTCTTTTCTTTTTTATCCATACGTATAAATAAAAAAAATTTAGTGGGGATGATCCACTTTGTTTATTTTATTAATTTTTTATTATATATATATATATTAAAGTTAATGAGCTCTGCAATTTGGCTTATTAAGTGGTGAGATCTGTGGTATTTTTCTACCTGATTAATTTTGTGTAATTGTGAGGTTTTTGTAGTGCAATCCAACCCATATAATGACTGGTATTGGCTAACATGGGCAGCCCTCTTTAACCTTCCCTTTAGTGCAACAAAGTTACAATTGAACTTTAGCTTTTGCTTTAATGTAGTATTGTGGAACTTTTTTCATCTTTCTGGTTTGGATTCTTGATTCTTATAATATATTTAACAGCTTTTTTAAGTAATGGGTTGCTTCAGTAAGGGTTTTTGGATTGCAGATTTGAAGTTGTATTAAAGTAGCATTTCCTTTTCCACCATGCCCCAAAAAAAGTGATCAAGAACATTTTGCTTTTGCTAACTTTTTTCAACTTTTTATAAAACAAAGGTCCTCTTAATTTGCTAATCTCCTTGCTTTGCTCTTTGACTGTTTGATGCATAATTCATTCACTAGTTAGTAACTGCTGCTGTTAAAATTTGTTGCTGATCAATGGTTTTAGTGAAGGGATCATTTGTTAGTTTGATTAAATTTGTAGTACCGGTCTTATTCGATCGTGTTCTAGTTTTAACTCGCTGTTTGGTGAGGTGGTTCTGTGGGGAACACTTTGAAATGAGACAAGGAATTCGAATTTATATGCCCTGAAAGATTGAACTTGTTTCCTAAATTGTGTGACATTGTCTTGAAATAGTTGCTACTCAATGATCTTAGTGAAGGGATCATTTGTTTGTTAGTTTTGACTCTTATCCAATAGAGTTCGATTTGTTAAGTTTGAAATTCTCGGTTTTGCGAGGTGAACACTTGAAAAAGAGATGAGGGATTAGACTTTATCCGCCGGGAAAGATTGAACTTGTTTCGTAAATAGTGTGACATTATCTTGAAAAGTTGCTGCTCAATGATCTTAGTGAAGGGATCATTTGTTTGGTAGTTTTTTGACTATAAAGGTGATCTTATTCAATAGAGTTCGATTTGTTTAAGTTTGAAATTCATGGTTTGACAAGGTGGTTCTGTACCGAACACTTCAAAATGAGACGAGGGATTCGGCTTTATACACCATGAAAGGTTGAACTTGTTTCCTAGATTGTATGACATTAGCTTAAAATAGTCGTTTAATTCTTAAAAGTCGAACATCATGTTGGCACACATGGCTCGTTCAACACAATTCCTTTCTGACTAAGGCAATTACATTGTGTTTCTTTCGAGTTTGGAAGTTTAAATTTTTTATTTAAATAATATTTGATGTGATCTTTTATAAAAAAAATAAAAAATATGGAGTTCAAATAGTAAAAAACTTGGAAAAAAAAAAAAGGAACAGAAACACACCCTGCACTGTGTCTCTAAAAAGAACAGATTGGGGAGTAGTCTATTTAACTTCAAATGTTTTATTTATGTATAGTAAAGAACATAAAGCCTTAAGCTAAGTACAGTAGATCAATAATGGCTTCTGCTGGCTCTTTCTTTTGTTCTTTTCTATCTGACCCTGATTTTCTTATACTGTTGTTCTCAACAGAAGCTTAGAATACACGAAAGCCCGGCATTGCATCCGTATTAATCGATCTTTACAGCTTCTTCTATATCACAATAATCGGGAGGCATCTTCGAGCACTTCTTCATTTCCTACAAAACTGCAAATGAAGCGCCGGTTTCTTCGACTAGCAGTAATATCCAACATTGTTCTGCTTCTGACGATCCATGGCGTCGCCTCTGATCTCGACTCGGACACAAAGGCTCTCCTCGAATTTGCGGATTCTGTTCCACACGTTCGTGAGTTCAACTGGAAATCTCCCGGCTCGGTGTGTAAGTCGTGGATTGGTATCACGTGCTCGAAAGATGGATCTCGAGTGCATGGAGTGCATCTTCCCGGGATGGGGCTGTATGGTTCGATCCCCGTCGGTACTCTTGGCAAGCTCGACGCTCTTCGAGTCCTCAGTCTTCGATCAAATTATCTGAATGGAACTATTCCTTCAGACGTACTATCCATCTCTTCCCTTCAGTATGTTTTCCTGCAAAGTAACGACTTCTCCGGCAGCCTTCCGGTGTCCTTATCGCCACGACTTAGCTTCATGGATTTGTCGGCGAATTCTTTCTCCGGAAACATTCCGGAGACTGTCAAGAATCTGAAGAGGCTCTCTGTTTTGAACCTGCAGTTCAATACGCTCTCCGGGATCATCCCGGAGCTCGATCTGCCGAGGCTTAGGAGTTTGAATTTGAGCCATAACTCGTTGAGCGGTTCGATCCCGCGATCGCTGCAGAAGTTCCCGGTTTCTTCGTTCGTCGGAAATACTCGTTTATGTGGTCTTCCTCTGGCTGATAATTGCTCCGGTTTGTCTCCCGCCGACGTCCCTTCGCCGGAAAGCAGTCCTTTTTCCTCGACTCCGCCGCATAGCTCGAGGAAATTCAACTTAGGAGCCGTTATAGCCATTGTCGTCGCGGGTGCTTCGATTCTACTCCTTTTACTGCTGATCGCCGTGGTTTTCTGTCTGAAGAAGAAGCGAAATGGGAAGACGACGGTGATCGTTGCCAAGGCTGCGAATTCGGCGAAGACGGAGAACTTGAAGTCAGATGATTTCGGGAGTGGAGTGCAGGGAGCCGAGAAAAACAAGCTCGTTTTCTTCGAAGGGTGCTCGTATAGCTTCAATCTCGAGGATCTACTGAGGGCGTCGGCTGAAGTTTTAGGTAAGGGCAGCTACGGGACAGCGTATAAGGCTATTTTGGACGAAGCGACGACCGTTGTAGTAAAACGGCTGAAGGATGCTGGGACGGGTAAGAAGGAGTTCGAACAGCAGATGGAGATCGTAAACAAGCTCGGAAGGCATCCCAATGTCGTCCCGTTGCTTGCTTATTACTTCTCCAAGGACGAAAAGCTTCTCGTTTACGAGTACAAGCCGGCGGGGAGCCTCTCCGCAGCTCTGCACGGTAAGTTTTCTTGTCGATTCTCTTTTGTCTGCCGTCGATTCGTTAATCACTAAGTCGTCGCGACGTAACAGGTAACCGAGGGACGGGACGAGTGCCGCTCGATTGGGAGTCAAGGCTGAATATATCGCTCGGCGCGGCTAAGGGGCTCGCGCACATCCATTCCGAAGACGGCGGTAAGTTCATCCATGGAAACATCAAGTCGTCGAACGTATTATTGACGAACGATATCTCGAACTCGAACGGGTGTATTTCCGATTTCGGATTGAGCCCAATGATGAATTTCATTCCCGTCAAGTATCGCGTCGCGGGTTATCGCGCGCCGGAGGTGATCGAGACGCGGAAAGTCAGCCAGAAGTCGGACGTTTACAGCTTTGGAGTTGTCCTGCTCGAGATGCTCACGGGGAAGTCTCCGATCCAATACTCGGGTTACGACGACGTCGTCGACCTCCCGAGATGGGTGCGGTCCGTCGTCCGCGAGGAGTGGACGTCGGAAGTCTTCGATATGGAGCTTACGAGGTATCGGAACATAGAGGAGGAGATGGTGCAGATGCTTCAGATCGCGTTGTCGTGCGTCGGTAAGGCGCCCGACGTGCGTCCGAACATGGACGAAGTTGTTCACATGATCGAGTGCATTCGGCACCCGGAATTGCAGAATAGGCCGTCGTCTGAAGACGATCGGGCTAAAGACTCGACGGAGCAGCCGCCATCGAGCCAAGATTGATGTGAGGTTTGGATATCTTGAGGATGCAGTAAGTTATCCATCCAGAATCTCTGCAATGTAGTCTTCTTCTTCTTCTGCTGATCTTTACAATGTCTTGATATTTATTACAGTGTTCTTAAGTAGTATGATCATCGATGTTCATTGTATGAGTTTGTGATAAATGAACGTTAATTTCCATCATTTATATTATTCATCAAATTTTCCGCAATAAAAAAAATCAAATAAGCATTTATTTTTTATATTATATTAAAAATTAATTTTATATTTAAAATATTATATAAATACTAATTTATATTACATACGAATTATTTGATTTCAAAATTTTTATTATTTTAATTTCAAATCAAAATTTAAACTTCCAAACAAATACTCATACTCGATTTCTTCATATTTCTTGGATCGCACTTCATTATATGATCCATTTGCATTCACATATATATTTCATATTATATGTTTTAATTATATTTTAAATTTAATAAATTATAATTTATTTAATTTTATTTTTATATATACAAAAATTTAGGTAAAATATAATTAATAAATAATTAACAAGCATGTTAATAAAAATAATTATTACTTAGATAAAATTAAAATAACTAAATAATTTATTTAAAATTTTAAAAATTATAAATTAATTAATTATTTAATTTTAATTTATAATTATTTTATATTACTATATTATAATTAATTTTACTAATGTAATTTTAATTATTTACTAAATACAATTTTCCAAAATTTCAATAATATTGTAATCGTGAAATAAAATGATAAACACAACCATACCAAACACACGTAATAATATTATATATGAATTATAAAACATGCAGCCAATCATATGATAGCTGTCATATACCTGGTGGTCAGCATGCGTTCAATTCCCATTACATCAACAAGTTCCGGGAACCTCAGGGACTCGGTAAATCTACATCATAGATAAAAATATTAACGGCTCAGATTTACCAAAAGGGTTGGCATTGGGTAGGTTGGGAATATCGAATATCCCTCAAGACAATTACGTTTGACTACAATCTTGGCCCAAAAGGATTTTTATCCAATCAATACACGACACGTGTAAAACCAAACGGTTAACGCAACCCGAGGACCCGTCCCCATATTTTTCGCATGTGGTAGTTTAAAATAAAAGCGGCCACGAGACAACAGATGCGCTTTCTTCTCCAGACGAATTCTCTGAACCTGCAATCTCCAGTTTTCTTCAAGGTAATGAATCTGGATACGTTCAATCAATCGTTTACATTTGGTTCTGCGATGATTTATTTCGGTAGGATTTCGGAAATTGTTTACATTTATTATTATTATTTTTTTGTGGATCGATCTTGGTTTCGATGTCTTTCCTTTCCGATGTGTTTATTTGTTGTTTATCGATGGCTCATTGAAGCTGATTTTCATGCGTTGTTATGGAAACGGAATAATATTTGTGTTTCTAGGGTTTCTGATTACCCGATTTATCCTTTTCTCCGTTCAATTTTATGATTTTCGCGCGACTGCGCTGGTGATTCCGTGCGGTCGTTTTTTCTAGGGCTTCCGATTGGAATTGTGCGAATTTTCATTTCCGATTTGACTGCGTTGGGAGAGTTTTTCCGTTTATTTGAATTCTGATATGTTGTTGTTGTCTTTCTTCAATGGTTTTTGTTTCGTCATTTTCCGTAGTCGAACCTTTAATCTATTGTTCTATTGAAAGCCTTTGACATGATTTGTAGATGAATTGTATAAATCTATATTGCTAGATATGTCCTGTATCAATTATATATGACGTTTTGTTTACCAGTATTGCATTTCAGCTGAAGTGTGTCTATTCTAAATTTGAAATTTGTTTTGGTTAATGCTCCTCATTCCATGGTAGTCATGTGGCTTAATTGCCCTCATATCGTTAATACAAATCTTATATCGATTTATTGAAGGGCTTGATTGCTAATTCTCGAATGAATTGCAGCTTCCTATTGCCCGATGTACATGAATTCAAGAAGTACTGCTGCATCGTTCGTTTCCTGTCAAACGGGAAACAACAACAATCTCCTCTTTGGGGCCGTGAGCTGCTGTTTCTGCCCGTTTCTTGGAAGCCCTGTTTCATCTGTGAACTTCCTTCTGTTTAAGGCTGTTGTTCGTCGTCTATTGTTATCTGTCCTAATTTAGGCCGCGTCGTCTTTGCAACCATGGTTTCCTCTCAGTTTCAGCCAACAACTGCAACCAACTTACTGAAGCCTTTCAAAAGCCTCTCGATTGTCAAGGAATCCCCTGAAAATTATCCATATGATAATCTGGAGTTGGAGTTTTCAGATGTATTTGGTCCTGTACAATCTCATGGGCCTTTGCCTCAGATTTCTGAAGACTCGGCTGAATTCACTGTCCATGCTGAAGTGAATGAAGTCTATGACGAACCGGATGTGGTCCAATGCCGAAAGCATTCCTATGTCGGTCCTACAACCATTAGAAATCAGCCGCTGCGACTCAGTAGACAAACACCGGAAATTGTAGGGGAACTCAGCGACGATTCTGAGGAGAACTTGTCTGAATCGTACGATACTCGAGTTGACAGCAACATGGAGAAAGCAGCGGTGCTTGAGGACTTTGAATTTTTGAAACTTGTCGGGCAAGGGGCATTTGGAAAAGTATACCAAGTCAGGAAGATCGGTTCATCAGAAATCTTCGCCATGAAGGTGATGAGAAAAGATAAGATTATGGAGAAAAATCACGCCGAGTACATGAAGACCGAGAGAGATATCTTGACGAAAATCGATCATCCTTTCATAGTTCAGCTCAGATACTCCTTCCAGGTCCTATTTCTTCTCCTGTTTTGCATCATTCAATCTCAAAGTTTAGAAAAATTACCCATATTTACTCATGTTTCGATCAATTCGGTGTCGCAGACGAAATACAGATTGTACCTTGTTCTAGATTTTGTTAATGGAGGTCATCTCTTCTTTCAACTGTATCATCAAGGCCTGTTCAGGTACGACAATGTCTCTACAGCAACAAACATTTTTCTTACAGAATAGAGATTCCTGTTTCTCAGGTGTAGTTTTTGTTTTCAGAGAGGCTGACGGGCGTGTCTACACAGCCGAGATTGTTTCTGCCGTCAGCCACCTCCACAAGCACGGCATAATGCATAGGGATCTCAAACCCGAGAACATCCTGCTCGATGCAGAGGGACATGTAAGAATTTTGTTCTTCCGGATTACTTAATAATCTATGTTCAACGGAGTTCATCAATTTCGTGTGCTCGATGATTGCAGGCAATGCTTACTGATTTCGGCCTTGCAAAGCAATTCATAGGAGAAACAAGATCAAACTCGATGTGTGGGACGCTGGAGTATATGGCCCCTGAAATTATCCTCGGAAAAGGCCACGACAAGGCCGCGGACTGGTGGAGCGTGGGGATTCTCCTCTACGAAATGCTTACAGGAAAGGTATCAGTGTTTGGCATTTTGCTCGAAACTTTGCTGATTCGTTCAGACAACGAACTTCTTGATTATCCATCGATGTTTTGCAGCCACCATTTATCGGAGGGAATAATCGCCAAAAGATTCAGCAGAAGATACTCAAGGACAAGATCAAGCTCCCGGCATATTTGTCTAGCGAAGCTCACTCTCTAATAAAAGGGGTAAGTGCCATGGCAAAGCAATGCTACATTATTTCCACCATGTTATTACATGTAACATGACTAGAGAATCGATCATTGTCTGTTTCGTGTATCCTACATGTTTGCGAAAGTCGTTATTTCTGTCCTTTGACCGCACGTTCACACAACTCGCAGTTATGTGCAATTATGCGCGGCTAAATGATAGAAATAGTGATTTTTGCAAAACATGGGGATATTTTTTGCAATTTTCTCTACAAAACAGGTACTAGAAAATCGATCATTGTCTATGTTAGTTATATTACTTAGTCTTCCAATACGCCTATTCGCATACAAGGTGGATTCATATGGCACGAACCACCTTGCACGCGTACAATTTTGTTCATGTTAATTTATTTCACTTAAAAGTTTAAACTAGTAGAAAAATACATTATTAGTTACAAAGCTTAAGCTAATATGAAAATGTATAAATAATTTTTCTAACAGTATGTCTGCTCATTGTCTATTTCAGCTACTGCAGAAGGATCCGAGGAAGCGACTAAGCTGTGACGAGATAAAGAGCCACAAGTGGTTCAAGTCAATAAACTGGAAGAAGCTCGAGGATCGGGAAATTCTGCCTGGCTTCATTCCACATGTTGAAGGAAAGCAATGCACGGCCAACTTCGATGAACGATGGACTAAAATGCCATTGCAGGACTCGCCTGCGTCGAGCCCGAAAGAAAATCCTTTCCAAGGCTTCAGTTATGTCCGCCCTGCGAGCCGATTTCCGCAGGTGAATTTATCTTAAATTACCCTACATTCTCCTCCAGGCTGTGTCTTTTTTATTTGTATCCTAGACCAGATCGAACTTAAGAATCCTCTCTTGGTGTATGTTTCCATTCCAAGCCCTGTAGTAAGCGTGATTATTTTAGGACACCTTTGTTGCAGAACTATTTGCTTCGATCCAATCTTCACTCTGCATTTGTTATGTTGTACTTTTTTCTTTTCTTTTTTTTTTTTTTATATTTTTTTATCTATGATTAAAATTCTCTCATCCGATTAATTATTTACTTTAATCAATTCATCCATTTTACCAAACCAAAAAAATATATTATCATTCTTTACTGATCTTATTCATTTCATTCTCTGTGATCAAAATTGTTTTTATACTATTTGTAGTTACCCATTATAATTATATTATAATATCAAAAGAATAATTTAATAAAATTATATAAAAATAAATAAAATATAAATATTTATATATAATTAAACACAATTTAATATTCAAATCACACTAATATTAATCTTATTAATTAAATTTAATATATATTTATGTTATTATATTTTTTACATACCAAAATTTTAACTTATAAATCTAATTGAACACAAAATTTCAAATTTATCTTAAAATTAGCTCAAAGTTAATTTCTCCAAATCTCTTAAACAAGAAACACACTATATTTTAATTTATCTTTTATTTACTATTTCAAACCTAAACTGAAAAGTTTAAATCCAACAAACAAACACACAAATTTAGGTATGTTTTGTTTGAGATTTCTTTCGAGATTTTACTATTCAATCATTTTTTTTTAAATATTAAATTAGATATATATTTTTATATTATATTAAAAATTAATTTAAAATTTTAAAATATATATTTTTAATTCAAATCATAAAACTATACAAAGTCAAATTTTTATTATAAAAAAATCAGACTTAAAATCTAAATCCCCAATCAAATACACTTAGGGTGTGTTTGTTTGAAGGATTTTGGAGGATTTTCACTATTCATCCAATTTTTTCCCCCCAAAAACATCAAATCAAACACCTATTTTTCATTTTTTATATTATACTAAAAATCAATTTTACATTCAAAACATCACATCAAACCCTATTTATATCACATCATACAACTATTCAAATTCAAAATTTTTACTATTCAAATCCCAATCCAAAATCCAAACCCCCAAACAAACACACCCTAAAAAGTTTATAAAATTTTATCATACTGTGTTTTTTTTTTTTTTGAAAAAATAACTTCTTTTTTAATAAAATATTAGATTAAATCTTATTTTAATATCAAATAAAAATCAAAATTTCTCAAATTAACATTCTTTATTGAGTGAAGCCACAATAAGTATATGGAAAGAAAATAAATTTTGTAATTAATTCGTTAAATTTGCTTTACTTGGGAAGGAATCTTTTTAAATCAGGGCGGGAGTAGCGTTTTCATTCGGGTAACATCTGGATCTCTGGACCAAATAAATCCACACCATTGATTTAATGGGGTCCAATAAATCAACGGCAATAAGTGACCTGGGGTTCACAGTCCTCAAACCTCCTCAAAATATCATGAGTTTCTTTCTTTATGTCTGGCAATTTGCTTCTCTATTGTCTCTAGTGTTTGGTCTTTTAAAAATGTCAATGAATCAAAATCAAATTTAAAAGTAATTAACGAAGTTGTAGATGAAAAAAAATAAATTAAACAATAATAATATTATTAAAAAGGTAGAAAAATTAAATATTTTAAATTAACACAAACAAGTTCAAAATTTTAGAAGTGGGAGTTTGCTCTTGCTTTAATATGGGTTTATGTCGGTGCCTATGCAATTTTATTTATTTATTTTTAATTTCAAATTATTTCTTAATATTGATTATTGATAATTTTAGTACTAAACATTACTATTAATTAGGGAAAATAATAAAACGACGAATAAAATTTATTTGAATGGCTAAGGCGGGAACGTGGAGTGGGCCCCAGTGGGGTAGGGTGGGGGCGGTGGGGTGGAGTTTGTTATGTTCATGTGTATATGGCCGCTCTTATTGTTTGTTTTCCTCTTGTTTTGTTTCGATTTTTTCTCCTTCTCCTTATCTTCGCAAATCCTCTTCTCCTCTTCCGTTCTACCTTCTCTCCTTCAGTGTTTGCAATTTTTCTTCTCCTCTCCCGTTCTACTTTTCTCCGTTCAGGTGTTCAAGTTTTTCGCGTGCTCTCGTCTCTCGAGTTTAGAGGTAATTTCGTTTATTTATTTGATTATTTTTTAATTCAATTTTTGGAGTGTTGTTGCTGCGCGTGTTCCGTCAGATTTGTGGTCTGGTTTTGTTTGTGATCGATACTGTGCTGTTTCTGGATTTTGAGTGTCGTTTACATGTTATGTGAGGGAGACTTAGGGTTACTTTACGATTCTACTGCACTTATGGCAATTCGCGATTTGCTGTAGCGCTAGGCTAATGGTTTTGTGTTTTAGGTTTTGTTAGATTTGTTTTTTGTATTACCTGGACTGAGGATTGTCTTGTATGTGTATTGAGAATGCTATTGAATGAGAAGCAACGGTGAATGAATGTGCAGTAGTATATGTTTAATCAACTGTATTTATTATTTTATTGTATAGTTTGAAGTATGAGATGTGAAAATTCTGTGGTAATTGAGAAGAGGTTTCAGTTGAAGAATTTATGGAAACTTACGGATCTGAACTTTATAATACTACATGAATATAAATCGCAGCAATTATTTAATGTTTGGTTGAGAAGGTTTCCTGAGTTCATAATCGAATTGCATATTGCTTCCTACTCACCTTGAATATGTATAGGTTGAACATGGAGACCAAGGCGATGAAGCCGGCATGGTGGAATAACGTAGTTGATTCAGCGAAATCAGATTGGCTTGTGCAAAATATCAAGGGTAAGAATCTGAAGAAAACCTAATTTCCTTTTTGATTTTTAGGACAACCAGAATATGATTCAAATATTAGATGAGTCATACCGCCATGAATCTGCATCTCTTTGACTTCAAAACTTTTAGATTACTATCTGGTGTATCCAAATGTTAGAATCTGAAGCATACTTGGATGAATCCATTCCAAACATTGGAATTCTGTTTTGAGAATATAGAAAGAAAGCAGTTAGTTGAAATTCAGGACACAGAATTCTGATAGTAGTTTCTTTATGCAGGCTTTGAAGAGCATGTGCAACATATGCTGCATCTGATTGAACAGAATGGAGAGCAGGCAGAGTTGGTACCTCATATTACTGAAATCTCGGAAAGGCACCATCTGCTTGTTGATCACTTCATTAAGTTATCAGATGATTTGAATGGTTACATTCCTTCAGAAAAAACAGGTTATGATCCCCAGCAAACTCCTCCTTTCAAAACTCCATTGAACAAGCTTGGAATGCTGAATGAAGTTGGTTCTGATTCATCTCCAAGTTCTGGCAGTGGGGCTTCGGATGCGACACCTAATGAAAGCTCTGAATATTCTATACTGTCATCAGATTCTGATTCAGAATCATTCAACTCATCTCCAAAGATGGAAGTAGTGATCGAGAAGAAAAGTGAATGCAGCCAATGCGAAACTCTGCAGCAGAAAATTTCAAGCTATGCGAAAGAGATAGAGCATTTCAACGAGAAGCTTTCTTTTGCTGAAGAAGAAATTGCTAAACTGAAGAATGAGCTGCAGAATAATGCAACAGTTACGATCAACATGGGAAGTCTAGAGAATCTACTTGCTGCAGCCAAGAATCAGATTAAGTTGCACGAGGCCGAAATCGAAGAGGAGAACAAAAGATCTCTGGCGCTTCATCGACAGATAGTCGAGTTAGAAGCCAATCTCAAGTCAGAAAAGAGTCATTCCATGGAGCTGCAGAAGATCATAACAATGCAGTCGGAGGATATATCCAACCGAGTTCTTGAAATACAGAATTTGTTGTCGGAACTCCAAGATGTTTCAGCAACCTCTGCTTATGATAAATGGCTACTGGAATCCTCCATTGCCAAGTTATCAGAAAGCTTGGAAATCTCCGAGACAAGATCCGAAGACCTGGAGGGAAAATACTATTCCTTACTTGATGAGATCAAGAAACACGAAGATGATAGGATCGAGATGGAAAAAAAGCACGAATCCCTCCAAATTAACTTGCAAGAAGAGATCAACCACATGAAGCGGGAGATAAGCAAGAAAAACGATCTAGTCGAACTACTGAATAAAACAAAGGATGATCTGAAGCTAAAGTATGACACACTAATGGCTGAGAAAGATACACTCTATGCAGAGTTGAAATCCGTGAATTCCGAACGCAACGATCAAATCAATCATTATCAGCGTGAACTCTGCAAACTGCATTCTGAAATCGAGCAACTGTGCGACGAGAAAACAACGGCATGCAATAAGGTGGCTGAATTGGAAAGTAAGATGGATGAGTTAGAGGGAAAGATGGGAATGCAAGCGAAGGAGATGAACATGGTGGCGGAGGAAAAGAGGGAGGCTATAAGGCAGCTGTGTTTCTCTCTTGACCATTTTCGAACGCGGTATGAAGAAGTGAGGGATGCGTATCTGTCTAGGCTGCAGCCTTCTTCTGCTATTTCTACTTCTACAGCTTTGGTAAGGTAAGTATTCGTTTGTGATGTTCATCAGCTTCTTCTTTTTCTTCTATGCATGCTCTATTTATTTGTTAGACAATGTGTTTTGTTTTGGTAGTTCAATCCATCATTAGCATTGAGTGTGCGTGTGTGTGTATAAAGCATTTTGAATCTCGAAGGCGTAGTAATCCTGTTTGGTTTGGTGATTGGTTTTTCATATTTGTTTGAAAAATAGTTATGGTTTTGAATCTGTTTTTAGAGTTTTTTTTAGAACTCCTGTTATATAGCGGGTCTCTGTGGGCCTATCGGGTAGGCTTGTTCAACCTGTCATTGGGCTCATTATAAGCTCTATCTTGTTTGGGCCCATTAGTGGTTAGCATTAAGATAAGCTTGAGCGACGGTTTGCATCTTGGGGCAGAATGGGCGTTGTTGGGCGGGCTATAAGCGGTTTCTTAGACGAAACGGGTGGGTCAAAACCGAGCAAGACTTTGATATTATTAACATTCACATTTTTTAAAAAGTTTTTGAAATATTTATTAACTGTACTCTTTTTAGAAGAAAACCATCAAATACATATTTACTTTGTACTCAAAAAGGATTTAAAGGGAAAAAAAAGTTGCCGAACTGAAAATCTAATCATAATATATTAATAACACATGATAACATTATAATAAGACACCCAAACCATGCACACGTGTTGTCTGCCAAAAGCAAGACAAACTTACTTACAGTGGTTAGGCCCAACAGGCCCAATACGGTTTTCTTCTAGGCCCATATGGCCTGATATATTATTTGAACAGCCCACGACAACCGGATCAATAATACGTGTCCAAGAGCACATGCTGTCTGCAAAAATCCAACGGGCCAATTGAATGTCGGCCCAGGCTCAATTGAGCCCAATTTACTCGGTGTGGGTCCCCTCGACAGGCCCAGAAGTGTCACCCAATAAGCCGACAGAAGGACATAATGTCGGCCCAAAACCTGACGTCAAGTAGGCATGGACCATCAGCCCAACATTTTTCTGTGTGGGCTATACAGCCCAATGTAATGTCAGCATAAGCCCATTTTACAGGCCCAATGATTATCATCAAACACCCGACAGGATCACGTGCTGTCTGCTTTATAGAAGCCCAACCACGTGCATTCGGGCGCATCTGTCGCCTAACGGCCGACAGAACATTTGTCTGTCTACCCAAAATCAGACATACAGGTGCAGTTTATCCTGGACTATTAGGCCCAAATGTTATTTCTATATGGACTATATAGCCCATTGCAATATCAGCAAAAGCCCAATTAAGAGGCCCAATGATTGTCACCAAACAGCCGACAGGGTCACGTGCTGTCTGCCTTATAGAATCCCAACCACGTGCAGTTAGGCGCATGTGTCGTATAACGACCGACAGAAAAACATCTGTCTACCCAACATCAGACACACATGTGCAGTGATCCTGGACTATTAGGCCCAAATGTTGTTTTTAGATGGATTATATAGACCAATACAACTTTTTGAGAGGCCCAATGGTGGTTGCAGGCCCATCGAGCCCAACGGTAATGTTGATGCAGGCCCATCTAACAGACTCGTGGCGGTCGCACAACTGCCGACAGATGTTTAGGGGTCATCCAGGACTAAGCCCATCACGTGATGCCGTGCCTGACCGAACAAGGCCACGTGCTTTCATCAAGGCCCATCTGGCTCCTTTCCATTTTCAGCCTAATTTGTATTGTCTATTTATTAACTTAACGACTGGCAAAATAATCATCCAGGAAAAATCAACCGATTAATCTAATTTTATAATTGTTAAAAAAATATTAAACTAATAATTTTTCATCATGAAGATTGAGTAAATATATTAGCCCACTTTTCACATTTGGGCAAATAAAGTGGACCGAAACAAGTTTTGATGAATTGAATGTTGGGCTTATGGGCACTAGTGTAAGCCCATAAGCTAATTTCTAAGATCTATGATGGGTCTAATGGTAACATCTATTTCCCATTTCAACAAAATTCGGCTGTCATTTATAGAGAAAGCCCAACAACGCTACTCCCCCCAACCAAATTATTTGTTGCAGAGTTCCACGTGACCTACCCTCTTGCAGTCACAGTCACAGAGTATTTGAATAGGCTTACTTCAACATTTAAAAAAATAAAAATAAAAATGAATATAGTATTTATAGTTTTCAGTTCAATTAATTACTTTTTTTTTTATTTTTTTTTAATAATGGATATATCCATTTACTGTTTTAGTTTGAGATTAATTATATCAATAATATAAAAAATATATCATATACATATTATTTATATTACAGAAATATATATTATATTTTTAATAATATTAATTAAAAATTATGTCACAAAAAAACATATTAAATAAACCAACCCAATATTCTATGTTTTAATATATTCATATACTACTACAAATGTCATTCACATACAATCATTTATTTCATTATAGCAACACAATCTTTTAAATAAACTAATAATATTTAAATTATAAGACTAAATTTGATTAAAAGAATTAGTGAGTTCAAATTAACTTGTGTGATGAAAATCAAACTTAAATATCGGAAATACCAGTATAATTTTCTACGCACTCCTAGCACCCAACCCCCAGACCATCCCCGCTCTTATGAGAATATATTTCCATATCCGTCCATGCATACAGATACTCGACTGAGTATTGTGTATTTATGGAACCCTACTGAAGCTTAGTAAGCTTCCACAAATAAATATGGCATCAGCACAATAGGGAGCGCTCCACTGCCACTCGCATGTATATACATACAAAAAATTGTATGTATATACAAAATATATACGAGAGTGAAGCAGGGGTGGAGAGCCACAGAGGATCTCCTCCCCACACAACAATATAGAAGATGATTGTTCTCAGTATTTTTCTCTTTCCTTTTTCATCATACACTACATTGCTTTCTTGTGTTTGTGTGTGGGCGTGTATTTACTATATGTTGATTAGAATACACACTAATAATGCTTCATGTTACCTTTTAACCAAATTGAATTGGTTGCACCTTTGCTCCAAGCCACCTCTCACTGAAATGCGTTTCTATTCCTCTGGTTTGGAACAATGATGATCCTCTGATCCCGCAGCATATTCATATTGGGAGCCAAAATTCGCGTGTACCGGTCGAAATAAAGAAGCTGCTTCATGAGAAGCGCAAACTCCCGAGGAAATTTAAGGCCATACGATTCACTTACCCGAACCTATCATTTTAAAATCACAGTTAGGAGCCCAGAAATAAGAGCAGTCGTGATATCGAGAGAGTTGCTACTCTACATAAATGGCGACAAACTGGAAGTTATATACAAAACACGGTTGAATGAAATATATATATATACACACGCGCATAATTCTGAGCAGGATCGAAATTGTCAACTATATAAATGTGCGCAAATGCAGAGTGTCTTACCACATCGAGAAACAGCGCATTCATTTGTCTCTCGTCAACGACAAGATTGGCAGCAACGGCTGTTGTGTTTGTATTCGGCTCCCTTGCTGTAGCAACTATGATTTCAGTATCCATAGCCTGTGACAATGGACGAAACACCGTGAGTAGATTCTACTTATTGATCAAACCAAAAAAATCTCATAGAAGTGCAATGGATCCGGTTTTATTGTAAATTATCAAAAACCATTTAAATTCTGGTCATTTTGCAAAGAGATTTCTAGCTTGCCTGAAACAATAGTGTCATTCATATATACATAATACTTATCATGCTTGGTGTACGGATGGCCTATCAAATAAGGTAAAATTACATCTGCACTATGTATAATATATTTAGAATGCAACTATAAAATGAAAGATGACAATAAGAAACATGAACTTGCCTGAATCGAGGAAAATATCTTTTCCAGGTCCCTCGCGAAAGCCTTTGAGTCAACATCATTGCTTGTAGCACCCATATCAATCAAGGAAGAAGCCATGGAATCATAATCTTCGGTTGATAATGACGAAAGAAATAGTTCCATGGCAGTCCATGTTTTCGGAGAAATCCTCCCAACAATTCCTGTGGAGTAATTTATATCAAGAAAGTATAATAATTGAGAATACATCAACCAACAATTTCCAAAAGAGTTTCAAAAGGGATACAGGAATCCATAAGGTTAAAGCACAAAGGAAAGAGAGACGCTACGAGCAAAAAAAGAAGTATCATGTAGAAAATTTCGATAAGATTTATATCAAAAATTATTTACAAAGATTTTATTGAGAGATAAAAACACAGGAACCATCATGCACTACATACCAAAGTCGAGGAATCCGATGCGGCCATCACGTAGTAGCCACAGGTTGCCAGCATGAACATCGGCATGAAAGCTCTCACATGCAAGCAAGCTACCAAACCTGGAAAATTGTACAAGATACATACGTCTATCAGATCATTTTGTTTCCACTATAACAAAATCATGTAGTTGTAATTCAAGTTAGAGTCGTACCAGACATTTAAGGCAGTTATAAGACTGTTTTCTGGATTCGGAACAAGCGAGTTAATAGAATTCAAGTCTGTTAGAGGTACTCCATAAAGCCTTTCCATGGTGAGAACCCGTTTAGTGCTATATTGCTGATATACTTCTGGAGCAGTAGCTTGCCTTATGAGTCCCATTTCTGCCAAATATCTCCTGAAAGATTCAATGTTCCTTGCCTCCTTCTTAAAATCCACTTCTTCAAGCATTGATTCCTTTATGTCTTTAACAATAGCAACCTATCGACAAAATCTCTGTTTTAGATGAATGTTCAGTAAATATAACTAAACAAACTAAAGGAAAAGGCGAGGAAAAAGCCTGTGACCTGTATTCAGTTGGATATCATATCCATGTTTCCGCTTCATAATAATACATATATAAATATAAAAATGACAAATCAGTCACCACGCGTGTTTTCCAACCAAATCAGGTGCTCCAAGATTACTAGATTTTAGGGGCAACCAAAAAATATTGAGCTATCATATAAAGAGGGACAAAGAAGGCTAGTGTGATGTAAAATAAATTCACTGCTATATCTTGTGTTATCAGAAGCATAATTAAGTCAGCTACACGAATTAAGAAAAAAAAATGCACATATGTAAAAAAAGAGTCGCAAGGGAAAGCATGTACCAGAGATGCTCGGCTTAGGTCGGGACTCAAAAATTCCAAAATGCGTGCAACAATATATACGAAGTTCAAATCTGCCACCAAGATATCTTCTATTCCTGGTTTTAGAACCTTTATAACTACATCCTCTTGGGTACCCCTTATCCTAGCAGCATGCACCTGAGAATTAAAACATACAATATCATTTATGATTTACCTCAAACTAGTAAAATCCAGCAAAAAGAGCTACAGGACTCTCTGATAAAAAACCTGTGCAATGGAAGCAGACGCTAAGGGTGTTGGATCCACATACTCAAATACAGCATCAATTGGCTTGCCTAACTCCTCACGCAAGATTGCTTGAATCTCTTGAAAGGGAACTGCAGGAGCTCGGTCGAAACAGTATTGGAACTCCTGGACATACTCTGGTGGAAATAGTGTTGGGGCAGATGCTATGAACTGTGTATTTTCAAACATCAGATGAATTTTGACGTTAAGAGAATGAAAAGAAATAATCTAATTAAGTGTCAATCTGGTGATCATCTGATCAGAAGTGTGATAAGGGCAATAAGTTTATAGTTTGTCAAAACAATGAGGAAGCTAAAAACATTTATATTATCTATTGGAGGTTATTGAGTAACAAAAGGAAGAATAGAACAGAGAGATAGAAAGGCAGTATAGACCATCCATGCAGCAGACACAGAGGACATAGTAGAAACAGTATGCAGGCATAGTCTTCACATACCTGACCTAATTTGATGTACGTTGCACCCAGGCGTTCAAATAATTTCCTCAAATAGCGGGGTGATAACAATCCAAGCTGAAGTTCAGTTGCTAAGCCAGTAGATGTATTTGCAGCCTAAATAGATCAAATAGACCAGGTCATACCCAGTAAGCAATTAAACAACAATTAGAATCATTCTGACCAGCTTGGGCAGTTAGAATTGTTAGTATCAAATACATCATGCATCGAACGCGGACTTGGTTAAATAAGACATTCACAAGGGAATATTGTGACAAAAGAAGGATGTATTAACCATGTAGCTGGGTGGGGTACATAAAATAGACAATGAACGTGGGAAATATAAAGTATATACCAATATACCAACTGGAAATTAGATCAAACATGCTCTTTCTGATCATAAAAATACTACTATGATAATTACACCCAAATGTGACACCGAGCCCCAATCACATAGCATAGTGCAGCCAATATGTCAATTTTACAAGACAACAGATGATATACAATATTCTCAATAAAGATAAAATCAACCTAATTAACGTAATACCTTGGAAGCATCAGCCAGCCACTCACTACCAACACCAATAACTGCTTGGATACCTTGAGCTAATCTAAGAGCTCCACGAGGACCAGTACTTAAGGATGTCTGGACAATATCCTCCACAAGTTTCGGCAGGTTCTCAAAACCATCTAGAGCAATACAAGGTCAGATGAACATATTTCATTTCCTCTCATTTTTGAGCTAAATAACCATACGAACTTTAAATATGAACGAAAAATGTAAGCATAATTTGGACTAGTCAAATTTTAAGAAATATTTAATGAATTAATCCTATAACACAACGCAGTTGCACAACTACAATCTCAAACCCGCCATTTTTGCTATAACCAAATTGATATTTAAAACCTCAGTACTAGAAGTGTACAAATTCAAACTCCATCCGCATTCTCGATCTCTCAGACTATACAACCACAGACATCAGTCTTCAAGTTTATTAAGTATTATTAAGAAACCATAATGAAAAACCTAATAGCGATTCATCTAAGAAATCAGTCTATTCAATACAACATACAGATTCCAAACCAGCTATTCAACTACGCTCAGTACCTTGAAGACGCCTAGTGAAGAGGTCCGGCGGCTGCGTAGACCGAGCAAAAACAGAGAACCTATTAAACCTCCTTGTCGATGTGCATTTAGATACAGGAATCTGGAATACGCATCAGGAAAACAATCAGTTCTGCTCTGCACGCAATTTCCAAAAGACACAAACACACAAAAATATGAATATAGTCGATTGGAGGAACTAGACGAACCTGAGAGTGATGAATCAACGGAAAACGGCTACACGAGGCGCCTCTGAACGCCAGACTTACGGCCATTTATCCTTCAATGATCTTCTTCACCGATTTCTTCGCGAAGGAGACAAATGAGTAAAATTGAAAAATGTCAAACACAGTCGAAAGGCTGTAGAGATGAGTCGGTCGTAAATTACCTGTTGACGGGGACGTGGACGAGAGGCTAAAACATGTGTTAACACGCTGTCGTAACGTTCTAAGTACGTTTGAGTGAAATATCTCTTCCAGAACACGAAAATGAGGACACGTGTCGCCTTAATCCACCGCTATTTTATTGGGCCACAAAAATTACTATTTGGCCCATTAGAAAAGTAAATTTATTAAAAAAGTTAAATAGTAGTATATAAATATAAAAATATTGTTAGAATTTTAATTATTTAAAAATATTTTTGGTTTGAATTTAATATTAAAATGATATATAATAGAATGATATGTGACATATATTTTTGAAAAAAAAGCTAGTCCAAATAGTCTGGGGTTAGAGAAACAAACGGCAGCACAAATCAATCTTTGTTTTCGGTAGTTTTTCCATTCAAATTTTTGTAGCATTCATTCAAACCGTGATATCTAAAAATACACTTCTTTTCATTAATAAAAATATGCTCCGTCCCTTCACATAATTTGTCCACTCTCCACAAAATTTATTATTTTTAAAAAATATAATTATTTATTTAATACTATTTTAAAATTTATAATTTACAATTTTTTTTTAATTTTAAATAAACTATTTATTAATTTTAATTTATAATTATTTTTATTAAATCATAATTATTTTTATTAATATATTTTTTAACTACTTACTAATTATACTATATCTAAAAAAGAAGATTTAAAAAGCAAAACTCCCAGACTATGCATAAATGTAGCAGAATAATTAAAAGCATAGTAAAGTAAAGTTACAAAACGCTCTAAAACTATGCATAAATGTTATGGAATGATCAATTTGAAATAACAAAAATTCACGTACACTGGATGATCATGATCAAATATTACAGGTTGATTTCTTCATATTGTTAGAGTTGATACTTCCGGAGCAGAGGACCAAAACCACCACGTCTAACAAATTATGTTTCTCCTCTGCTACTCTGTTATAACTAATTCTTCTTGTATATTCTATAGCATCTAATTTTTTTTTGTGACTCTGTATATAGCTTGTGCATTCTGTCCGCCAATTCCCAATATTTAATCAAAATATTCAGAAATGAAGTATTGCAGTAACTTTCTTCCACTGCTGCAAATCTGAGCCGTTGTTCCCATTAATTTGTTCTTAGTCATCTCTGTTCTTATCTCAATACATATCCTGACACAAAGTAGCCTATCTTTTCAACAATGCAAGGCCTATGCGTCTTCCTCTGAATCCGACTCAGACTCAACATGGTGATGGAGAGGATTTAGTCGGTTCGTATTGGCTTCCAATGGCGGCAATTCATCGTCACTGCTACAATTTTCTTCATCTTCTTGTCGAAGAGTATCAGAATCTAAGCATTGCATTGAGTTCTCTCCTGGCGTGGATTTGAAGATCTCGGGCCTGCAACAATGGGCATCGACAAGTGCAACAGTTAAGTAAGAACAGAATAAAAGTGCCATGAAAGCATGAAGCAGTGTTCTTAAAAAAGGATTCTAGAGGCTTAACAGATCAACATTTGATTTCTTTGCTTCATCCAAAGCAATTCTTGCTAATAAAGAGAAGTTGGAAATAATCAGAAAATAAGATTGCACTTCTTATTTTAAGTTTAATTTTCTGAGCAACAATGGAGCTCATCTTTTGGATTGGATTTATCATTCAGATATACTGTGATCTTTCAGCAGAGTAACAATGGGTTAACAAGCAAGTACTTACCATTCAGATGATTTTTGAAGCAAACGAACTTGATCATGATAAAGGACTTGTGTAACGATGCCAGCGACTTTCCTACCAGATTCAACCGCTTCCTCTCTCCCGCTTTCATCAACAACTACAAAGTTCCCTGCTCAGCCACAGGTGAAATTCAAAACCTTTACTATCGATTATTATCCATAAGTGTTTTAGTATCAAACTGAGTTTAATTTGCAGAAATGATATATCAGTGATGGATAGTAGATGCCTAGAGCAGACAACTCAACCATGGAGCGTACCTCGTTTGATCCACATACTTTTCTGAAATTTGGCTGGAAAGATAGCAATTAATTTATCCCCTTTTGTGTCCATCACCTTGATTGGTCGATAAATGTAGTAAGATAGACATCAAATTGAATGATACAAGCAGGTAGGACACAATTTTATACCTCAATAAGATTAGATCCCCTTAGATCCACAACCTGCATTATGCTTTCACCATGTTGAAGAGCAGTCAATTCTTCAGCCACCGCCCTCTTGAGATTCTTTCTTCCTCCTCTCATGACTTGTAATAGCTTAAATTTGATGTCTTCGTCTGCACAATAGTAATAGAGCAAAAATAAACTTCATAGCAAAAGATCGAGTTCAACAGTTCCTAGTATCATGAAAATGGAAATTGAAGTAGGAGACGAAAAAGATTTGCAGGTTTTCCTCATGTGAGAAAAGGAAGATCGATACTACCAATGAAACAAAAGGCTTATACAGATTTGATTACACTTTTACACTGAGCAGTACTAATCTGATTAGCCAAAAACAATAAGTTACACTTGGTTCTGTTTCTCGCCCATGAATAAAGATTTCCATCCAAAAACAGAATAATTATAAGTTTGCATATGAATTATACTCACGGTTGTGTGTTAGATCATCTTTCTTGTGAAATCTGATACGAGGCTGAAATTGTTACAATGCAGGTGAGAGTTGGACATTTACAGAAGGGAGGGGTAACATATATCATCCATCAAGTAAAATTTTAGCCATAGTAAAAACAGAAACAAAGAATAACCACACAAAGAGAATATGGTAATCGAAACTAAGCAGGAACCAACTGTGGCGCACCGTAGTCATATGAGAGTATTCCTTAACAACATCTCCTTCCCCCAAAACAATGATTAATCAATATTTTTTACGGAAGAGGACGAAGATGGGGACTGGAAGACGAAGTCGAGGAAGATGAAGATGATTTCGGCAGACAACGAGGATGAGGACGATGGGGACAAGACCAACGGCAGACGGCTACTTCACCAGACGAAGGACGACGATGGAGAGGGAGAGGGAAGACGACGACGGCGAGGGGAGAGGCAAAACAAATTGGATTAGGGTTTATTTATGTAATTATATTATTTTATATATTTATTTTTAATTACTGCTACTCTACATACTGTCAAATTTATAAACAGGCAAAATAGTTATAACTAACATTTTTTGTTTTGAAACTCTAATTTTTAAAAATTGTATATATTTATATATTTGTTAAAATATAAATCAAATTAATAATAAATAACATATAACGTCTAAGTAAAATTATGTAAGATTCACTCTAAATTTTTTTATTTCTATATTTTATTTATATTTAAAATTTTACTTTTTTTTTATAAAATTAATTTATATTAATTATAAATAAATTAACATATTTTTATTTAATTTTATTATAATAAATTTTATTCATTAGAAAATAGCATATATCTTTTTAAGGAAAAAAAATCAATTTTGATCCCAATATAAAAATCTCATCAATTTTAGTCACAATATAATCAATTTTAGTCCCATTATAAACAATTTCAATCAATTTTGATCTCACTGTTAAAAAACTAACGAAAATTGCTGATGTGGACATAACGGAGGTGACGTGGCAGTTGACCTGGAAAGTACACGGCCATGTACAATTATACACGACCATGTTGTTACATGATCATGTATATTTCAGTGTATAATTATACATGGTCATGCTGTTACACAGTTGTTACATGACCATGTATATTTCAGTGTATAATTATACATGACCATTTTGTTACACGATCATGTAAATTTCAGTGTATAATTATACACGGTCATGTTGTTACACGGCCATGTAATAACATGACCATGTTTCGGTCTAAAATTTTATTTTTTTGTTATATTTTTTAATTTTATTTTTTTTAAATTTAAAATAGTTGATATAGTTAAAATGGAAAAAAAATCAATAATAATTATACTATAATTAAAATGTATCAATTTTAATTCAAATATAAATATTTATCGTTCTTTTTGAAGATTTTGTCTAAAGTTTTACTATTTAACAAAAAAAATTTCTTTTACAAACATTCAATTACATTGAAATAATAAATTAATTTTTAATACTACTATAATATACAAAATTAAAAGATAGTTGTGTAATTGGATGTTTGTAAATTTTTTTTTTTTTTATGAATAATAAAATTTTAGACAAAACATTTCAAAACCATACTTCAACCTCGGATGTGAGGAACATTATGAGAAGAGGAATATATCTAATAAATTTTTATATTTGAATTAAAATTGATAAATTTTTATTATATTATAATTATTATTGATTTTGTCCATTTTAACTGTATCAACTATTTTAAATTCAAAATAATTTTTTTTTAAAAAATATAACAAAAAAATAAAATTTTAAATTAAAATAGAAATGTATATGGTCGTGTAACAATATGGTCACGTATAATTATACACTGAAATATACATGACCATGTAACAACATGGTCGTGTATAATTGTACATGGCCGTGTACTTTCCAAGTCAACTACCACGTCATCTCCGTCATGTCCACGTCAACAATTTCCGTTATTTTTTAACGGTGGACCCAAAATTGATTGAAATTGGTTATATTGAGACCAAAATTGATTGAAATTGTTTATAGTGACACTAAAATTGATGAGTTTTTTATATTTAGACCAAAATTGATAAATTTTGATTATATTGAAACTAAAATTGATTCTTTTTCCATTATTTTATTAAAATATAATCTTTAAAATATTTAAATACATATTCTATATTTTAATAACATATATTAAATTTATTTTAAAGTTTCAAGTATTATTAATTATATAAAAATAATATTATAATGAACTATTATTAATAAATTAAATATCATTATCTTAAACATAACGTCACTAATAAAAAAATTTAATTAAACCGGAATGGAAGGAGTATCTTCTAAAAATATAACATAAAAAAAATTAGGCAAGATTCATTGGGTGCAAAATTTTCAAATGACTAAATTATAAATAACTTTGTCTTATAAATATAATAGTGCATTCGACCACTTTATAATTATATATATATATATATATTGTACCAAAAAATTATAAATATTATATTTTAATAATAATTAGTTATAGTTTTGTATTTAAATATTATTTTATCTATGTTGTGTAAAATTATTATGAAAGTATTAATGTAATAGAAGGTCTTTGGAATATGTAATGAAAATTATTATGAAAGTATTTTAATGAGATTCGTATTTATTAAGAAAAAATGACATTTTTTGTTTGAATAATAAAAAATAACAAAATATATAATTACCAAGTACACGAACTATTAAAAGTAAATTTAATTTAAAAATTAAACAAATTTGAGTTAATATTAGAGATATATGTTTGTCATTTGATATTTTTTACTCTCTTTGTCTCAACTATAATGTCTATATTGCTATTTTCGTCTGTTAGATATTTGATTTTACTTTTTAAAAAAATTATAAACTTTAATCTTGTTTTAAAATTTTAATTTTAATTAGATTAATTAATTATTTTAATTTTAATTTATAATTATTTTTATTATACTTTCACTCGTAAAATGTGAATATGGTAGTTGAGAGGTAGAAAATATTTTTTATTTTACTATGTATTCTGAGTTCTTTACAAAATATATATATATATATATTGACAGCTCCAAACAATATTTTTTCATAATAAAATATTTTTGATTTTATTGTAAATTAAATAATTAATTTTAATCTTATTGAAAATTATTGATCAATTTTACGGATCAAGATTCAACTGGGGGATTGGATTCAAAACGAAAGATGACATATGATACATATATACGAATACACCCGACTAAATATAATTCTTTTTCAGAAACTGTAAATCAACCAGGCGCATTTTTTATTTTTTATTTTTATGTTTTTATTTTTTTTTACTGTCCTTGAATGTGATTACTTTTTTTATCAAGTTTGAATATTGAGTAATGATTTTGGTTTAGTAGTTACAAGTACTAATAAATACATAAATAAACAACTATCAGCTCAACTGACACCAACATGTTTGACTCCCTAATAATTCCAAATGATCAAATTAAACTTTAGAATACACAACACAATACAATTATTCTAAGGCAACAGTATAAAGTGACATATATACAGATTTGTGACAAAGATGACCTGTCACACGGCTGCACGCTTCTAAAAAAAGCACTATAGTGTAGAGATTTTCACCATATACCTAAAATTCAGATATTATTTATTGTATATACTGTATTTCTCTATTTAACGTCTATAGACTATAATATGGTAAAGGCCACTACGTGCATGTGCATGCAAAGTATATATAATACATCCTTACCAGCAATAATAGTAATGCAAATTATGGAGGATCATATCATATTATCTTATAATCTTATCATCAACATATGTGTGTATATATGAATATCTACTCAAATTGGAAACTTTCTATATCAGGAAACTGACCGTTGAACTCGAGACAGCTGATCCCATCAAAGCTAGTAGACCCACACGAGGCACCAGCTGCTTCTTCCCATTCATACCCAAATATTTCCCTCCACGCATCCTGCAGCGGCGACGACGATTTTGCATCGTCAGACGACGAAGCGTCTTGATGATTGGGATCTTCTTGTTTGATGGATAGTAGCGGGGCGGGTTGTTCGAGTGTCGGGTTGGTGGGGCGGGTAATCGGGGCCGGGTTGTTTGATTGATCAAAGCTGAGAAGATTGGGGATTTGATCGTGATGATTGTTATCCACTAGTGGAGGCCTTGGTGTGTGAGAGCATGTGTGGTGACTGAGGTATGTGGTTTGAAATAATGCGGGATCGTCCTTTATTTTTTGGACTTGCTTTATAGCTCTGCACCCTTCTTGCTTGTGGGTGCACCTGTAGTAACACCTGCACCACCACAACATATAATTAATTAATTAGTTTACAAATTAAAAAATATTTACTATTCAACTTTTGGAAAAATATTACATTAAGTATATTTTTTATATATTAAATACTAAATTTTTTACTATTTTTATATTTTCAAAATTCTTCAAAAAATATGGTTATTTATTTATTTTTAATCAAAGTTTACATCATGCAATTGGAGTTAATTAAATGCAAATTTTCTTCATTGGTTATTATTGTAAGTGACCAAAATTATTTATTGTAAATAGAATATAAATAAGTTAAGGGACAACAAAAGAAAAACTAACATAAGTATTATATATAGTTAGGACATGATATTGATTTTGATGGGATTGAGAAAGAAACGAAAAGGACATATAAATAATGATTGAAAGCATTAGCATAAGCTTTAATATATTTTGATTAAAGTAGCTTTTGAAGTTATTTATATATGATGCTCACCTGATATACAAATATCTCAGATCATGACTGGACGCAATGTGCATCATTGTTTCATTATAAATATTGCTTTGAAGTCACCAAAATTTACAGATAATCATAGTTATTCCTAAGAGCTGTAAAGCTAATGTTTGTTAATTTGGAGTTGTTTCATCTAAATATAAAAGTGAAATAAGCTATTGATAGATCTCAATCACTTACTAGTATTATATATATATATATCTATATTATATAATCATTAAACTAATTAATATTAATTATGTTTACTTGATGAAATATAAGATAATATAAATTTAGTACACTATTTTAGATAAATTAATCTCATCTAATTAACCTAATCACTCAAACTAAATATATCCTATTTGTATTTTCTATTCAATTATGTGATATTTTTTTTCTAGGGCTTCCGTACGACAAATAATTATTTTCTTATGATTGCATGTTTTTTAGATCATTTCAACTATGCATGAAATTCTATTATTATTATTATTATTATTAGCAGCAAGTGGACAACTAGAAACATATAAAATGTGACATAATAATAAATGGTCTACTGCAAGTATGATACTGAGAGAGAGGTGGACGCACGAAGTTTTATTAGGCAAATGAATAATAAATAATGGCAACTAAGAGTGTGCTTGTTTAGTTTTAGATTTTTATTTTTATTATTTTTATTTTTGTGGTAAGGTATAAAGAACGGTAAAAGTATTTCAAAGAATAATATTTGTGAGTTTTTTATATGTATATGTGTATATATTATATTTTTTAAATAATGTTGTAATTAAATTAATCGTGTACTAAAAACAATAAGTGATACACTATAATTAATGACAAATACGAATAATCAAGTCATGAGGTTTAATTTGTTCTAATGCGTCAATATCTATCGAAAGCATATTTTTTGACAATAATAACGTGGAAAAGGGAAAGTATTGTTACCTAGGAAATTCGAAGTTCAAAATATCCTTCTGTCCATATTTTCTCCAAGCATAGCCATCGTCTTCCACAGGAGAAATTATCATCCATGAATCTGAAGTCCTCCTGCAAATTAAATCAATTAGTTTATAAAAATTATTCAACTAAAAGCACGACGTATTATTTATAATCGACAAAGTTAAAGTGTGGCGTTTCAATTTTTATACATTTGGCTAAAAGCCTAAAACCTGTCAGAAAGTATTGTACGTACAAAGTGAGAAATCCAAAAGTCAGCTTTGCATATGTCTCACAAGTTGAAGTTAAAAATATGTAATTATGCACAGTTGCCTGTTCTCAAATCCTTTTTATCAATATTATACGTATATTTTTTCACCAAATCTCTACTGCTTTCGTGTGGATCGAGATCTGTTTACATCTCTCAAATTCATAGTAAAAATTAAACAAATTTCATACCTATGCATTTCACAAATTTTGTGAAGAAAAACAAACTTTGTGTATATATAGATGCATAAATAAATAATTCGATTATCTTATTTAACTGTTCATCAGTACGTAGAAGCAGCGAAGGCTCAGTACCTTCTCCTGTAGCATCCTCTCCGAGTTTTGACCGGCGGTTTCCTTTTCCTCCCGTCGGAGATCGGAGCGGAACTCGTTGAATCGGCGCAAGAGGAAATCACGGAAAGCGAGTTACTAAAAGATCTGAAGATTTGCAGAGCGAGAGCTTCAACATCCACAGCTCCACGGTCTCGAACAGGTTTGCGAATTAGGGTTTGTAGTTGCATCGTCACTTCTCTGCCTTTCAACAGCTCCGCAATCACTGTTTTCCGTACTGCATGATTGCCTTGATTGTACGGATCATCCATTGTCGAGATTTTAGGAGGTGAGATCTGAAGGGATAAGAGGTTCTCCGATATGGTTTTTTCTATATAAAAATGGTGTGATTGAAGGAAAGAGGGAAGTAAAGCGAAGGAAGTTTCAGAGAAAATTGGTGGTTTTTAAAATATAAAAATAAAAAATGATAATAATATTGTGGTTGGATAGACATGAAGCAGCGTGACATCACGCATCCTACGCCGGGGCATGACACAAACACTTGCAGCTTATTTGCTTAGATGGTGTTGTACTGTCAGTGACTTTTATTTTAGCGCCCCCAATAATTGGAACTATGGGGTGCCTGTTGAGAAATTTTGTCGGGTGTGTTTTACTGAGTGTAAATTTTAATTTTTAATTTAAATAATATTTATAATATATATTTTAATGCTATGAGTAAAGTTTTAATGTTTACTATTTTTTTAAAAAAAATATTATTTTTACTTATAACATGTTATAAGTATAAAAACTAAAAAAACCATAATTTCATCGTCTAAACCTCCCTACAATATGTATGTAATACATATATCACAACCACTATTTCAATTCTATAAAAAAAAATTCCCACAAGGATTGTCGCAATGGTTACTGCTGCACACTCGAAAATTGGTTAGGGTGTGTCTGTTTGGAGAATTAGATTTTAAGTTTGAAATTTGAATAGTAAAAATTTTGAATTTGAATAGTTATATGATATAATATAAATAAATGTTGATGATGTAATGTTTTGAATTTAAATTAATTTTTATTTATAAAATTAAAAAAAAATCATAATTAATTTGATATTTTTAGGTGAAATTCTTTTATGAATAATAAAAATTAACAAAAATATTCCAAACAAACGCACCCTATAAAAAAAACTACCGTTAAATACTAAACACCTACACAGACCGCATCCAAACCCACCGGGTCACAAATTTCCTAAGGAGGAGGGGGTAAATAAGTCATTTCAGATAAATACCCGTCACAAACAGCCAGCCTCAGCTTCAACCTCAAAATCCCATTCTCCTTCCCTCTCCATAACATTCCTCAAACGCTCAACAGCCTCATAAATCTCAACTGCCCTGCAACAACAACCACCACCCGCCATAAACACGTCCACCTTATCCTTCACCTCAATCCAGCTACACCCCGCCGCCTTCCCCAGCCCCCTCCGCCGCATCGCCGCCCTCACCTCCGCCGCCTCCTCCTCCATCCCCGCATCCGCATACATCTTCATCGCCTGCACGTAATTGCTCCCGCACTCCGGCTCCATCTCCACCAGCTTCCGCGCCGCCACTTCCCCGATCTCGACGTTCCGATGCACTCGACACGCCGACAGCAACGACAGCCACACGCCTCGATCGTCCCCGATTGCCGCATCCTCGATAAATCGAAACGCATCGCGTAAACGTCCCCGCCGCCCGAGCATGTCGACCACGTTCACGTAATGCTCTGTTCTCGGCTCGATTCCGTATTCCCTCATCGACACGAATAGCTTCGCGCCTTCGGTTAGAAACCCGCCGTGATTGCACGCGGAGATCACGGCGAGGAAGGTTAGCGCATCGGGCCGTGTTCCCGACTCCGCCATCTCGTCGAACAACCGAATCGCCTCGTCACATTTCCCGTGTGATCCGTATCCCGCAATCATTGAATTCCAAGTGACGACGTCTCTCTTCGTCGTGCTTCGAAACACCCGTTCTGCATACACTAAGCATCCGCACTTGACGTACATATCGATCAACGAATTCCCAACTCGAACATCTTCCATCATCGTTGCAAATCGTACGCAATAACCGTGTAATGCCTTCCCCTTAATCAGCCCCGCAATCTGCGCGACGGCAGCAAGAACAGTCGTGATCGATACTGCGTCGGGGCGCTGAATCTGAGAAAAAAGACTAACGGCGAGCTCCGGCAAGCCATTTTTCGAGTAGCAAGAAATCAACGAATTCCACACCACCAGATTCTTCTGCAAGACATTCGAAAATGCCGTTTTCGCCATTTCCGGTTGCCTGAGTCTAGAATAGAATTCAATTAAAGAACTACCGACGAAAGCATCCGAGTCGAGCCCTTCCTTAACGGCGAATCCATGAACACAGCAACCCAGTTTACCGTTACCGAGTCCCGAACAAGCAACAATCACGGTCGCTACGATACTTGCATCCGGTTTCCGGCCATCGAATTCCGTCGATTTGTACAAACTCAACGCCTCGTCGAATTCCCCGTTTTCGCAGCTTGCAGATATCATCGAGCCCCACGCGACGACGTCCTTCTCCCTTATCAGATCAAAGACCTTTCGCGCATCTTCAAAACTCCCGAGTTTCGAGTACATCGTCAACAAAGCACTCTGCACGGCGACATTTTCTTTCAGCGACGTCTTCAGCAGTTCCGCGTGTAAAATTTCGCCCAACTTCTGCGATCCCATCACACTGGACGCAATCAAAACGTTCGATAACGTGAAGGTATCGGTTTTGACGCCCTTACTTCGCATCCGAGCGTAAGTATTGTAAGCATATTCGGGTCGATCGCAGTTTACGTACGCAGAAATCATGCTGTTCCATATCTCGACCTTTCTTTCATCGGTGCAAGAAAAAATCCTCTCTGAATCTTCGATCAATCCACTCTTCGAATAAAAGGCTACGAGAGAGGTTATTACATACGGATCACTCTCGAAGCCTGTCTTAACTATGTCGCAATGTATCCGGAAGCCAAAGTCGAATGCCTCCCCCTGCGAACACGCTGTTAGAACGCACGAATATGTCGTCGAACCTATTTCAAGATCGGCGCCCTTTGCCAACACGTACAGATCCAAAGCGTTCCTCCAATGCCCGGTAGCGCATAATCCGTTGATCATCGAATTCCACACTGCAATGCTCCGACTACCAGCCGACGAGTCGAAAACGTTCCGGGCATCGAAAATCCTGTTAGATTTGAAATAAGTATCGATCAATTTAGCTGTCAAAAATGGATCATCTTCAAGAATGTTCCTCACAACATAACCATGGATTTCTTTCCCATAAGAGCAGCAGCCATTGAACATTCCAAGAAGAATGCAGAGAGTATAGCCATCAGGCTTAACATGAACAGCTTGCATTCGTCGAAATCGATCGATACCTTCGTCGAAAAATCCATGTTTTGAATAGCCATCGATGATGGAGTTCCAAGTAGCAACATCGAGGGCTGAAATTTTAAGCGGCATTTCGTCGAACACTTTGGCTGCACTGAAGATGCTGCCATGGCCGACGTACATCCGGACGAGAGAAGTGACGATGTAAGGGTCGGAATGGAGACCTAATTTGAGGAGAGTGGAATGGAGCGTCTCGCCATGGATGGACCTCGAAGGAGAAGTGCAAGCTTTGAGGAGAGAAGGGAAGATGAATCTGGAGGTGCTGATTGGAGATTTGTGTTCATTGCAGTACGAGTTCAGTGCCTCTGAATAATTCCCTTTTTGGGTTAGGGTTTTGATTTTCGTATCGGAAGAGAAGAATCGAATCTGTTTCAATGTTGAATTGAAGATGCCGCCATTGAAATGCATCTGTCGTCGTTTCTCATCTCAATTTCGTCTCTCAAATTGGGACTTCAATTGACAGAAACCCTACATCAGAAATCGAAATAAAAACCATTTTGCAATTTTATCACAGAGAAGACTCAAATATTTCTGATTCTTTCACATTGCGTCCATTCCCAGATTCAAACATTTCTGACATAGTTATATATATATATATATATTCAAGAATGTAAAAGTCAGATCTTGAATTTATTATCAGGTCTGCAATGAAAATGGGCCGCCGCCGCCGCCGTGACTGCGACAGCGATTCACCGGCGACAAGTTCCTGCTGCTCTTGTTTAATGGGTTCATCATTTCTACCGATAGATCATCCATCAAGACGACGATGATGTAAATCAATACATGTTCTTGTTACTGAGGAAGAACATGGCAAAAAATTTTAGTTTTTATTATTTGACTTTATTTTTTAAGAACAAAACACATGAATTATTATTTAAATATAAAATAAAAACTCAATTTTTAAAATCCACACAGCCTACCTATGATCGTGTTTGGTTTGAATTTTAAAAGCAAAATTAACACAATTTATTATAATTAAATATATATATATATATTACATGAAAATACAAAATTCAATTCAAAACCAAATAACTCTACGATCATGTTTGGTTTGGTGTTTTTTTAGTTTAAAATTTGAATAGTAAATTTTCAATTGAAATAATAATATAATGCAATATAAATATATGTTAATTTGATGAACGGCCTCTAATCCGAGTCTAAGATCACATTTATAATATTAATAATATTTTTATATTTGTATAATTTTTTTACAAATATCATCTTATTACATCAATAGAAGTATTTTAATATAATAATTAATATTTAAATATCAATCTAGATAGACTCTTAGGGGCTGTTTGGTTCATGGACTTTTTTTTGTGGGATTGAGATTTCACAGCGTGATAGGATTTATTATATTTAGGATTTGGAATCCTATCGTATGTTTGGTTGGTAAAATTACGTGGGATTTATATTTGTCACGTCTTGTTTGTTTTTTATATGAGTAAAAGAATTTGGATTTTTTATATTCTAAATGATATAATTGTCCCCTTATGAGTTTTATTTATTTTGATAAATTAAACATCTAATTTATAATAAATATAAATTGAAAACGTATTAATAATTTTACAAGGATTACAATAGGTTATCGTAAACTCGAAACCCGACTCGAACCCGACCTATTTATTTGAAGTTGAGTCCAATTATTTGAGTATTAGATCTTGATCCGGGTCATATTATGGGTATTCTAATTGGGTCCGAATCGGGTCTAGGATCTAAGCGGACCATACCCGCACCCAAATTCGATTTATAATATTAATAATATATCGACTATACATATGAAAAAATAATTTCTAACAATATAATTATATTAATTTTTTTTAAAGTTTAATTTATTTATTATTTTATTGTAATATTTTTTTCATAAAATACATAAATAATATATATTGGGTCGATACATGTATAATTTTAAATTAAAATTTAAGAATCGTAAAAAGAATTGAATTTGTTAGATCCATTGGATTTTACCGGTATAATTTTGGCCGGATCTGATTATATCAGATCCAATTTGGATCTAAAGTCTAACAATATATATATTCGGGACGGATCTTAGTTCCAGCTGAATCCATACAAAAATGTGGACACAAAAGCTTAGTAATAACAACATATATCACTCTCAAAAGATTTCTTATATTGCTTTCACTGCAGCATTGCACAACAATTGGCATCTCAATTTCTTCACATCCGAATACTTGAGAGGTTTCAACATGAACATCTCAGCTCCTTCTTCAAGACACCTATCCAAAATGTCGAAACAAATTTGAATAAATTTATAATTAATGCTTTGCAATCTTATTACCAAAAAAATAAAAAATCACAAGAACAACAATTCAATTGTAAAATAAAAAGGGTAACATATTAAACTACTTGTTAATTATGGTCGGTACATTCTCCGACGAAACAACAACAACCGGCACATCCTTCATAGCCGACGACTCCTGCAACAAATCCAAATTATCGTCAAGATTGATTTTTTAAGCACTAGAAATTCGACATTTATGTTAACTATACCTTAATTTTCTTAAGCAGCTCATACCCCGTCATTCCCGGCATGCAATAATCTGTGATGATCATATTCACCTTCAAGGCCTAAAGAATTCCAACAAGAAAATATTAATCGAATGAATTAGTCGAAAAGATTAATAAAACTTTCCAAAAGAAAAAAGAACCTACATTGTCCCTTTTAGACTTTTCATCCAATCCAAGATATTCCAATGCAATTTGTGCATTTTCTGCAGTGGTCACTGCAACAAGAGGAGAACCTAACAACTTTGCAATCAAAATTGTATAAAATTCTATTTTCACAAAATATAACTCCCTCCATCCCATATAATTTATCCCTATTTTCTATTTTCGTTCATTCCACATAATTTGTCCTTTCCTTTTTTTACAATTGATTATACACTTTAATCATGTTTTAAAATTTAATTGTTTTTAATCTTAATTAAAATGTTTAGTTATCTTAATCTTAATTTATAATTATTTTCACTAATACATTTCTTAATTACTTACTAATTATACTTTACCTAAATTGTCCTACCTACTATAATGCGCCCATTAGGACAGAGGGAGTAATAATAATAGAGAATATTATGAGCTATTATTCTATGTGAATTTCGACAAACATAAAGTGGTGTGTATATATATATTTTTGTCGTAAAATTATTTTTCGAAGATGGCCCTCAAAGAAAAGGCAAAGAGTTTTATTTTTTTTGGTTCTCACTAATTTCCGGAGAATATAAATGATACTTTCCTCCATTGCCAATGTAAAGACATCACAATATACACAAAGATTACTCAAAAAAATAAAATAAAAATGGATCTATGAATTACCTTTGCATGATGAATTCTTGAGCAATTTTTCGACTAGTACGCGATCGATTAAATTGTCGTCAACCGCCAATACATGTGGAGGTTCTTCAACAGCAGCAGCAACCTCAGATGAAGAATTCATAGTCTTTTTTTAAAAAAATAATAAATAAATCTGAGATGTAAAAGACTAGGCAATGCAATGTGAGGAAAGTGATGTAGAAGAAAGCTCAAAGGGATGAAAAAATTGAACCAAAATCAAGAATTTGAATAGTCAAGACAGTGTATGTATGTATATGTATATATACAAATTAAAATTTCATATATATGTATATATATATATAAAAAGAAGAAAACAGAGAGCCCAGAATTTCTTTTCTATTTAAAATTTTATTGGCATTTGAAGGAAATAAAATTCCCAAAAGATTAGTCACAGATATTCCATGATCTTCTGTATGGCTGTTTGTGTTCTTTAAGTATTCCACCCCCCAATTCTCTCTCTCTTAATTCATATTTACTATAATCAGTATCAGTATCAGTATCTCCACTCTGCTCCATCAGATCCTCTCTCTCTCTCTCTCTCTCTCTCTTTTTTTTTTTTTTTTTTTTTTATGGGAAAATATTTTTGAGTGATTAAATTCTTTGGGATATGATCATAAAGGCTATGGCTGAAACTATGGCTCATTCATTTATCCACCCACTCAGTCACCATTTCATTTAAAGATAGACATAATTTGAATCACATCACTGCCAAATATGGTGACTAATTTATTTTTTATTTTTAAATTGAATTGAAATTATTTGAAAATTTAAAATTCTTTGAGATCCTCACATCAATTATCTATAGAATCTGTAAATATTACATTGGAGATTTTGTTAATAATAAGTGGTTATGTTTGTGAGAGATCTAAGAGATAATAATTGGATTGATTCATTAAATTCTTGTGGCCTATTGAATTTATTTATTTTTTTTTTTTAAGTAGCTTTCTTAATGATGAATTTGAAATTCAAATTTGAAATTTGGTTTTAATATTTGATTAAAATGATATCATTTGGAGGGCACAAGAAGTAATCAAAGATCTTTCTGAAGAAAATACAAGTGATATCTTTTGCTTCTTTCCAACTTATTTTGCAAAATTTTCTTGTGATGATACTCTGATTGCATTACTTAAAATACATTTTTGTTGCAATAAGTTTATCTAATTAAGTTTATAATTTTTGTACCTTACACACCATGGATGGATAGAGTAAATGCCACAACCAACTTGCATTGCTATTATTGATTATGATAATTATTATTATGGCATTTTAAGTTATGTACCATTTGAGGGGTTGGTGTAAATCATACTTTTATTTAAGGAGGATTTCTTCAGATCTGAAAAAATTAATAAATAAAAATCTTTAGACCCACTGTCCAGATTGTCTTCAATAATTCTTTTTATTTATGGAAGATCACTCTAAGATTTTGTTCTGCTATGTTTCGAAGCAAAATACAAACTTTTTTTATTTTTTCAATAATATACGTCAACTACTGTACACACACACACACAAAACCCTACATGTTTCAGAAGCTGTGATCTTATTTGCCCAAAACATTCAATTTTGTGTAAGTCTGAAACAAACCCAAATTAGATTAAAAAAAAAAAAAAACCCTAAATATTTTATTATAATAAATTATGAATAAATTTAATATATATAATACATATAAACTTCAAATCAAACTCGAACCTCAAATTCAACAACTTCGAACCTCTGTTTCAAACAAACCTTAAATATTTTATCAATATAAAAAACTTATCAATTTTAGTTTCATTATAAACAATTTCAATCAATTTTGGTCCCATTATAAATAATTTCGAACCATTTTTGGTCCCACTGTTAAAAAATTAACGAAGATTGCTGACGTAGACATAACGGAAGAGACGTAGCGGATGACTTGGAAACTACACGGCTATGTATAATTATACATGGTCATATTGTTACATGACCATGTATATTTCAGTGTACAATTATACACGCCCATATTGTTACATGATCATGTAAATTTCAGTGTATAATTATACACGGTCATTTGTTACACGACCATGTAATAACATGACCATGTATATTTCAGTATATAATTATGCATGGTCACGATGTTACATGGCCATGTATAATTCTACACGGCCGTGTATCTTTTTGTTTTGGTCTAAAACATTATTTTTTTTGTTATATATATATATATATATTTTGAATTTAGAATAGTTGATATATAGTTAAAATGGAAAAAAAATCAATGATAATCCTAATATAATTAAAATGTATCAATTTTAGTTCAAATATAAACATTTATTAAAGTATGTTCTTTTGAAGATTTTGTCTAAAATTCTACTATTTACCAAAAAAAAAAAAAAAAAAAAATTTCCTTACAAACATCCAATTATTGTATTGAAATAATAAATTAATTTTTAATAATACTATAATATACAAAATTAAAAAATAATTGTGTAATTGGATGTTTGTAAGAAGAAATTTTTTTATGAGTAATAAAATTTTAGACAAAATATTTCAAAAGAATATATCTTATAAATTTTTATATATGAATTAAAATTGATAAATTTTAATTATATTGTGATTACTATTTATTTTGTCCATCTTCGCTGTATCAACTATTTTAAATTCAAAATATTACATGGTCGTGTAACATCATAATCTTATACATGGTCGTAACAAATTTTAACTGTATGACCAAAATTGATTGAAATTGTTTACCGTGAGACTAAAATTGATTGAAATTGTTTATAATGAGACTAAAATTGATGAATCTTTTATATTGTGACCAAAATTAATAAATTTTTATTATATTGAAACAAAATTAATTTTTTCCCATATATTTAATATACATATATATATATAATACGTAAAATTCAAATCAAACACAAACCTCAATTTATTTAACTCAGAAATCTAAACAAGACACTTAGCTTTCGGTTCATTAAACAACTCTCCATAAAAACTATCATTGCATTAAGAAGGATGTTAATAAAAACATTGAGTAATGTTGTACAAAATATAATAGAGGAGAAGCTGTTTTTGCACTGTAAAAATTGATGGTGCGAATCGATACATCGATAGAGCGCCGTATTCAAGAGTCGCGCTCGGGAATGGTAATTTTCATCACTTGATGCTGGCATTGGGGATGGAAGAAGTGCACGGTCCTGAACAAGTCATAAACGGGATTCCTTTGAATGTCGCTACGCCCTTGGCATCGGTGTAGAGGTTCTGCAAATCGAACATTGTATTCATTCATATATCCAAAACTAGCTATGTATAGTAAACACTAACATAACATGCCACAAGCCAATCCAGCATCTAAGGCTGTGTTTACGTGGATACTTCTGATACTATTAATCAACAATCATTTTTTCTTTTTCACATAAAAAAATAGCTAACATTTACCATTTTCAAAAATTTTCAAACTTCCAAAACTTCTATCTAAATGAAGCCAAAACACTGCCGATCCGATCATAAATGTTAAAGTATTGTGCGCTTACCGGTGTGATCTTATCCAACTGCTTCTTTTTCGGGTTCAAGATATCCTCGGGTTTGCCATCGTGTCTACATAATGATACCAATTATTAACATAACATTCGAATGGTAAATGTTAAAAGATTGGAACGATCATTCTAGTTAATCGACAAACATACCCAGAAAAGGTCACACATTCCCCAATTTTAGCACCATCGGGAGCCATCAACGGCTCCACGACAGTATGGTCTTCATTCGAAGCACACAAAACCTGCAATTTTCCGTAATGTCAAGGTAAGACAAATATGATGGAAACATATACACGGATCGACGATTTTTGAGAGTAAAACAAATCGATATGAAGCAATGACGACAGATAAAGTTTAATTCTGAAAAATACCAATCCCTCGGACATCACATCCCGCAACTTTCCAGGTTTTACATTAGTGATTAGTACTACACGACGGTTCTGTATAACAAAAAGGCGAAAAACAAGTTACGGCTTCAATAAAATTCAGAAAATAAATTGGTCGGGATTAGGATCCAATATCAGCATTGAGTATGCAAAACATACCGTCAACTCTTCCGGTGAGCAATACTTAGCTAAGCCGCTAACAACTTGCCTATGTTTCGCCTCTCCAACATCTATCTCCTCAACCAATAAACTGCATTTCAGAATAAAAATCGTGCCGTAAAAAATTTATTGGTCAATACCAACCAAGAGATGAATAAAACAATAATACTTTAGCGACCATACCTGTCTGCAGATGGATGTTTCCGCGCTGTAATAATATGGCCAATCTGTATTTTAAGCAGACTCACACTAAGTTCTTCGACTTTTTTGTCTGACACATTTTCTGATGGCTTCTTCTTGTCTGCTGTATCTTGGGTAGCTCCTTCCGGATTCTTTTTCTGCATACAGAATGAAATCAATGTCAATATCAATCAATTATTCGCATTTGGAAATTAGAGTAGATATAGGTAGCAACTATAATATTTATCACGGCTTCGGTATTGATATAAATTGAAAGATGAAACTTACAGCATCGGCACTCTTCTTTGCTTTTGAGTGCGGCTCAGATTTATCAGCTGGTTTGGTCTCTTGGGCGGCTTTTTTTGCCTTGGAATCGTCAACCTTCGTGGCTGGTTTTGGCACCTAAAAAAACACATAAATTCATGAGATATGCAGTAATCTTTAAGCTTATACAATTATTAGAGTATTTGAACACCATGGGAGAACATGTATTTGAAAACATTACCTTATATAGGTTCGGCAAATAAACAACAAAACATAAAAAGAATAGAACAATTGTAGTGGGGCATAATTGATAGGGAGTCACTCACTGGCGGCACAAATGGAACTTTCTCGAGCAAAATTTTTTCAAACAGATTCCCGAATTCTTCCTTGGTCTGCAACACGATGTTAATAAGAGCGTCTAGATGTCAACCGGGTGAGATAATATGGCTGAATAATGTTTCAAAATGTACAATTAGAAAAAAAAATCAAAAGCCAACCAATTTATGGAATAAAATGAACATGAAAAGTAGAGCATGATAGCCGTGATCCTCTCATATGCACCACTCAAAAGAAAGCAGACAACAACAACAACAACAAAATTCTCATAGGAAATAACGACCTTATTTCCTTCTATTCCTAGACAGCATCTTTTTTTCATTCAAAAAACAAAACCCAATTCTCATCTCAAACACGCCAAACTTGTATTTAATACCATTTAACAATACCAAGATTCAACAAAAGATTTCCACTTTATTATGCACGATAGAACAAAAGCAAGATTCTGTTGAGATATAGAGCAAATTAAGAATATCTACCAAAGCAACTTCCCCTACCTGAATGTAATCAGCCCACCTTAACAAGTGCGGAAACTTGGCTCTATCCGATTCTGAGAGACCAATCTATAAACACAAATAAGATACAAATACAAGAACAATTAGCATACTCCACAAACCCGATATTCTCTACATAAAAGAGCATAAATTCTATCAATTGCATCTTTGATTTCAAGATTCAATCAGAGATCAAGTCAAATTGCAAAATAAATTCCAGCAAATCAAAGTTCATCCATCAACAAGCATATCACATTTCAGCAGCAGAATTGATGAAAAATCACATTATACCAAATGAGAATGCACAGCTGCAAAGACGATAACATCAGCAGCTGTAGGCTTCAATCCATTGCCCATCACAACAGACATTGTGGCCAAAGCTCCATTTAACTCGTTAAGACGATTGGAACTTTCCAGAAAGCTCTCCACATATCCAATCCATTCTGGCAGCTGCAACGAATGAATAATATATTTCTTAATTAAGTACTTCTAAAACCCTAATCTTCGAAATGAAATAAATCATAAAATTCACCTCGCTATTGTTGAGAAGTTCATCCCCTTTCGTGGACGACTTCAGAATGCTTGTGCAGAGGCTCTTAAAATCGCTGCCCAAATCACTTGTAAACGATTTCTGAATTTTAAACCATTTCCAAATCATTAATCCCACAAAGACAAATGAGTAAATTGATCAAATATGCAGTAAACTCATACCAAAAACCAATTTAAAAAACGAAGCTTACCGAATCCAGAGAGAGATATTTGCAGAGAGCTAAGACAACGTTTCGTTTCACATCGGAAGAACCCATTTCTCTTCCTATTTCGTATCACGATTGTAATTTTTGTCACCGTAAATCACTGGGAATTTGCTAGGGCTTTCCTTCGTGTTCTTCAATTTGTCTGTGAATTCATCCTAATGGCAATATATAATTTGGGCCTGCCTATTATCCAAAATATTGTTTAGCCCAACAAAAATGGACCCATAAAATTCGGCCGAATTCAATAAAACTATAGTTATGATTTGAAAATACAAAACCTAAGAGCAAATTGTGACTGTAGTTTAGTGGTAAGAATTCCACGTTGTGGCCGTGGAGACCTGGGCTCGAATCCCAGCAGCCACACAAAATCGTTTTTATCTTTTTTCAACCATAAGTTTTAATACATTAGTTTCATCATGGCAAACTATGTTTCGAACTGAACTAAGGTAAAATTTTAGATGCAGAAGAAGACACATCAACAGGTCGGAGAGTAAGAGGAGAATTCGAAGAATACAAAACTGTGTTCTTACATCGGAGCGCCCCCCGACGCTCGGCGGCGCATCGTAAACAAAAAAATGCTTCAATCAGCAGGCTCCCCGCGGAAAATTTTACCTGTTTCGACGATAATCCTAACTTCTGCAATCCTTTTTCGACTATCCATCTCGGGCGATGTTCGCAGTTAGTTCTGAAGATGATCAATGGTGACTAGTTTCATGTACCGTATCTAATCTAATCGTCCCAATCATTCCCCCATTGAGAAGTGTCGATATACTTCAAAGACGCGCCACCATTCTGCAAATCTTTGTTAGCTCCCGGGGATCTCACCGCCTTCTCCTCATCCCAGTCGTCGTCGTCATCGTCCCACGTTTCATCCCAGCCTTCGGGTGCTTCGATGACGAATGACGAGTCCGTCTCCCGTTCCCCCAATTCGAGTTCTTGATATGCAGCTCCTCCGTCGAGGTGTCGTTTCTGTTTCACTATCTTGCACCCAGCCCATGTCCCTCCCAAGCAAACGGCGACCATGAAAAACAAGTATGCGCCGTATGTCGGCGTAGCGTATCTGTAGTAAGATTGTTGAGGAATCGAAGCTCCGATCGGAAGTACACAGCTTAGATTTCCGATCTTTACTGCGATAGAAGAATTTACCTCCATGATCGACGACAGATTTACCTGAGACGAGGTAAACCGGGCTTAATTTTGGTTCAAGTTTTGACTGTAGATAGAAATCAATCAAGTACTATATACATAAATGTGTGCGGACAAGTGTTTACCTTTTGGACATCTTTCCCGGCTACAGTTATATTCTTCAGGGTATCGACCGCAGGAGGAACACTTATAGTTACTTTATGTGAGCTTGAACCGCCATTGAAGACTAGCAAATGTGGTGGTTGGGATCCTACCAGGCAACCAGATAATCAGAGTCCGTCTACTATGAAAATTTTTAAGAGGCATCAAATACCGGAAGCAGCACTGAAATTTACCAACAATGAAATCGAACGAATCGTTGAACTAAATGAATGAAAAGGGAAGGGGAAGTGGCGAATGCCAACACAATAATGTATATGGAGTTCTTAAACTTTTTGGGTTACCCCATCGTACATTTATTGTCCTTAAACCAATTACAACTATCAAGCTGAAGTGAGGCGATTTCAATGCTAACTGTGACAGCAAATTATCTGAATTCAGAATAGTTTCGAATGGAAATATATCATCAAGTGGCAAGCAATGTCTAGTAAAGTTTCTGTATTTCCCCATGGAAAGAAAAATCTACACCTTTATTGTATATGGAGTTCTAAAGATTTTGGTTACTCTGTCTTACATTTATTGTCCTTAACCAATTACAACGATCCGAGAAACTATGCTAAAACAAATGTGCAATAGAGCAATCACAACATCCGGCTTTTGATCAAGCTGAAGCAAGATGAATTCAACACGATGACAAGAAATCATCTGAATTCGGAATAGTTTGGATAGCATAAATTGGAAGCAATGTCTAGTAAAGTTCTGTATTTCCCCATGGAAAGAAATATCTACACATTTATTGTATATGGAGTTCTTGAGCTTTTTGGTTACTCTGTTGTACATTTATAGTCCTTAACTAACTGCGACACTTATTTAGGTAAGTTTTATACAATAAAGAAAAATAACAACATTGTAGAAACTACAGTAACATAAATGTACAATAGATCAAATACAATATCCAGCTTTGATCAAGCGGGAGCAAGGCGAATTCAAAACAAATTATCTGAATTCAGAATAGTTTTGAATGGAAATATAGCATAAAGTGGAAAGCAATGTCTAGTAAACTTTCTGTATTTCCCATGGAAAGAAATACCAACAAATTGGACAATTTCTATGTTTTCACATATATACACATTAAAAAGATGAGTTCAAATGTGCCGACAAGAACATACAACAATAATCCTAAGCACACGACCTCCAAATTCAAGCAATGTATCACGATTTTTTCTTAAGTTCTTGGTGCTGTCATAAATCATACTCGCAGTTGACACCAGAATGCAATTGACATTTGGGAATGCAATCATCACTGTTCTTTAATGCTTTTTGCCTAAGACAAACTCATACAGCAGATTTACACGATCTAATGGAAGTCAGATACCCATGGAAATATTGAAGAAGGACAAGCCAATTACCATTCCCAATTACACAGGCAGTGATTTGATAATCCTTAAAATCACATTTATTAGCCACGTTCTTACAATTCTCTGCTCCCTTTCGTTGATTTGCAGGAGTTCCAGTTTTCACAGAATCTGAATTCTCCGATGGCGAAGGGCTTGGAGATGGAGACGACACCTGCAAATAAACAGCCTTCGCGATGAGATATATTTCACAAAATCAAGCACAGCAACAGACCTGGAAATCCATACCTGATTAATCGTATCGGAATGACGATCGATTCCCGAGAGGTGCCGAAAATTTCCGAGAGAAGATCCGTCCGACCGACAAACCAACACGAACACAACGAGCGCTATCCGCAGACATTCCATTGCGTGCCAAATACGAGGGTTTGGAGATCAGATTCAGAACGGAGATTTTTCAATACGAATTGAGCTTGTTTTGGAATGGGAATGGACCCTTGCGGCGAGACGGTGGGACCTTGAAACGAACAAGAACACGTCGGCTATGGAGATGACAGAGGACATTAACATTATTTTCGGATTTTTCCGCTTGGAAGGAAATTGGATGGAAATTGCGGAAAGAGCTGAACAGGTCCGCCTGGAATCACAAGAAACAGCAAACTGTTGACGGATGAATCGAGGAACCGAAATCGATTGATCGCCCACGCGTCTCCTCTCGTCTGAATTTGGAATTCTTCGTTCCTACTTTTGAATTCGACAACGACGAACCACGCAAGGCCCGCTGGTATTTGGGTTCTGAGGAAGTTGACCAAGCAGAGAGGGCTGGGATTTCAAGTCCCGGGAGCCCGAAACATTCAAACAAGAGCCGTACGTCTTAACGACGTCGTTTTAACCTTCTCCAAATCCTTCATAAGTAAGAAACATAACTAATCTAATCTATTTCCCCAAATTCCTAAACCTAAATTGCATCTGCAAATCTGAAATTGGAATCTAAACTTCCATGAAATCAGGATTCCCTCCAAAAACTAAATACACTTCTATCACAGAAATTTTGATGTTACACAGGGATACATAGAAAAAGAGAGAAATCTTTGATTTAATGCAGGCAATAGCTGCTGCATTCATGTAATAAATACTGAATATATATATATAGATAGAGAGAGAGAGAGAGAGCAAGAAGAAAAGCTTATCAGCATGATGGCTGGTTGTGCATTGCCATCAAAAAATTGCAAGTTGAGTATATCGCCGCAGCCGACGCCGTCACTGCTAATCCTCCATCTGAGATCTTATGAGCTTCTTTCAATCTGCAAAAACCATCAATGTTCATATTCAGAAAGCATGATACAGCTACTGTAAGCTAATTCGATCAAAGGTTTCGATGATCACATGTTTTCGGTTGGAATCACGGCCTTTTCGCAGTGCAGCTGCATTTGATTCACCTGTTGTAGCCAGCTCTCCTAAAAACATAGTCGACAAATGAAAGAATTCAGCTTATGCACAATAGATGAATCTTTCTCGAAAATGCAGGAACTTACGAGATTGGTTTCTTCTTCAGAAAGTGATGAAACCATCTGCCTGAATCGAGCATTCCATCTAGAAGCATGTGAGCCTTCAGCTGTACACAAATGCTTCTCGGGATTAGATGAAAATTCTTTGATAACTAATAAAGGTAGCTCTTTAGTGATGACATTCTCGACTCTCCTTTTGCTGCGTCGTAACACTGCAGAAATTAAACTTCTGTTAGAAGTTCAGAACTTGATAGCGAATAGGTTATGTAGTTTGAACAGAAACCGTACCTGCAAGGCGACCTTTGATATCATTATTCAGAAGTTGCAACCATTGCAAAGCAACATTAGCAGCTGAAAAGTCCAACGGCAGCAGAAGTCAGTGTAAAAGTATATCCAGATTTTACCAATTTAACCGAAAGAGATGAAAAAATTTAACCTTCAACAGATAGAGAGTCGACATTCAAAAATCCCTCATTCGACAAACAGCCAGTGTTCTCTGATCGTAGCTTCAGTGACAGCCTGTCATCTTTATTTGCAGGCTGAGACGGCAATTTCCCAATAATTTTTATCCCTCCCATATAAAAATCATCAGATCCTCGAGAAAAATCAGGTTTCAAATTCTTCTGTTCGTCCAGTGGCTTAGGGGGGGTTATCTGCCGTCTTTCCGATAAAACACTTCCATGATTCATTCTGGAAATACGAATACCTGTTGAGTCCTCTCTTTCAGCCTGTCTGTTGTTCTTGCTTCCCGAATGTTGACTTTTGGTTCTCTCAGATTTCACCAGGGATTCTATGATGGCATGAACCTGCTTGCTGTTCCTCACATGGTTAATAATTCCGGGATTTAACTCGTTAAGTAAACCACTCGGTGCAGCAACTTTTGCAAATCGGTCAGTCTGTTCTTTCTTCGCAAGTTCTATCCTCTTTGCTTCATCATTGATAACTTTCTTTTTCCCACGAGGTTTTGGTATTGCATTCGAAGCTGCAGCATACGAATTAGATAGATAATTGTTTTGTTTCAGACCTTGCCAAACTTTCATCGAATTTTTTTCCAGGGGACCAACAGAACTTGCACAATCTGAATCATCCCTAGCCTTCGGATACTCATGCTTTAGAGAAAGAAGTTTGCTCATCGGACTCGATTTATCGTCAGCATTTAGATCGAAATCAAACTCCCTTTTCTTTGTTTCCTTTGGAGGGGCTTTGCACGATTTTTCTGCAGCATTGCTACATATACGACTCGCACTGACGATAAGATCAAGAAATCCGGAGCCAGAATTGACATTTGGATTTGTTGCATTACTTCCTCCAGTTCCGTCTTGAACTGCATCGAATTCAGGTTAAGATTTTATTTAAGTATAAATATACTAGAAGTTCAAAAAATATATTTGTCGAGGCAACATCTAAGTAAAACAAAATAGATAGATACAATCAAACAAATATACACGCATGTTAGGAAAACTTTCGCTACTCATCAACATGAGAGTTGAAGTAAGAATGGAAAAGATTCGAAGCTTAAGACAGCAATGTCAGCATTACTCAAAACAATGGCATGGCTGAATAAAATGAACAATAGCTATCTTAGGTGAGATAACTTTTAACTTTCTTTTGAACATCATTATTCGAGTGGACGAGATGAAAATTACCTAAAAGATAAAAACATACCATGACACTAAAGAAGGCGCTTGGAAACGATAAAAAAGCATGCTAACAACAAGTATTTAGATGCAATTACTTCCCTCTTGGAATCAAGCAAGGAAATAAATTCGATAACGCTTAAACACACCACACATCAAATATCTGATCGAGAAATGAAAACCGAAATCAACAATATTTTTATCCACTTAACAACAAGTGGGCACATTAGATATCGATTGCTGAATGAAAACAACACAACACAACACAATACAATCACATGATGGATCAGACTCGATCTAACTAACCAATACTCAATTCTTTCAAGTTACACACAACCAAAACACAAATCATGAGCATATAAATGACTATGTGAACTTCCCAATTAACAGAAAGAAAAAGGAACAAAAATCACACCTTTCTTGGATTGGTAATTTTCGACAACCCTCGATTTCACTCTTCTTTGAGAACTTTCAGATGTTTCCTCTGCTTGTGAAACAGTTCTTTTCTGTCCTGCAGCAATCTACGAAATCAAAACCGATCAATATCCTATAGCAAGAAACTCAAATACAAAGATGATTAAGAAAATACAAACCTTTGATTCAGATCTGGGCTTGGTTGGAGATTGACTCTGACTCCTGCTTTCATTGTCCATAAATCAATATGAAAAGTGAAAACCCCAATAATCGAAACTATGGTCTTCGATCTTGGGACAAATCTCCCCTAAAAAAAACCTATATACTCAAATTAGCAGCTTTAACCAATAAACCTAAAGAAATTCCTCTGAAGAAAAAGCGTCGGCCTTCAATAAGAATATACAAACACCAACAGTCATGATTTTGATCAAGCTTAGTTTCACTGTACTCTAGGAATTAAAGTAAAATAATTAGTAAAAAGGAAAAGTTAAAAATGTCCCAACCCAAGATTTGGAATTCTTAAACCTCGAAATAAAACTCCAAGTCGTAATTCAAATCGACAAATCTACAGAGATAGGGACGAGAAAGGGGTGCGATTGCGGACACCCGAGCAGTGAAATCAAATCAGCCGCGAATTGCGATGGTGGGCGCTTGGGGTTTGGTGCTAAACAAAATTAGGGTTCTTTTTAGGGTTCTTGTTTGGACAGAAGGAAGCAAATTAGGGAGAGAGAGGGAGGGAAATTGATGTGATGAGCGTGCGCGTTGATTTGAATTGGAGTGAATAGGCGCGATAAGAAATCCATTCTTGCCATATATAAAGCTTATAACCAATTTTATGAGGTCTTTTTTTTTATTATTTATTTTTAATTCTATACATTAATAATGATTTAATATATCTACGTATGATTTGTACTTGTATTTATTATTATCATTAGTTACTTAACCTGAATTCGATTCAGTTCAAGAAGAAACAGGAGGAAATATTGCAACAAATCCAAATGTCAATTCTGGCTCCACATTTCTCTTTTTTCTTTTTTTTTTCTTTTTTTTTTAAATTTGGGAATCCGTTGTCGCTACCCGAAAGTGCGCACTGGATAAATCCCGGCAAAACCTAATACCCTGCAAATCAAGTCCGACGGAAAAATCATGTTAGGCGAACCATGTATAGCAAGTGACCTTAGGCGTAGGGGGTTTGAACCCATTATTTCACGGTCACAAGTCCAACCCTACACCACCAGGTCATCTCTTATCGGACGACATTCTTGATCTTATCGTCAGTGCAAGTCGTATATGTAGCAATGCTGCAGAAAAATCGTGCAAAGCCCCTCCAAAGGAAACAAAGAAAAGGGAGTTTGATTTTGATCTAAATGCTGACGATAAATCGAGTCCGATGAGCAAACTTCTTTCTCTAAAGCATGAGTACCCGAAGGCTAGGGATGATTCAGATTGTGCAAGTTCTTGTTGGTTCCCTGGAAAAAAATTCGATGAAAGTTTGGCAAGGTCTTAAACAAAACAATTATCTATCTAATTCGTATGCTGCAGCTTCGAATGGAATACCAAAACCTCGTGGAAAAAAGAAAGTTATCAATGATGAAGTAAAGAGGATAGAACTTGCGAAGAAAGAACAGACTGACCGATTTGCAAAAGTTGTTGCACTGAGTGGTTTACTTAACGAGCTAAATCCCGGAATTATTAATCATGTGAGGAACAACAAGAAGGTTCATGCCATCATAGAGTCCCTAGTGAAATCTGAGATAACCAAAAGTCAGCATTCGGGAGGCAAGAACAACAGACAGGCTGAAATATATTCGTATTTCGAATGTTGACTATTTTTTTGTCGAAAGTTAAAGTTTCTTCATCTTTTTCTGTTCAATTGGTAAAATAAGTGGCCTATAAATAGGTATAACGATATAAATTCAATAGATTCAAATCATAACAATCCAATATAATGAATAAAATCAAATTTCAAAATAACTATATTTAATATAAAACTAAATAACTAAAAAATTTGAACATTCCCTCAAAAGTAGTGTCACAAGTAACTTGAGTTTGCAAAAAGAGATCGAATAGCCACAATCATCTACGGTGTTATGATCAAAAACAATACTCTAAATTGAATTAAAATCGATAAAGAAACTCTCAATAGAGTTGAAAACAAAAGATTTTCACTGGAATAAAAAATGACAAGACTCCCACCCTAAATAAAAACGACAAAACTCTCAAATCAGTAAAAAAAAAATAAAATTATAGAAACTAAAAAGTTGGATTATGTTCATAATAAAGATAGGGCCTATAAATAGAGTACTCAAAACAACAGATAAAATCAAATCTACAACAATTTAATCTAATCTAAAATTAAAAAATTAAAATATCTCAATATAAACACACCTTAAATTGGGTATTCAATTAAAATGGTGTATGATTCTATTTAATTTTTAAAATTTGGATGTATTTAATCAAAATTTTTAAAAAAAATTTTAAAATTCGAAAGTATTCAATTCAAATTTTTAAAAATCTTTTAAAATCTGACTTTATTCAATAATCCATAGACTTTTTCTATAGGTCCATGGATTTTAAAGAAAGTTATGTATAAATTGTACTTGACAATGAGATATTATTCATCTTCAAATCTATTTTATCCTAATGTCATTTCAAATTAAATTTGTTAAAGTAATATTCTCTCGTTCTCTTAACCATCTATTCATTTTTCTATTTTGGTCTGTCCCGTAACAAAATATTCATTTTAATGGCATTTTCTACTAACATAAAAAATACTCTTACAACTTATAATATATTACACAAATGTCATTATTTTTATATCATACAATACTAATAAGATTATTTTAGTTTTTTTCTAATTTATTCATACCACACCTCAAATATAATACTAATATTCATAAAACTCCGTGCAAAACATAAATGAATACATAGATAAAGGACAAAATGAAGTATTACATATACACATAATAAAATTAAAACAAATTAATATAATGAATGATAATATAATAATAATTCAAAATATTAATATATAAAAATAATATTATGTTGCAATAATTATACATCATTAATTATATATAATACTCTCTCTTCGTCCAACTAGAAAGTATACATATTTCTGTTTTAGGGCGTCCAATTACAAAGTAAACATTTCATTAAATACATATTTTTTTTCGCAAATACCCTTATTTTATATCACATTATTATTTTTACAAAAAAAACAAAGGCAAAAATGTTATTACACTACTTTTAATTACCCATTATAATTAAAATAATATTATATCTTAAACACCGCGCCAAAAGTAAATGTTTACTTTGTGTGTGGACGAATGGAGTATATAATAGTAATGAAAATGAAATAATGATAATGGAGATAAAAATAATGAATAATTTAATTTTTTTTAACTTTATTATATTTATGTATTTTTATTTAATTACTTAAATATTTTTTTATCTACAAATATATTTCATATAAATTTATATAAATCATATTCCCTTTATTCCAAAACAGTAGGAACATTTAGAATGAACACGAAAATTAATTAATTATAATATTATATTAATAGTGTATGTAAAAGTACTTCTAAAAAAATAAAATGTTCATACTTTATGTAATTATTGTGAAGAAGCGAATATAATTTTGTAAAACCATGGAGAACTTGTTACCAAAAGTTGAAATAAGAATATTATTTTAAGACAGACGAAAATCACAAAATGAGACTATTGGTTTAGAACAAATGAATATAAATCCATAAATAATTCAATCAATTTTATAAGGCAGTTTATCAAATCTGCTAAATATCCCCGTAGTCCTAAAACTCCAAAAAACCTACTCGTGGTTTGTAAAACGTTGCAAAAAGTCCCCCCTCCGTTAGGATGTTGTATAGCACGAGCCTGAAATGCGATTTTTTTTTTCCATAAAGTGATATATTTATATGTAAAATTGCTGAAATACCCTAATGACTTCTTCTTATTCTTCTTCTCCCTCGTTATTGTTATCCGTACTTTCAAAATTTACTCTCAATTTATTTTTTTTATTTAAAATCCGTTAAATACAACCAAATTCGACACCGATCCCAAATTTATCACAATTAATCGACCGAACATGACCGAACATGGATCTTCTTCTATTTTACCAAATCCAAAAATATTTCTTCTTATGTTTTACAAAACCCAAAAATAGCAAACCCAAAAATTTAAGAAATCAATTTGACATCAAGATTTGAAATCAATCTAATAAGAAAGAAAGAAAATAATGAATTAGGGAGAAAAAATAAAAAAAAAAATTTTAAAAAAATGGAGAAAAAAGAGATAGAGAAATAAGAAAGAAAAACCTGTTTGCTTTTGGTTGCAACCGCGTACCGAAAATTGGATAGAAAAAATAAAGAAGAAAGAAAATTAGGAAAAAAAAAAATTGGAGAAAAAAAAAAAATTGGTATCCACCCCTACTTTCTTTTCTTTTTTTTTTTTTTTCTTCTTTCTTCTTTTTCTTTTCTTCACTTTCTTTTCTTCCTTCCTTCTTCCATACTCCGACCACTTCTGCCCGTCATCTTCTTTCTATTTTTATTCTCAAGGAAAGAGATGTGTGAAGAAGAAGTTGGAGAAGAAAAGAAGATGGAAGAAAGAAGTTGGAGAAGAAAAGAAGATGGAAGAAAGAAGTTGGGGAAGAGAAGAAGAATGAAGCGAAGAAGAAAGAACACAAGAAAAGAGAGATAATTGGAGAAGAAGAAGAGAAAAATTGAAGAAGAAGATGTGTGAAAAAGAATTTGGGGAATAAAAGAAATGAAAGAAAGAGGTTGTAGAGAAAAGAAGAAGAGATGAAGAAAAGAATGTGCAATATTTTACAATTTACAAGTAGATTTTTTGGAATTTTAGAACTGCTGAGTTTTTAGCATCGGTAAACCACAGGGAGATTTTATTTAAATCAATAGATAAAATCCATTGCGTGAACTATGTGATTTTCTAAATGTACAAAAATTCATAATTTTTTTTTTTAATTCAACATAATATTGCAAAATCTCAAATGAATAAACCCTTTATATTGGATCTTTAACTTCTCATTGCTATAATTAACCAATAGTTGAAAAACGACCAAATTAAACTTCCGAACACCTCTCCAACTCTAAATCACGATTCACAACAACCAACCAACCCCCCCGGCACGTGCGGCTTCAAAAAAAGCACGTGCGATCCGAACCAAAGTTTGTTGGTCAATTAAAATAAGAAAAGATAAAAATAAAATAAAATAAAAGGATGGGTAGGATTGAGGAAGGAAAGGGAGGTGAGATGATAGTTAGGTAAAACGGACGGTCCAGATGCAGCCAACGTGGGTAAGACAGAAATCACGTAGACAGCAGAGCCTATCTCTCTCCCTCTCTTTAAATACACACAGACACAACACTCACTCCATAATTGAAATCCATTCCTTAAAACACAGAATTTCACATTTCTCAGAAGCTTGAAGATCAACAACACAGAGCAAGTAAGAAAATCTCTCTCTCTCTCTCTATATATATATATTTCTCTCTCTATATATTAATATATATATATATATATGCTAAAAATGCAATATTTGCAGTGGGAACTGAGGTCAAACCTGTAATGGCGGATGGGGTATCTTTTCCTCCCCAAATCACCATCTCAAATCCACTTTCTCTGATAGCCAATGGTAAATTACATATACATATATAGATATAGATATAGATACAGATACAGAAATCTGTGGGTATTGTGGTTTAACAAGGGATTGATTATGAATTATAATGGTGACATACAGGAATCACAGATATAGAGATCCATTTCCTGCAGATAAAGTTCACAGCGATAGGAGTGTACCTGGACCCAAAAAGCATAGTTTCCCATTTACAAAATTGGAAGGGCAAAACAGCCACAGAGCTCCAACAAGACAACAAATTCTTCGACGCCATAGTCGCAGGTAAACTAAATCAAACCAAAACAACCAGTCTCAATTATCTGCACTCTCTGTGTAATGGTGTGTGTGTTTCTCTCTATTTGGATTGCTTTAAGATTTAATTTGAGTTTTGTATTTAAATAATATTGATATTAGGGTGTGTTTGTTTGGGGTTTTGAATTTTGAGTTGGGATTTGAATAGTAAAAATTTTGAATTTGAATAGTTGTATGATGTGATATAAATAGGCTGATGTTTTGAATGTAAAATTGATTTTTAGTATAATATAAAAAATAAAAAATAGGTATTTGATTTGATGTTTTTAAGGAGAAAAATAGGATGAATAGGAGAAATCTTCACAAATCCTTCAACCAAACACACCCTATATATTTTTTCAAGAAAAATATAGCCCGAATAGGACCTTAGATAGAGACGTTAAGCAGAGCAAAATTGGGAAGAAAAACCACTGTTCATAACATATTCTTTAAAAATAAAAAATGTCACTCCAAATATTTGGATTTGTTTTGATTTTGTTTGTTTGTTTTTTAATTGAATTTGAATTAAATAATAATTTTTTTTTAAATACTAATATCTTTTTATTAAAAATAAAAGCTCCAACTATTATGTTTATTTTAAATCAAAATCAAACACCCTCTATTTTCATATAAATTATAAAATATTATATAAAAAATGTAGGGTGATTTTATTTGCTAATGTTTATTTATTTTTTTTATTAGTGATTTGATTGGGATTTCGAATGAGCGGATAATTTTTATTTTTATTTTTTAAATTATCTCTCAAACACTTCCAAAATAACACAACATGCATCTAAGGGTTACATTATAAATAAAAAAAAATTGCAAAATTATTTATGTCTTACAAGGATATTTGTATTAAAAAAATTATACAAATATGATAGTAAACATAACTCTTAAAGGCAGGATATATTTACATCACATCAAATACATAGATATTAATTAGAAATCGTGTCGGCAAAAATTATTTAGGTAAACACACCCCATAACAAAAAAAAAAAAAAAATCATTTCTTTGATTATAGTTGTGAAATTATTCAAAATAGATTATTGCTTTAAATTTTTATTTAAATAATATTTTAACTAAATATATATAATTATATATATATACATTATATTTTGATTGAGAACCCAACATAAAATTCCTAGACATATTCAAACCACTCTTTTGTATCCTCCCGAAGAAGTAAATCAAAAGCAATAAATAAATATGTACGTACCTGATGGAAGTGCAGCCCCGTTGGAGAAGCTAGTGAGAGTGGTGGTAATAAAGGAAATAAAAGGGTCCCAATACGCATCACAGTTGGAGACTGCAGTGAGGGACCGTTTAGCTGAGGAAGATAAGTTCGAGGAAGAGGAGGAAGAAGCACTGGAAAAGATTGTCCAATTCTTCCAGCACATATACCTCAGGAAAGACTCGGTCATCACAATTTACTTTGACGGTTTTTCGACGGCTCAGATCGGATTTTTAGGGGAGGGGAAAGAAGAGGTGAAGCTGGAAGTGAAGAATGGGAATGTGGTGGAGATGATACAGAAATGGTATTTGGGAGGGAGCAGAGGAGTGTCTCCCACAACTATTTCTTCCTTGGCCTCTGCTCTTTCTGCAGAGCTTTTGAAATGAAGCTATTATTCATATTTCATATCTCTATCCATGGATATGTTACACTTCACTTTCAGTGAACTAATGGATGGATTAAGAGTTTGGTTGCTTAATTGCAAGAATGGGGAAGAACCAAGAGTGAGAAATTGTCCTAGTGATGTTTGTTTAGAATTTGAAGGTAATGAGATTTTGAGTTGGATTTCACATATTTGAGGTTCCACAAGGATCCATTGTATGGATACCCAAATAAGATCGATAATTAAACTCGTGATTTCACGGATACGAATTTATTTCTACACTACTACTACTAGAGCATATCTCACTTAAAATAATATCCAATTACCAGAGAGGAAGCTGCATGAGTGTATGTATTTATATTAAAAATCATAATATTAAAATAGAGGATATGGATAAACTGATGACCAACGTAGTGCTGATTTTACCGAATATAACATCTTGTTACGAGAAAACGAGAAAGAAAACAAATAAAGAATACAAATGTTTTACATAGTTCAGTGACGGTGTGTCAACCTACGTACATGTGTCAGCCTATGTCCATAGCTATTTATTTATAAGCACCCCAAAACACCCTAAACCTAAGCCTATTTGTTATTAATTAGGATAAGCCCAAAAGGAACCTGCCAATTGAAACAACCATTTCGCTTTGGTTTCGGGTTGGGTAGACCGCTAAATCCAAGTCGCGTTTCAACACATAGAAGGTGATCATCGTATATTTATACATATTTTTAGCATATTTATAATACATCATATATTATATTATAACACTCTAATATATATTATCTCATAACTCAACCTATATTGAGATATATATACATATAAGTTAGGTCATCCCTATGGCAATAGACGTGAAATCTTGTGATAGTTAACTTTTAAAAAGTAAATACTCCCTCCGTCCCAAACACTTGCAACATTTCCTTTATATATGTTCCAAACACACTGCAATATTTTCAAAATATGAAATAAGTAATTATAGTTAACATTTGCCCAAATGTCCATCACATCATCTAGTTTCTAAATTATCCTATTTAATACTACCTATCTAAAACTTGTACCAAAAACAAATATTGCACATTTTTGAGACAGATGGAGTATTTGTTTTCAAAGTAAATATGTCTTCATACAAATGGCTGGGCTAAAAAAATAAAAGCCCAATGAGTGAAGCCCAATAGACTTTGAACATAGTCTTATTGGGTGACAAAGGATGTGAGATTCGTCTAATTCAATTTTATTCATACAACCTTCATAGTACAACATATATTAAACTCTATTTCCTTATATTATTTTTAACTTTGTTTCGTCATTATTCATTAAATTTATTCTTAAATATCATTAAATCAAACACTTATTTACATTACATTTTAACAATTAAATTTCCTGTAAAATTGTCACTATTCCTAAACTCTAAAATATTTTTTAAATTATCTAAATAACAACATTCTAAAGTATATGTAATATTCAATAACTACAAATATAGTAATATGTAACCAAACAGTTCCAAAATATTGAGAACTCCGGTATACAAATAAATAAACCAATGATACGTTATGCGAATCCAACATTGTATTAGAACCCTAAATTTTGCATACATCTATTTGTTTTTAGGTGAGAGGTCATTCTGAGTATCCGACACAAAAAAAAAAAAAAAAAAAAAAAAAAGAACATCTAAATCATTCTTACCTGCGAACAGGGCTAGCGAGGGAATCTGTGAATGTACAACACAATTTTTCAACACCATAATTTATTAAACTATGGCATGATTTTTTTATTTTTTTTATTTAGATTTGCGTGTTCTTTTTAGTTTAGAGCTATTTTATTTATTTATTTTTAATAGCAAATGACTTATAAATGTGATATTATGATTTAAAATTAAATTTTGAATATGATATTCTTTATTATATATATAACGTTTATTAAATGAAAGATGTATCATACAAAAATTAGATTAAAAACACCACTCATAGGGTTTCGGATGCCAACAACATCAAAATCGAAGTAGTTAAATAACAATCAGGCTGTTGCTCTGTCTGTCCTAGTGTCTACCTCCTCTACCTTCTATTAAAATCTATCGACATCAGGCGTACTTATCATTGCTTTCCAACGAAGAACACCAACTTAACAAAATTTAATATGTTAAAAGACTTTGTTTATATATCTACTTATAAAATTATTTTTGTGATGAAATTTTAAATATTCTTTTATATAAGATTAACTCTATTAAATACTCCCCCGTCTCATAATAAAGTATCTATATTTTCATTTTAGTCCGTCTCATAACAAAGTATCCGTTTTTTTTAATAATTGTACCATCTACCTAACATTACAAATACTCTTACAACTTACAATATATTACACAAATGTCGTTACCTTTATATCACACATACTAATAAAGTTATTTTAGTCATTTCTACTTTATTCATACTATATTCAAATATAATACTAATATTTCTAAAATTACGTGGCAAAAGTAAATAGATATTTAGTTATAGGACGAAGAGAGTATTATTATACTAAAACTATTCACATATCTATTTTTTATTTTATATATTATACTAAAAATCAATTTTACATTCAAAATATCACATAAACACTTTCAAATTCAAACTCTCGAACAAACACACCCTATAGTATTTTTGAAAAAATTCTTATTTGTTAGGTAGACAATATAATCCTAGCTCCGCATGTGCCTATATATTATTATTCATGTCCAAAAAATAATCCTCTATCATTTATAATATAAACTTTCATCACATTTACAACACCTATTGTTCTAGTTTGTTTCTATTTGTTCTCTTTATGATTTTCACCAAAAGTAACATCCAAGAAGCCTTGGATGAATTTTTTCGCATTGACCTATCTCCTTGGTATAACACAATTATATGTGTGTGTGTTTGTTTACATTGAACATTTCCAAACCAAACTCTTCTTAGAACAATCGAACTGTTTTGGGTTATTATCTTACTTCCTAGAAAAATATGTACTAATATGATATTATCTGTTTTGGTTAACTCCGCACCAATTTGCTTGTGGACTTCTTAAAAATGCTTCAAACTATATAAAATAAAATATTAACTTGTAATTTTATTTTATTTTTTTTTTATGTAAGATTTGAATATTTTTTTACAAAGACTACATAATTCGTAATCTCCCCTTCATGATATTTCATATGATTTGTCAAACATCTCATATTGCATTTATCATCAAAGTGATCCGCTATTTCACCACAAAAATTGTGAGGACGCATCGTCAATCCAACCACCATAACATCAAAAAAAATTTCAAACATGAGACACCAAACATATATTTTAAATCACAAGGTTGGCTTCTCACAATCAACTCATCCCACCACCTAGCTCCTTTTGAACTTAGCTCTAGTACCAATTTGTTGAGAATCAGTGTAATTCCATACTTAATATGATACTATTCATTTTTAATTAAATTCGTACGAATTTGCTTTTTAACTTTTCAAAAACCTCAAACTATGTATAATTAATTTGTTGTCGCTCAAAATAATTTTTCGACAGCTTATCAGAACGAACCTGCTAAAAATAGGGTGAGTCCTCCGGCTTTCTCCAAAAAGGAGGAAGAACTGTGTTTGCAATACTAAAAAATAAAAAAAACAGAGAAAAATGGACAAAAATAAAAGGAGAAAAAAAGCAAGAAATTAAAGGAATATGACAAGAAATTAAAGCTCTAAAAATAAAAAATAAAAATAAAAGTAGGAAGAAAAGTAAATTGAAGGAAATTAAAAATAAATTGCATAAAAGTTATGAAGAAAAAAATAGAAAGTGTGTAAAGAGGTCAGGAGGCCTTGAAATAGTCTTCTTATCTCAATTTATACTACTGCCCTACCAAATCTAGATTTAGCTAAAATTTTAATTTATCTCAAATCTGCTAATATCTTAATAAATTATCCAAGATTAAATAATATCTTATCCCAAATAATATTTTGAGATAAAACAATTATTTCTTTTTTTTTATTGTTCAACCTGAAACTTGAATTTGTTATTTTCCCCTTAGTCCAAGTGGCAGAAAGCAAGAAGCGGTTTTTTGCAAGCTAAAGGCTTCTTAACGTTTCTATTTGAGGGCTTTGAGTTGAAATTCATCGAGACGACTCCAACAAGAGATATTGTGTGTATGTATATATATATATATATAATATTTATAAAGGGCTCATTATGCCCTGTGCAATACTCAACTGGAAATAAAAAAATCAATGGCAATTAATAGCTAGAAATAAATATTTGGCCCATCATCATCATTTTCATCGTCCCCCTTAGCCTGGGACGAGGGAATTAAAACAAAATCCTAAAACTAAAACATGGCAAGAGGGGCCCAAGACCTGGGTTGTGTAAGTCTAGTCGGAAGCTGGTCTTGACTTTCGAGAGGCTCTAGTCATCCGGCCGCCTGACCATCGATCCAATGCCCACTGTCACCCGCCACACGGATTTGTTTTTGAATATTCTCCAAAATACCTCATATTAGTGGAGTTCACTCGAACTTATAAAGTGCGTAGTTTTCTTCACAATTTGCGATGTGGGATTTGATTTTGCACCCCAACAAATATATATAAATAAGTCCATGTACCAGTGGAAGATTCGGCAGCTACCGCTGCTGTGAGGGCTCTGAGCCACATGGATAGTTCAATGTGCTGAAGAGCGGATCGAATTGTATTAGTGTCTAGAATTGAATATTTTTTAAAAAAAAATTGATGGAAAAATAGTACTTGAAAAAATTTCAAAATTTTGTAACTCTATAACCTCACCGTTACAAAATAACATCATACCACCTAACTGCATTCCTTTTAGTTTCAAGTAAATCAAATAAATTATGTATATAATAATTATAGATATAAACCCTAAATATTTGACGGACTCCCTGGGCGAGCGCCCCTCTCGTCCGAGCCCAGAGCCGGCGCTGAATCTAGTGATTGGCATCTCCAGCATAGTGACAAGGTCCCGAGTTCAATCCCGGAAACAAATATGTGTGGATTATTAAATTCAAAATAAATTTAAAAAAAAAAAAAAAAAAAAAAAAAACTGACAAGAAGGGCAATAAGATTGGTCCACCATTTGCAAAGCCACATGGCAGAGTGAGTAGAGAGGAAGCAAAGCAAACCTGTGAAAGTGAACCTGAATTTTGATGTGGCTGGTGCCTAATCCAAACATGTTATTTATTTATTGCGCCCATTTAAATAGGTTTTCTTTTTATTGATTTTTGGATAGGTTTAGGTCCATGTCTTGATCATGACAAGTGTGGACTGGACATGGCCAATTGCCCAGGCCCCTCTCAACTCCACACTACTTTTGGTCCTTAAAACAGTGAGTGCCATAGATAGCCTAGCTACTTCATATGCCATATATGTGGATCTTATTTTACTTGCTATGTTTGCACTTCAAGAATCTAACTTGGTTAAAGGTTGTTTATTTTATTCTTTTATTATTACTTTGTTTTTAATGCATCCTTTTAATAATACTAGTTGTCGTTTATACGAAACAATAAGTCCATATTTTGGTATTCTTATGTATTTTTTTATTATACCGACTTGGAAAGTAATGCGATTTTTATAAATGTATATTTTTTGTCATCTGTATATGAATTTTAATTATAGTTTTATACAAACTCTTTATGCAACCTCTTTTTCTGTGAACCCCTATATGAAGTCATATGCTCACCATGAGAGCAATGGCAGAACCAGAATTATTTTGAGAAATTGATAGTAACAAAAAAACAATATATGTTAACATATTCAATTAACATAAAAATACTAGCTTTGTAAGAATTAGTAACAAAAAAACAATATATGTTAACATATTCAATTAACATAAAAATACTAGCTTTGTAAGAATTATTCGAATCCGGACGGTGTATATAATCACCGTTTGCAGTGGACACGACGGCTAGTTTTGTGGACCATTTTATCCGAGCTCTCCGGGACCAATTTTATGTAGGCTAACCCTAGTCAACTACTCTTATGTTACGTGGTTTGTCATCCTAATAGCCATTATATGCGAACGACCACTCACATGTAATTTGATGCTAACCAAAGCCAGCTTCTATTCGACATGACTCCATGCATATTTTGGGTCACTTCTATCTTACAGCATCTCTACAGAGGATTAAACATAAGTATTTGACTGTTAAAGATTCATTAGACTTATGAAGGAGCTTAAAAGAAATATTCAACAGCCTAAAAATTGTCATCTGCACCTTCCGTTGTAAGACTGCAGAATCTTCTATAAATATAATTCAGCCATGCTTAATAAGATCAGCGGCATGGCCGATTATGGCATTATGGGTATATTTGAAACAACCCGGAAAAAAAAAAGTCTTATGCGACTCACCGGCATCATTTATTATTTCAAGCCGATACTTAATGAGACAGTTGTGTCTCGTTGAAGTATCAGCTATGCTTTAAGTTCTAGGTAATACATACACATAAATACAAATAATTTACACATGAAATTAAATCTCTCTCTATATATATACAATGCTGCGGACATATATATACACATTTTAATAATGAACATTTTCAGTGCAACTCTCTACAGTACCGTCAATATATGCAGTTTGTACAAACTATGAAAGAACAATAATCTGGTAACAGAAACATGGGCTTGATTACTAATATATATATTTTTCTTCGCATTATACTACACACAATATATGTGCAAATGTGCAATAATTATAAAAATATGTATATATACATGCGGCTAAACTGCCCATGTGGTTGAAACATTTTCTTTTGTAGATAATAACATTTATCAAGAAAATCAAAATACATGTTAGCAAATGGACATGTTTTGTTTGTTTATGATTTCATGTTACATCACTGCAATAATTTCGTACCGCGATTTTTGGTATATATTTGAGGGAATTAAAATATATATATAATATGTAATTTCAGAAAAACCGAAGACTAATTATTTATTTATTTATAAAGCAAGAATCATCATCTAGGGTAAAGTTAATGGGGATGTTTATACGTGCGTCAGCAGGATTTATTTTACAGATATCATTAAAATTTAAAAATCATTAAGTAGATTTTATTAATTTATTGCCAATTTTATACATTTTGGATAACTAATTAAATAAATTTCAAGAAGATTGTGAAAATGATGTACGGATATAGAGGGCCACCTTTTAAGGGATTTGCATGTGCACATAACATGGTAGGACCATAATACAAATTCTTGTATATTTCTTTCAACCAAATCTTCCCTAATTTCTACCCACATATTATTTGTACTGAGAATGATTATAGTGAAAAATAATTAATTAGTAGTATCAAATTGGCTAATGATTATACTTGCTTCTCGAATCACCAGAGGAAATTGTGCTTACGATTACGTAAATTGCGGAATAACAATTTCACATATAATTACGTGAATAAAATCTCAACAAATCATGAATATTATGTCACTGTCTAATCAATAATTAGTGAATTAAATTCAATATCCACGATAAAGACCCTTTGGATCCAAAGCATTACTCATGAATTTTGAGTAATAGCTACACTTCCTTTCTTTAATCATTGGTATGATTATATTTGTTTTTTTTATCAATTTTTTTTACTATTCAATTTATTAATTTCTTTTAAATATAAAGCTCAATATTATACATTGCGTTCAACAATTATTTCACATAAATATATAAATATGTATAAATCCAAAACCAAAAAAAGAAAATCACAAGTATGTTTAAACCCTACACATTTGAAATATTTTTGTTATTAAACTTCTATTGTTGTTTTCGGATATTAGTTTTACAACTAAATGATTCTAAAAATTGCATTTCCTATTCAAAATTCCTAATACATTATGTTAAATGTACGCCGTGATTTCGCTTTTATTTTCGTGCCATTCCATCAAATCCATTTACATTTCATATTTACCTCATTATTTTCAAAACCCAAAACAAATACCGTATTTTTTAATACTACATTCTTTCTAAACTTTACTATTTAGGCTATGTTATTTTTCAAAAACCAAATAATAATAATAATAAAATATTTTATCAAATATTATCTAAACACAGAACATAAAATCAAATCTTCCCAATCAAACTAAAGACAGGATGTGTTTGTTTGGAGGATTTTTATATCTTTTTTTCTCATACTATTTCAAGAATATTATATAAATACAAAACTTAAATCAAATTCTTCCAAAACCCAACCCAAAGACGGGTGTTTTTGTTTGGAGAACTTTGCGAGATTTTTAATTCACCAAATTTTTTTCTTAAAAAATTATAAAATTAAATATTTTTTTTTATATATTATATCAAAACTAAATTTTAGATTAAATAATTTAATAAAAAATTATTTATATAATGTAATACAATTTTTTTTTTATTTCAAAATTTTTACTATTAAAAATTTAAACTCTCATGCAATACATTTTATTCTAATAAACAGCTGTTTGACTACCAACCTAACAGAGAAAGTACTACATCAAACGTAGGCGGCAGGTAATTCACTTATTTATCAAATTAAATGAGACATACTTTTGGTGCTCTCATTGATCTCAAAAGTAATGTATTCACCAAACAAATTGACACAACTCTACACTCACCACAAATTAAGGCACTAAATACTCTTTTATGTCTTAGTTGGTCTGGATTGACTTTTTAGACATGTTTGACTAATTTTAACAAGATGTTTTTCTTTCCTAAAACAAGATTTCAGAATTCAAGTAAAATTATTTTTAAAAACCCAATTACTTACTAAACCCATTGAGTAATTCAATAAAACCTATTCACTCCAATGAATCTACAATTCACACACACGCATATATGTATATAGATTCCTTAATAGGCTACTTTAACACCAAATGTGCCCCTTTAAACAACAAAATAAGTGCTTAATTATTTGCTTATTCAATTATCTGCTAAACCTAAGATAATAAATTGGAAGTAGATTACTAATTATGGTGGTAGGTGCAGTCGAGAATTATGCAATCAATTGACATTATTCAATCTCACTGACCTAACTGATTAAATTACTAACTCTACCTCAAATTAATATCAAATGCAGCAGATAATTAAATATAATGAGAAACGACAACAAAATAATTCATACATTTTTTTATGCAGTAAAGTTGTGTACCTTAGTGTCTTGAAGTTCCAATCAATTTTATAAATCAAGTGCTTCCATTGTTGTAAGTTTTTCCACATACCTGCCAAGAGGAAAAATTGGGGAAAACAGTTGAGAAACACATGTGGCTGTGGGGCCTAGGGGAGGATTAGCAGTTGGTAGTTTCACATTGGAACAAATGCATGTGCCTATTGGTGACTTCAAAATATTTTCTTTTGATTCACTTGTTGTGGTGTGGCTAAAGGACACCAAATGCTGCAAACTTGTCGTTTTCCAACATATTATTTGCATACCTTTTGTTTGTGTATAAATACGCCCCTCTTACTTCAAGATTTTGTACTAAGGTGTGAGAACTCAAAAGCCCTTTAAGTTGCTATCTCTCCCCCTTTTCTTTCTTTCTAAAATGGCTATTCCAGCAGTGCTTCCAATGGCTTCCCTAGTGTTCTTCTTCTTCATTAGCTTATGTCTAAGAACTGAAGCTTATGGCAGCGGGTGGCAGTCGGCTTTCGCCACTTTCTATGGCGGCGGGGATGCTTCAGGCACTATGGGTCAGTTGCTACAACTCTACAATGAATGGTTTATATGTATTGTGAATTAAGTGGTGTCCATCATGCAAGAAAGCATAATGATCATTTCTTTAAGTGGGACCATAACTATCCTACACTTTATTATCCCTTCTAAAATCTGGAACTAAAACTTACTTTATATAATTGGATTTGGGACACATCTATATGCGATTCTAACATCATCTGATATTGGCTATTGATGTGTAATATCTTTGCATATGTCCAGGGGGTGCTTGTGGGTATGGAAATCTATACAGCCAAGGCTACGGCACAAACACAGCAGCACTCAGCACAGCTCTATTCAACAATGGCCTTAGCTGTGGAGCTTGTTTTGAGATAACATGCTCCGGTGCCCAGAAATGGTGCCTAAGGGGAACCATTAAGGTCACAGCTACAAATTTCTGCCCTCCTAATCCATCCCTCCCCAACAACAATGGTGGCTGGTGCAACCCCCCTCGCCAGCACTTTGATCTGGCTCAGCCTGCATTCTTGCAGATAGCCCAGTACCGAGCTGGAATTGTTCCTGTTTCTTACAGGAGGTAAGCTTCTGTGAGTTATCATCACTAGTTTTGTCTTTTAAGATTTGAGGCATTTTCTGATGGTTTTAAGTTCTTACATCTGGCAGGGTTCCTTGTGTGAAGAAGGGTGGAATAAGGTTCACTATCAACGGCCACTCATACTTCAATTTGGTGTTGGTTACTAATGTGGCTGGTGCAGGGGATGTCCATAAAGTATCGATCAAGGGATCAAAAACAGGATGGCAATCCCTGTCGAGAAACTGGGGCCAGAACTGGCAGAGCAATGGGTATCTCAATGGCCAGAGCCTCTCATTTCAGGTTACTACCAGCGATGGTAGGACTATTACATGCAACAATGTTGCCCCTGCAGGTTGGCAGTTCGGACAGACATATGAGGGAGGACAGTTTTAATTACATTGGGTGATATTGAATTATAGACATGAACATTAAAAGATTGAGTTGTATTTGGATGTGGGAATTATGGGTGAGTATGTAGGTATGGGGGAGGCTAAGGGAGCTGTGGTGGCAGGTTTGCACCCGCTGAAGCCTAATATGTGTATGTATGGTAGTAACATTATAGGTTTCACTTTTTTTTTGGAGAAATTTTCTTATTCAAGAGATATTGGAATTATGTATGGCTAATATTGGATGAGCCATTACAAATACCATATAGTGAAGGTTGTAGATTTCTTCCCTACTCCAGTGTAAACTACTGAGTAAGGGTACCTTAATGAAGTGTGTTTTATGTTGCCCTTTTGACTAACTCTATTTGGATGGTTCATTTTGTGACATATTAGTAGTTTTGATTCTGATCTTCTCCTTCTATAATAAAATTACAACAATACCTAAAATCCTAAATCAAATCATTAGAGTCCAGCTTACCACTCGCCAAGGATAAAGCTAAGAAGAACATCAGTTCAAAACAGATCAATAGAAAGGAATTAAGGCATTTTCGTATCATCAAAGAGAGGAATGTGTAAACTCAGTAAGTTCTTCTACACTCAATCTAAACACAAGACCAGACATAAACCAACATGTATTCAGTTGTCGTTCATTAGAGCAAGAAGGCAGTGAGAATGATAATAGTTTGTCAGTAGTCAGATTCCTTGAATTGATACACAGCTAGCTAAATCTGTTAACTTATATCTAAGTTGTACATAAATACTTCTTCTGTAAGGTTATACTAACGTTGTTGTGTACTACTTAAGATTTACTTTATTATTAATAAACAAACCATAAATGTAAGTAGGGAATGATTGTGATAATTAACCCTTCTAATATTCTTTGTTCTGCCTAACCTCTGCACACTTTGCTTCCACAAATATGCTGTGTAAATATGCAATACAGATAACCATAAAACAGAACAAAGAAGAACAGTTGGTTTTGCAAGGTTCGGCTCCTACATATTCAAACCAGTAGTTTTTACATGTCATAAAGTCTATATATATGTAAAAACTGCTTTGGCGAGCCACAAATATTAACAAAATACTTCAGTTAAACAATAAGCAATTCTATGATGAGACGAATAGCACAATTGATTGCTTCCACAAGACAAACCAAACCGAATGAACTTATATACCTGAAGTTAAAGCAATATAGCCAACAGACGAACAATTAAATACCATACTTACATGTATATTAGCAGCAGCCTATAGTCCAATTCAACAAGGAGTGATGAAAGAGCATTGCTCACTATTTCTTCTAATAAAACTAATTGAGCTGGTGTTTGGAATTCCCTGCGCAAACAAACAGAAAAATCATGGATGAAACCTAAACGGATGAAAGAAAATTGAAATGTAAAAACAACACATTATAGGCTCCATTGGTTCGAAGAAACTCCAGACCTAAAAGTACCAAAACATCAAAACTAAGAGACCAAAACGAGATCCGGTGCACTCACTTCGTAGCCATGGAAAAACGCTGAGTTAGCTATAGTTTTAAGCACTGAATTTTTCAAAACCGCTATTAAAATACCAATTAGAATAATCAGTTGCCGCCATCATTTAAGTACTGAAACCTTCAGTGGCGCGAGCCGCCTTGTTTAGATAAATTCAAGGCTTTCCGAGGTACCTCCGCCACCACCCGTGTGGCTCACAGATCTAAAATATATATTTTTTATTTATATCACAATATAAGTATAATATTATTATATATTCTATTGATATAGTAAAAATAGTTTATTGAAATTAAAATTACTAATAATAATAAAAGTTAGTATAGAGTATATTTTTAATTTTTAGTTAATAATTTTTTTATTGGTATTTACTGTAAATAAATAATGAAGAGAGAATTATATGTAAATGGCAATTTGTTGATTTTGTCTTAATTTTAATATATATTTAATGTATAGACAAAAAAAAAAAACATGTATAAATTTGACATATAAAAAAAAATATTATTATATTTGTATAATAATATAAAATTGTAGTATGAATGTTCACAAAATAATAAATATTTATTGATACTATAAATATGTATGTAGATATATATATATATGGTAATAACCTTTCAATGCTTTGCTTCAAACACATTTGTTCTTATTCTTTGACTACGGAGAAAATATTTGTTATATTATTTAGTAGTACAAACGGTGTAATATTAGAATGTGTAGTTATAATCAGTAGTTATTGAACTTAATAATTTGAATATAAAAGAGTATGATTCTACTTATATACATATTTTTTTACTTTTTTATATTATTCATTCAACTTATGACATGACAATAAATAATTCGCTCATCATCCCTTATAGGCCATATTTAATCAGTTTTTGTTTGTTTAGTTGTGTTTATATATATATATATATATATACTATTGCACGTGGCTTTGATTTTTAGATACTACTTTGGGCCGTAATGGACCATAATATGGGCCCCATATTAAAGCCCGAATGAGAATTTCCCTATAAATGCCAGCAATGCATTAAAAGAACAATAAATAAATTACTCCAAAATAGAAGTAAAAAAATATATATATATATAATAATAAATTAAACCGAAATATCTATATATAAATTTTCACTATTAGGGTGGGTGGGGCATTTGACCTATTTATTTGAGCTAAGATTTGCAATAAATAGCACTAATAAGTAAAAGTCTACTCTACCCTGCCTATAAAAAATTATCTTGCTAGTAATAAATTGGAGGATAGATACTAACTTATATTCATATTTTTTAAAAAAATATGCTTCTATAACAATTTTTTTTTTTAATATTACACTTATTAATTTTCATTTTTTTTACTTTCATTTTTAAAATACAAAATATATCTAGACAAATACTAACATCCCCATGCTGTAAATTATTTAGAGCCTTTATTAAAGAATTAACAATAATATTGTACAAGTACATAATAATTATGATTAATATATATTTAGAATAATTCAATACATTTTAATAATACAGAAAAGGTAAAAATCAAAATCAAAATAAATTCAGGCAGTCAGCACAGAGACTGTGATGTCCAAATAACTGACCGTCCATGTGATATTAGATAAATATTTTGTTATATTTTAGACGATTTTTTTATGCGAATTTTGTTTATATGCTCCTAATGGTGTGTTTTTGAACTTTCTAATAGGAGTTGAGGAGTTGACAAATTTTGGGCGTATTGAACAAAAAAGCAGAACGCTGGAAATCTTTAGGTCGTGATCACGAAGCAGAGGAAGAATAAAAATTGCAAAAAGGTCATCTGAGTTAATTAGCAATTTTAGAATTGTTTGGTTTAAATTGCAAAGGGGATCTAAAGTGATGAATTAAAAATGAGAGCAAGGGCCAATAAAGAAGATGAAGAAGAAACGCAAAATCCACGATCTCACCTACAACTCATTTTTAAAAGAGAAGAGAAGAAAGAAAGAACACTAGGAGAGCAACGGAGAAGAACTTCCGGACACCTTTTTCTTCATTTCTATAATTGGTTTGTTGTCGATTTTTAAACTTGAAGGCATGATAAAATCTTTGATTTATTTTATGTTTTTAATTGTTATGGTTTGCGAGTAGTTTCATTTATAGTGTAGGTATGAATTGATATTCAAGATTGAAATTGTGAGACTTTGTTTCGATTAAAATTGGTATTCATCGATGTTGGGTATTTTTAATTCTTTATAATTGATTAGTTTATAAATCTTGAATTTATTATTGTCCACGTATCAATTAAAATCAATTTTAAACAAATCTTCGCATGAGCTTGTTAAATTGAATTGAGTCTTTCTAGTTTTTACTGCTGTCGAGTTAGAAAACTACGGTCGTACATAGGATTCTTTCCCGATTAGAGAAATAGTTAACGGTCGTACCTTAGCTATCAAAAAAATAAGGAAAGATTGGTTGTGAACGCGTGTAGATCAACTTTAACCAATTTATACAACTAGTCGATGAATTTAACTTTTAGTCAATGATCAAATGTCATGTCCCAAATAAAAAATTCATGCCTATGCTAGAGTTTAATTATATTTGGTAAACCGCTAATTTTGCATTATAGTTAACTTGCTTTTATTGAGTAAATTTTATTCTTCCTTATTTAATGTGATAATCAAATCCCCCGGTATATATTAATATAATTATAATCAATCAAATAGAGAAAGAATTATTATTTCCCTGACCCTACTCATTACTGCTATACTGCATATTTTGGGATGTAGGAATTGATATTTTATTTTGCAGTTGTGCGACAGGCTAGCAGCCCCAGTCGGAGCCCCGAAATTCATTCATTCCCGCTTTTTGTCGGCCAATGGACAGAACAAATGTCGCTTCGCGACTTAACTATGGCCTCGACAAACGGATTTCTTTTAACCCTACCCGATTATCTTATCGGTTCACCAATATGTGTACTCTGTCAGGAGCTAAACCAAAGCTCCTTGGACTACAAAGACCGTGATTATCTTCTTTTATGGAGTAGTTTATATTCACTATTGTTGGGATTGGGTCCACTTTGAGCTGAGCTCGTACGAATTTATTTTTGGATATTCTCCAAAAGGCCTTGGAATTTATAAGATGTAAAATTTTCTTCACAATTTTCAATATGAAACCAATGACCAACCAATGGACCTTTCCAGCCGACCTCGTACCGCCTATTACAAAGGGACCCCCGCCTGACCACCTCAATTGAGACCGACCCAATACCACCAGAAAACTTTCGACACAAGGCTTATCCGCAAGTCACGAGGCAAGCCAACCACCATAACCAATGCCCAATACCACTCAGTCAACTTCACCATCGAACCAGGCTCTGATACCACTGTTGAGACTGGATCAACTTAACACTAGTATGATATTGTCCGCTTTGGGCTTAGCCCGCATAAATTTGTTTTTGAATATTCTTCAAAAGACCTTATTCTAATGGAATTGATTTATGATTTATAAAATTGTGAAGATTCCAATATAGAATTTGGATTTACACCCCAACAAATATGCACATTTTGCAATTAAAATTTATTGCTACCTCCATCATAAAACTATGTTCTCGATCCTTTTATAAGCATAGAATTTGACGGCAAAAATAGTATTTTTCTTAATAAAATATTTAAAATGTAAAATAATGAAATGTTTCAATAATTATCTTATAGTTTTCAACAATTAATAGTAATTATTTTCAAAAAATATAATACTCCGTTAATGACTCATTTAGTTAGGTACACAATATTTTAAATAGTTTAAATTAATAAGTTATTAATAATAAATTATAATATTATTTTATTATTTTTATATAAATAGTGTCTTGGTATTTTAAATATTTTAAAAAATATATATATTTATTTATATTTAATTTAAAACTTATTTATTAAGATAGATATAAATAAAATTTTTTTGAATGGATCTATTAGGATGTTAGAAATTTTATTAAATTAATTAATATTTATTAAATATGTTTAAAATAAATAAATTTATTTAAAATATAAACAGATATTCTTTTATATATAAAATAAAAGTAGGAAGAAGTATTAATTTCAAACAATAATGAAACAAATTCTAAGATCGTGTTCCTTTTCAGTGTCTAGTTCCGTTTGAATAGTTATTATTTTTTTAAAACAATAATAATATTAATATAATGTTTTATAATTTATTTATTTAGGGTGTGTTTGTTTTTTAATATATATTTTTTATATAAAGTATAAAAGATTATCAATGTAATAATAATATATATTGTATTAATTTTTTTAAAAAAATATATTAATTTTTTTTTAATTTTAAAAAAAGAGCATTACCTTCTGAAAAACAAACATAAATTTCAAATAATAAAAATTTGACAAAAAGAAAATTATGAAAAAACATATCCAATTTTGAGTAAAAAATTGCTAAGGGAGAGGGCAGATGAGCGGGGTGGATGCATCTGGTCCTGCAGTCCCGGAGCTCCAAATTGTCATCGTCCTGAGCCTCCTCGCCTCATTTATGATACTACTTACTAGTTTGCATTCATTAATGCAGCTGTTATGTTACCTCTATTAAATTCATCCATAGAGAAGAATGAATCTGGGCCGTTAAGAATTTGAACGGTCTGGATTCGCCGGGTGCTGCATGCCCTGGAGCTCACGGTAACAGCACTGCAGAAGTACAAAAAATTACGAAGATAGCAATGGATCAGAGCATCTCAACAACCCTGCAGTTTTCACAACCATTCGCATTCAGTACCCCCCAATTTCCCAAAAGAAAATCTTAAAATATCTATAATTAAATAAAAGAATAAGAAAAAAATCTGAAACAGATAAACGAGGAATAATGAGCAACAAGCCTACAGCAGCCGAATCGAAATCGACACTTTTTTTTAATTTCTGGTTCAAAAGAAAATCTAGAAATTTATCTATCATTTATCCCAGATTTAATTCTACATATATATATATATGGGCTTTTGATTTAAAGTTGTCTTATCAATTTACCAATAATTTCAGGTATAGATATATATATCATCAGTCACCATTTGAATAAAAATTGAGTATTTTTTACATTTTTTAAAGATTCTTTGGCTTTTGATTCGTGAAATATTTGACAGAAGACGACGAGACGAAAACGAAAACGAAAGGGTTTCTTTGAAAGGGTTATTATTTTCAGAAATGGGACTGCTGATTAAATAAATAATTAATAACGAATGATAAGAAAGGGGGGCCCACGTGCCGGTCACGTGGAGCTGCTCCTTCCTACACAAGAACTGAAAAAACATATCGAAAACTGTACACATTCCCTTCCTTTTCACCCTCACCAATTTTTATTCTTCTTACTGTTCAATTCAATTAACCTCTTTTTCTCTAAAAAATTAAAATTAAAATTGAAATTGAAATTGAAATTGAAATTGAAATTGAAATCAAGATGAAAAGAATGCACTTATTACAGGCCATTTAAAAAAGTTCGAGTATGTTAAAACAGTGTAAGAAAATAGTTTTGTATTCTGAAACAAAGTTGAAGAAATATACAGAAATGGCGTTCAGACAAATCCCATAAGTCACTTTTTCATTTTTTAATAGTTTCGGATTTTATGCTCTAACCTTTTGACGATAATTTGTTCCTTTTCTCCTCCAAAAACCACTTTTTATTATTTTAGATAAATAAATAAATAAAACGCCAGCAGGGCATGTGTATCTATATGTATGTATAGGTTTGGTATTTAGACTGCGGGTTTTGATGGTCCTTGAAGACGCCATTATTTTCGTGGGCTCAAGTTTGGTGTGACTGATTTTTAATTTTCTTGAATTTTTATTTCTTGATTTTGATAAAAATTCCACTGTCGTTGAATCATGTGATTTTGGTTCTCACTGCACACTTCTTACACTGTCTTCTTCATCTTCTTACCATTTTTCTTTTAATTTTTTGGTCCCCAATTGAAATTGTGAGTGGTGAAATTGAGGAAGTTAATGGAAGTTGCTAGAACTTGTATTTTTACCAACTCTTTATCCAAATTAGGGATAGGGTAAGGCTAAGGCTAAGGCTGAGGCTAATTTATTTCCTCTATTTCAAAATCCAAATGCAGAGTGGTGTCTGTCTCTACAACAGTTTCTTCTTGATCTGTTCTTACTGTTAATTAAAATCACAGATCAAAATAGCTTTTTAATTACTTCCCCTTTTCTCTTCTTTCCACCTTATAAACCACGAAAAACAAATAAAGAAATCCTTGTCGGAATGCTAAATTAGTGACTCGACGATTCCACATGGGGTTCAGTTGGAAGTAGGCAAGAAATTGGTCATTTCACTGTTTGTGGTTGTCGATTAGAATTTGATTCGTGGGTCGGTGCCATTTAGGTCTCTCTTTATTTTAATTTTATTTTTTATTAAGTAATCTTTTTCTGGGATCTGCCTTAATCCTTTTGGTAATTTTCGGACATTGCAAAGGGAAGCTGCCATGGATCTTAGCTACGAGAAGCCATGGAGACCTCCAAAGGTTTATTTATTTATTTTCGAATTCCAATTGTCAATTATTTGGTTCCTATGTTGTAATGATTTGATTGTTTGTAATTAATTTCAGAAAGATTGGAAGAACCTTTTGGTGCTGGCTTACCAAAGCCTGGGGGTAGTGTACGGCGACCTTAGCATTTCTCCATTGTATGTCTACAAAAGCACATTTGCTGAGGACATTCATCACTCGGAGACTAATGAGGAGATCTTTGGTGTCCTGTCGTTTGTTTTTTGGACACTCACTCTCGTCCCTTTGTTCAAATACGTCTTCGTCGTCCTCCGCGCCGACGACAATGGCGAAGGTATTGTTCGAAATCGACGCAATTTGCCAATTTTTTGTATTTTCGTGTCCTAATTCCAAATTAGATGAAATTCCAGCATTTTTGGGGCCATCCAAATAGTTTAAAACGACGTTTTTCTAATTTTTTGGCTAACTTTTTAACTTTTGCAATTTTTTTTTTTTTTCTTATGGACTTTTATTGTTTTTGAAACTATAAATATTTTTTATTTTGATTTGAAATTGACGTGATTTGAATTTTTTATATAAATAATATTTTCATGTAATGTTTTGTTAGAATAACATTGGCTATGTTTATTTGGAAGATTTTTTTTCTTATTTTACTATTTCAATTTTATTTTCCTTCCAAAAACATCAAATCAAACATCTAATTTTTATTTATTTTATTATATTAAAATCTACTTAACATCAATACATATTTCTATCTTGCATCAAATAACTATATCAATTCAAAATTTTACTATTTAAAATCAAAACTCAAAACCAAAACCTCACAAGTAAAGACAGTTTTATTGGTATTGTGTTTGATGAACAGTGAAATTTTTATTTTGAGTGTGTTTGTTTGGGAATTTGAATTTTTAAATAATAAAAAAATAAATTTAAATAATTATTTCATGTTATAACAAATAGTTTTTTATGTGATTTTTAATATAAAATTAATTTTTATTATAATATAAAAAAAATTATAAAAATTAGAAAATTGCATTATATTATAACCAAAACAAAGGGTTTATATGTCGGCAACATAAAATAGATTCGATAAATGGCTTTGTCGCTTCTGACTTTGTTTAGAATTCCGTTGTTTTCAACTATAATATTTTTAGAAAAAAAAATTCATAGACTAAACTTACTCTAAAATCTCTCAAACAAAAACGTCCTATTTTGGTTTTCATTAATAAGACTAGATTATTCTCTAATTGACTATCTTCTCTTGTTCGGTCATCTCGATTTCTATATTCAGCTTAATAGAAAAATTTGAATTGAAATAACGTTGGATTTCGATATAAACAATTGGAGCATACCTCTTTTTTGTTATGGATTGGACAATGCAATAATTGAGCACTGTGGTTGTTCTTGTAACAAAAATTTTTAAGGTTGTTATGACTTACGATCATTATTGAGTTCTGTTGGTAACAAAAATTGCAGGTGGAACTTTTGCACTGTATTCCCTAATCTGCAGGCACGCCAAAGTTAGTCTTCTCCCGAACCGGCAGGTCGCCGACGAGGCGCTGTCGACGTACAAGCTCGAGCACCCTCCGCTGACAAAGAACAGCTCGAAGGTCAAGACGGTGCTTGAAAATCACAAATCCTTACACATTTGTTTGTTGATCTTGGTTTTACTCGGAACGTGCATGGTTATCGGGGATGGATTGCTTACGCCGGCGATATCCGGTGCGTCGATGGAGCTTTGGTTGTGTTCAATTATGTCGAATTGATTGATTTTGGTGGGTTTTGTATTTGTCGTCGTTGTCGCTGCGATTGACAATTTTTTTTGTGTTTTCTTGCAGTATTCTCCGCGGTTTCGGGGCTTGAATTATCGATGTCGAGGGAACATCACCAGTGTATGTGAATCTTCTTTTTCTCGAAAACTTCATTTGTGGATTTTACACACTATTCAATTTTATTTTTTTCTTCCAAAAATATCAAATCAAACAATTACTTTTCATTTTTTTTTATATTATACTACAAATTTATTTACATTCATAAGATCACATCAACCTCTATTTATATCACATCAAACAACTATTCAAATTCAACTTTTTACTATTCAAAAATCCAAACAAAAAAACTAAAACCCACAAACAAACACACCCTTCGTTTTCTATTTATACGTTCTCGAATTGATGTGTTTTGATCATTGACAAAATTACTTGAAATTTATTTGTAGTTTGAAAAGTTTGCATACTTATCCTTTATGATTTAGAAACTACACAAAGTTCTATCGATCAGGTTTAAACATCTCATAACATTTTTTTTTTAAGAATTACAATATTCTCGAAAATATGGAGTTTCATGCAATTTTAAAAGATTATGTGCAATGTTCTCTAACATAGAAAGGCATCGAATTCCAGTTGAATTGTGTTCGGATAATATTCCAACATGGGGAACTCCAAATTACAGCGATGACAATGATCTTTATATTCTTACATTGATGTTGCGATGGGATGAGTCAAGCTATGTAATTTTTTATACAAAGTGTTTATATCGTTTCTTTTTCGTTTTGTAGATGCGGTGATTCCGATTACTTGCTTCATTTTAGTGTGCCTCTTCGCATTACAACACTACGGCACGCATCGCATCGGTTTTTGCTTCGCGCCGATTGTTTTCACTTGGTTACTATGCATAAGCGCGCTCGGATTGTACAATATTTTCAAATGGAATACACATGTCTACCAAGCGCTCTCTCCGACTTACATGATAAGGTTTTTGAAGAAAACTCGGAAAAGCGGGTGGATGTCTTTGGGCGGAATTCTTCTATGCATTACCGGTAAATATGTTCTTCGAATGTATCTGTTGGTGCACTTCTGTTTATAGATAGATAAATAAATGATATATAATATGTATCCCTAATAACTTAAACTTTCTCGGTGAGACGGCTATTTACTTGATCTAATAGTATTGAAATTCATACTTTGTGGTCCTACAGGCTCCGAAGCAATGTTTGCAGATCTTGGCCATTTCTCCTACAGAGCAATTCAGGTAATAATCGAAACTTCACCATTTTCTTTGTTCGGAAAGAAAGTTTGTTCATAATTTGCGTGTCTTTGTTCTTTGTTCGACAGATAGCTTTCACGTTTTTAGTGTATCCTGCGCTTATATTGGCGTACATGGGCCAAGCGGCGTACCTATCGAAACATCACCATCCGGTGCACAAGATAGGCTTTTATGTATCGGTTCCAGGTATGACGACGTTTTTTTTTTAAGTTTTTTCGAGAGGTGATGCCGGGATTTATTCGTTACGGTTTCTTATTCGCTGAAATATGTGGTAGAAAGTGTTCGATGGCCGGTACTTGTGGTGGCAATACTCGCATCGGTGGTCGGGAGTCAGGCGATCATCAGCGGGACATTTTCGATAATCAACCAGAGCCAATCGCTCGGTTGTTTCCCGAGAGTGAAGGTCGTTCACACGAACGAAAAGATGCACGGCCAGATTTACATCCCGGAGATCAACTGGATGCTCATGATCCTCTGCATCGCCGTCACGATTGGGTTCCGAGACATCAAACACATGGGAAACGCATCTGGTACGTCGTATTGAACTTAGATAGAGCTGTTAAATAAGCGAGTTTGAGTATCGGTTGTTCAAGCTCGACTCAAACTTGTTAACAGTACAGGATCGGTTCGACTCGGCTCGTTAAGAATTCGAATCAAATTAGTGGCTCGAGTTCGGCTCGTAAAGCTTAAACTCGAGCTCGAGCTCGGCTCGTAAAGCTCAAACTTGAGCTTGAGTTCGAGTTCTGCTTGAATTTATATATATTCTATATATTTTTAAATATATAATTTAAATATATTTAATTTTATTCATATTTTTATAATAAAATATTTAAATTTAAATAATAAATGTAAATTTTTATATAAAAATTATATATATTATATTAATATATAAATAATATAAATATACTATCACTAACGAGCTCAATTGAACTACTCGCAAACTAAGTTTGAACTCGGTTCGTTTATAAAACAAAAATAATTTTCGATTTATCTATAAACGACCAAGCCAAGCTGTTAACAAGCCGAATCGAGTTTGACTCGCGAGCTAGTTGATTTGTTTAACATTTCTAAACTTAGAACGTAATTGTATACTCGTTTGGTATGTTTTCGCAAATTGATTCGTTTGTTCGTTTGTAGGATTGGCCGTGATGGCGGTGATGCTCGTTACGACTTGCCTCACGTCGCTCGTGATCATCCTTTGTTGGCACAAGCCGCCCCTCGTCGCATTGAGCTTCTTGCTCTTCTTCGGAACGCTCGAATTGCTATACTTCTCCGCCTCCGTCATCAAATTCACCGAAGGCGCGTGGCTCCCGATTCTCCTCGCGCTCTTCCTCGTCACCGTTATGTTCGTTTGGCATTACGCGACCGTTAAAAAATACGAATACGATCTCCACAACAAGGTCTCGCTCGAATGGCTACTCGCCTTAGGCCCAAGCCTAGGCATCGCCCGGGTTCCAGGTATCGGTCTCGTCTTCACCGATCTTACGTCGGGAATCCCAGCGAATTTCTCCCGGTTTGTAACCAATCTCCCTGCCTTCCACCGGGTCCTCGTTTTCGTCTGCGTGAAATCCGTTCCCGTCCCGTTTGTCCCGCCGGCGGAGCGATACCTCGTCGGTCGCGTGGGGCCCGCCGCGCACCGCTCCTACCGGTGCATTGTCAGGTATGGATACCGCGACGTTCATCAGGATGTCGATTCGTTTGAATCCGAGCTCGTCACCCGGTTAGCCGAGTTCATCCGATACGACTGGTACAAGGCCCGGGACAGCATGGACGACGGGAACGATAGTTCTCAGTCGGGGATGTCGTCGAATGAGTGCCGGCTGGCGGTGATCGGGACGATCGAGCTGGCGGGTCCACCGCCGGTGTTCGAGATCGAAGATGTCATGGAGCCGGCGAGCGTCTCCGCCGGCTGCCCGACGATCGGCAGTGTGACAGACGTCATAGAAATGGAGCCGGTGGCGGAGCGGAGGGTGCGGTTTGCGGTCGACGATACCGAATCGGAGTGCGGCGGGAGGTCTACGACGGCGGCGGCGGAGATGGAGATGCGGGAAGAGCTCCAGGACCTTTATGAAGCACAGCAGGCGGGGACGGCGTTCATTTTGGGGCACTCGCACGTGCGGTCGAAGCAAGGGTCGTCGGTGCTGAAGAGGGCGGCAATCGATTTCGGGTATAATTTTCTCCGCCGGAACTGTAGAGGGCCAGACGTGGCTCTGAAGGTGCCGCCGGCTTCGCTGCTGGAAGTGGGAATGGTTTATATTGTGTAGGAGCACGTGGTCTGCACGTGCTTGGTTGTTTGAATGTTTGACTGGATATGATGATGAGCGATGATTGTGGGAGTGTAAATGCTGGTGAGTGATGATGCCTTTTGTTTTTGAAGAGTTTATTTGTTGGAAGTATCTTTGTTTTTTCTTTTGGTGCTATTTTTTATTGTTTTTTAAATGATAATTAAGTTAAATATAATAAATTTGATTAAAAATTAATTGCTAATTTGATGTTACGAATAAAATAAGTAGTATTATAAATAAAATATGTGTATTATATTCCTTCCATTTTATTGTATTAAATTCAACAACAATGTTAGTATAGTTTGGTGTTATATTTATATTAGATTAGTATAATTCATACTCCGTCAGTTAAAGATAAATTATTTATGTCGTATTTAATAATAAAAATATATATCTTTTTATTTTTATAAGTTTTGTATATAAATATCATTATATTAGTATTATAACATATTATTAAAAATATTTTTGTTATTTTATTTTAATTTGTATTATATCTTAATATAATAATTAATATTTAAAATTAGCACATAAAAAATAGATCTACTTGTTACAACCGAATGGAGGTAATATATTATAGTATTATATTATTTTTTTGAAATTTTATAAAAAATTTAAAATAATAATATTTTATTAGTTAACGAAAATGTATAAAATAATTTTAATATTTTACAATTTATATTTTATGTAATATAAATAAATATAAATATGATATTTTGAATTTAAAATTAATTTTGAATATAATATAAATAATTAATAATTAATTTGATATTTATTAAAATTAAAATTGGATAAAATCTCATGAAAAAACACCCTTATTCTGGAATCCATAAAATTTAATCATTCATATACGATACATATAAATACTATCCCCATTTGTAGGAAGATCATCATCGGTAACGTATCTGGACCAGAACCAGTGATTCCTCCAAACGTACATCATCTCCTCGATCGGAATATTCTTCGTCTCCGGCAGGAAGAAATACACAAACACCGACATCGTCGCCACGAAGGATGCGAAGACCAAAAACAGCCCGTACTTCATGCGGCACAGCATCGGCATGAACACTTGCGCCACCAGAAACGTGAACGTCATGTTCACCACCGTGTTTATGCTCTGTGCCGCCGGCCGGATTTCCAACGGAAATATTTCGCTCGGCACCAGCCACCCGAGCGGGCCCCACGACCACGAAAAGCCCGCCACGTAGATGCAGATGAACAGCACCACCGCCGACGCGAAGCATTTATCGAACACGGTGGGGGCTCCGGTGACCCTGTACTTGACGGCGAAGAAAATCGCCACTACAATCTATATATATGTTGAGATATGTTAGGTATTATTCAATTTAAAAAATTTTATTCTAAATATTATTTAGAGTAGATGGTAAGAAATGATAAAAGTCAAATATGGTTACCCGAGACTCGACATGAACACGCATATTTCATTTCAAAACCCGAATTGAATTCAATTATATTTGAATTTGACTATAACATGATCGGCCTAAGAAGTAATTATATTTGATATTTGACTATACCAAATTTTATGTATTTGTAACAAAAATATTATAATAAATTTATCATAAATAAGTAAAATAAAACTTAACAAATGAATTATATTTTAAAGTAATTAATCTTTCTGTCCGGAGAATATATAAACTTAGTTAAATCTGAAAATTAATAAATACTAATAATATTCTAATATTAAAATAAAATATATAAAAAGTAAAAAAAAAAAAGTAGCTAAATTATTATATTATTTTTGAAAATAAAGTAATAAAATTATGAATAAACAAAATATATTATGCATAAATTTCATATAGAAAAATTAATATAATTATTTTTTCTTAATTAATATTTTATTAATATATTAATCAAGTTGGTCTGGATCTGGTCTTTTATCAGGTATTTTGGATCGCCTAAGTTATTATTATCCAAATTTATTTTTCACTTATCATATATAAATTGATTATAGTGTACTCAATAAAAGAAAATATTGGATAACGAGGAAAGTAGTATTTGAATTTATAGCAAAAATGTAACTAACCTGGCAGAGGAACATCTGCGAGCCGCCTTCGAGCAAGAGGAAGCGCCGGCCCCATTTATCGACGCCGTAGATGGAGACCAAAGTGGCGACGACGATCACGATTCCGACGTCCACCGACGACATCAGAGAAGCTTCGCTGGCGAAGCCTAGGGTTCTGAACAGCGCCGGCGCGAAGAAAATTATTATGTTCACTCCGGTCAGCTGCTGGAAGAAGGGGATCAATACGGACATCGTCAGATGAGGTCGGTACTTTCTCTGCCCAAAGAAATTGCGCCATGGATGCTCGACTCTCTGCGACGCCTCGCCCGCGGCGACGAGGTCGTGGAATTCTACGCCGACGTCGCGTACGCCGCGGATTCGGACAAGATTCGCGAGAGCGTCTTCGCGCTTGCCGCGCTCGATTAGGGAATTAGGCGTCTCCGGCAGGAGGAGTGAGCCGATGACGATGATTGCGGCGGGGACGGCGCCGCCGCCGAGGCACAGCCGCCACCCGAAGCCGCCGTCGAATTTGGCGAAGATGTAGTTGATTACGGTGGCCGCCAGAATGCCGAGGGTGATAGACATCTGGAATCCGATGTTGAAGGCTCCTCTGTATTTGTAGGGAGCCATTTCTGAAAGGTATAGAGGCGTAGCCTGCAAATGCACCAGCACAAAATTAAACAATCGGTTAAGTTTAATCACTAGTGTAGTGTTTTTTTTAGTTTTACTGTTTTAGAATTTTTTTTTTCTTTTTAAAAATATTAAATTAATCAATTTTATTTTTTTATATTATATTACAAATTTATTTTATAATAAAAACATCACTTCAAATAACTATTTAAATTCAACTTTTTGCTATTTAAAAATTTAAATGGCACATAGACAAACAAACACTAGATAATTTTGGAAATAGATCATATTAATCATCGGTGACAATGTTTAGACAATATAAATATTATTTTTTATATAAAATTTTTATATCTAACATAAAAAAAAAAATGTGTGTATATATATATATATATATGAAAATACAAAATAAGCACACTTCTAATCAAAATAATCATGAACAAAACACTATGTCCTTAACCCTTAAATATTTCTTATTTTCATATGATTACAAATACTAAATCAAAAAAACAAATACTTTGGCATAGATTTATGATGTTATTGTAATAATATTTTAAAATGTAAAATAATTTTTTATTAAAAATATATAAAGTATAATTACTAAAAATAATACCATTAATAGAAAATGCACTATTTGTCTTTTATATTAAGTATTTTATATAATTTATTGGACAAATATAATTGGTATTTATATTATACAATACTAAAATATATATATATTTTAATTTGTACTATGAAATCTATAGTAAGCGGGAGTATATTGATTATGTACGGATGCAATATATTAATATTAATTTCGATCAAATGAAAACAACAAAACACATACTATATTGCTTCAATTCATTGAAAAGGTAATTTAAATATAGGAAAATTTTGGACAAATGTTCAAAAACCTGATTGGAAAATCCCATTCCAAATCCCAGTAGAAACCGACCGGAAATGAGCATGGGGATGTTCTGCGCGAAGCCATTGATCAAGGATCCGGCGCAGAACAGGATGCCTCCGACCAGCATCGACATTTTCCTTCCGAATTTTCTGGTCACCGTCGCCGCACCAATCGACGACGCCATCGCCGCGAACAACGACGCCGTGAACAGCGACATCGCAACGGTGTCCAGTTTACAGTACTGGTTCAGTTTCGTTCTCAAATTCACTTTCTGCTCTTCGTACGCCAACGGGAAAAAACGCATCAGGAACGAATCCATCGACGTCACACCACCTCCACACAAATCAAAATCAAAATCAACACCAGATTAACAAACCACAGTCCAATCGAAATCATCCAATTCAATCGCAGACAAATTACCAACACCACAAATTCAAAAAAAAAAAAAAAACTTAAACCCTACCTGAAATCCCAACATCGTAGCCGAAAGTAAGCCCTCCCATGGCCGCAACAACGCACGTCACCAAAGCGTACGGCGTCAGATTTCCCGGATACACCTTCCCGCCGCCGGGAAGTGCAGGTGCGATACCACCGCCAGCCATTTCTGCCCCCAACCGAAAACCAAACCAGGAGATGAAATTTTGAGAACGGAGAAAACTGCTAACGAGAAAGATTATCTCAACAGCCAACTCCCAGAAGTTCACATTAGCTGCCAAATAAAGAATCTTATAATCATTTTTGTTACTAAATATGAATTGGAAATTTCACTACATCATTGAGATAAATTTTGCAAGGTTTAATAATAATAATTTTTTTAAAATTAATATTTTATACATATATAAGGTAATAAATTATTGTAATATCTATTTTATTTTGATATTAAAATAAAAGAAATAGGAAAAGTTAAAATATAGGAATATTAATATCTAATTAAGAATTATTTTTATAAAAAATATAAAAATAAAATATTTTAATTTTGACAACTAAAATAATAAAATAAAAATTTTTAAGCAAAAAGAATGGCTGTGTTTCTTTTGAGCACTTGGGAGAATTATGTTTGGTTTTGGATTGAATTTTAATTTTAAGTTGAGTTTGAAATTTTATGTTCCATTTGGGTTCGGAGTTTCTAATGTCTATTGATTTGATTGATAGAAAAATAATATTAATATAAGTATGCATTAAATTAAATTAATGAAATTAATAATGAGATCGGGTGTGTTTACTTGAGATTTGTTTATCTGTTTTATTATTTCAATTTTTTTTCCTTAAAAAACATCAATTCAAACACCCATTTTGATAAAGGGTTCATAACACTTAACTTTATTAGAGAATTTTGATTATTTTGATTTTGAACGTGACCTTTCATTCCCGTTACCCCTCTCGTGTGGTATTCCCCTATATGCAAACAGACCTGAACCAATCCTCTTCTACATAAACTTTTATTTTCAATTCTTTGGACATAAGGACATCTTTCACATCATTAACAAAAATTGTAGTTCTACCATATAGCATAGTATTTACAAAATTCTCATATGAACCAAATAATGAACAAAATAAAATTAGGGTTTGATCTTCATCATTTGCTTTAACCTCAACCCTGAAGATCAAGAATGACCCAACAATTGTTGGTTGAAGAGAGGGAAAAGATAATGCAATACGTTTTTTATTTTATTCGCAATACCTCTTCTTCATCAAATAAAGATAATTCCATCATATTTATTTTGACAAGTCCTCACCTACCACTTCTTGAAACCACACACAATTACTAGAAACTAAAACCATACTAATTATCATATTAATCCCGTAGTACTTTACCTGAGTACTTTCGGATATCCGGAGGGTGTAAAGACGTTGCTTCTAATATAGCCTGTTCGTGAGAGAATTTTTTTGGTACTTCTCACATAGTTTATTCCATAACCCAAATGCCGTTGTCTGATCTACAACATCCCGTAACACCTCATTAGTAACTGACAGCAAGATCGCAAAATGAGCCATTGCCAAAATCTCCTTATTTATCTCCTCATTCGTGTCATTAGAAAACTTTTCTTCTCCCTCCAACACATACGCACTAACCAGAAGTGCCCTCATCTTGACCTTCCGGAGCGTGAAGTCATTTGATCCATTAAACTTCTCAAGATCAAACTTATACGAGGACATCTTTAATCAATCAAATATGGCTCTGATACCACTTGTTATGAAAAAACGAGAAAGGAAACAAATAAAGAACATAGGTGTTTACGTGGTTCGATGATGGTGTGTCAACCTACGTCTACGGGCATGAACCGTGGAGATTTTATTATACTGATTCAAAGAGAGCTACAATTACGTCGTATGGCTAAGAACCATAACTATCTATTTATAAGCACCCAAAATACTCTAAACCCTAGCCTATTTATTATTAATTAGGATAAACCAAAAAGGAACCCTGTCAATTGAAACAGTCCTTTCGTTTTAATTTTTGGTCGAGTAGACCGCTAAATCCAAGTCACACTTTAACATTAATGAATATTTACATAATGAATATTTGCAATGTATTAATATTTTTGAAAAAAATGTGAAAAAATAAATTATAAGAACAAAGCCATTTTTACGGTTTTTTAAATTCTCCAAAACTTTATATTTATCCAAAATAATAATAATAATAATAAATAATTTGGTCAGATGTCAATCCAATAACGTACGACTGCTACGTTGAAATACTGTTATCATAAGGTTATCTTTTTTAGTAACCAAATATTATTTTAGTAATATAACTAAAAAAATAATAATAATAATTAAAGCATGGTCTTGATTTAATTGGTAATGTTATGAAAGTGACATTTGTGTGCCTTTGTATATATATCTATATGTATAAGTTGAATCAAAGCAAACAAGGTATGCGCTCTATATTTTCGTTTATTTAAAAATTAATATATATAACATATTTATTATTTTTATAGCATTATTTATGTAATTTGGTATATTTTACGTAAAAAAAAATTACCCCATACGTCCCTTGATCATCTATTAAGTAAAAGTATTCATTAGTAATGGTATGATGTACCTAATATTACAAATACCCTTCTAATTTATAGTATATTACACAAATTTAATTATCTTTATATTATACAATATTAATAAATTTAGTTTAATTTTTTTATTTTTATTCGTATCACATTCAAATATAATACTAATATTCTTAAAATTTAGTACAAAAAGCAAAACTATTTCTTATTTTAAATTATTTCACTGAATAATCAAAACTTTGGATCACTGTAACGGGAGGCTGGAGACGAATAAATTGAGTCGGCCCAAGAAGTGATACAGCCCAAATTAAAGGAAAATGGCGGGAAATGTGATGGAACTTTGGCGGGAAACTCAGCAGTCCGTTTTCTTATTTTGGCGCGGGGAGGTCATTTGACATCTGAGGGAAAAAACCCTAAACGACTAAGGTGAGAGCGAAGAGAGGGAAAACAGGAATCGAAGATGGTTGGACTTCCGTACGATTGCCTTTTGAATCCGCTCGGAGCAGTGCGATTGACGTTCGAGAAGGCCGTGTCGTCCGGTTCCGCTGCGGCAGTGCTAGATGGCAAGGACTGGGGAGCCACCGAGCTTTTCCGTCAATTTCTTCTCGATGAAGATGGTCTCTCTAAGGCTAGTCTCTTTTCATCCCTCTCTCTCTCTCTCTCTCTCTCTCTCTAATTAGCATTTCTTATGGAAAACCTAGAAGATCTGTATTTCGAAATAAGAATGGGAATGATTGTTGCTATCTGTAAAAATTTCTTGGATTACAGTTAGCTGCTGGCTAGTAGATATAAGTCAAGCTTTATAACAGGCTAAATGTCGACTGTTCTATACTTATTGATTGTATCGTCGTCTTCAGGTGCCCTTGCTTGATCAATCAACAATTAAATGGGTTAAGCCTAATACTCTTGTTCGTTTTCGGGGTATGATACAGGATATGTTGGGGAATGAGTACTATGTTGGTGCTTATAAGGTATAATTTGTTCAATTTCGTGTTCTCTTCTGAAATTGCATTCCGTGACCAGAAATTCGTGTCACAATAGAGATGTTTTGCCTGATTGAATTCATCTAATGCAGGATGGCGATACTTGGAAAACTAATAAGTTTGCTGATGCTTCCCGATCACCTATTGACTCTTCATCTGATATGAAAATATGGGAGCGTCGTCTGCTTTACTGTGTTCCTGTAGGTCTTCATTTTATTGTTTTCACGTTTTTCCATTACACTGTTTTTTTGCAATCTTTTTTACTTTTGTAATTTTCAGGTCCCAGGCCAGAGTTCATGGATTGAATCTCCACAAGCTATGAAAAATTTGTTTACAGATACTGTATCTCCGCATAGAGAAAAGAGACATAGGGAGGATCCTGCCACCTTCAGTGATGTTGAGATGGCGGTACATTACTCATCTGTTAGTCTTCTCTAACAATTTGTTTTGATAAATTTGTTGGATTAGGCTTTATTCTGATCCATGAAATGTCCCAGTATTGAATTCCTCTTTTTGATTTTAGTAGATGATCAATGGTTGGAGCATCTCACCATTGACCCTGTTAATGTTTTTCCATTACACTTGCTATTCCAAGCTTTCTTTTGTAAATTTCAACAATTTTAGCATATATATTATGGTTAAGAGTTTGTGTTTGCTTTAGAAATGACCAATGACGTGTATTGGCAGGATCCGAGTCATGATGCTCCCGAGGACTCTCCAAATTCTAAAAAGATGGTGAGCAATGCCTGCAACTTCACAGCTATCGTGGCTTAAACTTATTGATGTTCAATGATCATGCCTTGCTTTGGGCATGAGACATTGGAATGTGATTCTTACCCTATAGTATATGAAGATCCTATCTGAAATACATTTCCACCCGTTGTTTGATAAGTTAGCTGGAAGAAGTGATTGAGACTAAGATGATCTTTGTTAGATTGCATGATAAACATAGTGGAGTATAGTCTTGTTGATTTTGTTCAATAGGCATGCTATTTAATAATACCTGATTTGCTGCCATCTGGTTTTGTTGTCAGAGGAATGATGAATTGGCTGCCAGTTCTTCAAGCCCGCCTAAGATTGCAACTGAAGAAACTGCATTTGGTTCTAGTCTGTGTCCTGATATTGGAAAAAATAATTTCCCCTGTTTAGTTAAGGTATACACACTGGTTTCCAAATTCAGTTCTGGTGTCGGATGAAATTCTTATTTGATCTGATATGTGACATGCTCTTGATTTCTTAAATGAAACATGCAGATATATGATTCTCCAGAATCCGAGTTGAAGCTAAATGATGTTGTTGAGTTTGTGGGCATCTTCACTTTTGATCCGGACCTTGCTTTAGCCAGAGATGATCCTGATGAAATCACCAATGACTTTTGTGAAGATGCATTAGTATATCTGCCTCCTTCCAAGGTCCCTTGACATCTTGCGCTTTGTTGTGTATTATTTTGCCATTATGTTCCGACAACCACTAATTTTCATTTCTTTTTATCATTGAAAAGTTGAAATTAATATACTGTTGTAATTGCAGGTGCCTCGTCTTCACTGTGTTGCACATCGGAAACTGCTAGTTAATGATTTCCTTCCTGGTCTACCCTTTGAGGTGAGTTCTCAAGCTTGCACTTCAATTCATACCTAAATCTTTTCAGCATAATGTCCTCTAGCCTTGTGCATTGATCTTGATCCTCTCGCTGAATACCACTTCTGTAGCTAAGATAATTTTCTTTTTTAATGGTGTGGCAGTTAACTCCCAGTGCAGTGAAAGAAGTTAGGGAAGCCCTTATCGGACACTTCACGGCTGTTCTTGGAAATGACAGGGTTGCAGCTGAGTACATGTTGTTGCACCTATTATCCCGAGTCCATGCTAGAATAGATTCACTTGCTGTTGGGAAACTATCTTTGAATCTTACTTGTTTTAACAAGGAAAGCACCTCTGTTTTCGGGAATCAACTCAAACATGCAATTGAAACCCTTCTGCCTTTCACACAATCCTTGCCCCTTACCGTGGATTATCTCAACACGGCTACACTTGCTCCGAGGAAGGACTACAAAACAAATAGGTAGCTCAAAGTCATTAATATACATAAACGAGCATGTAATATAGGGCATGATAATGAAACCTACTTTTGTGCAGACTGGTACCCGGCATTTTGCAGTTAGCTGATGGCTCTCACTTAACCATCGATGAGACCTCGTTGCAAACTGGCACACTTAACTCAACAGGGTGCGAAAATGCACGCATATTGAAAACCGTGATGGAGTCCCAAAAGGTTCGTTCATATAACCGGTTCATTGAAGTAATGCTAGTTTACGAATTCGCTTGCTTACATTGTTGGTTATATCTATTCCCAGGTTGAGTATGATTTCACATACTATAAAATGGAGATGGCCTCGGACATTCAGCTGCTAATCTTATCCGAAGCAAAGTCAAACATCCTACCTGCCGACCTGGTTCTCCCCTTCTGTCCATCTTCAGTAAACTCAAATCTTGAAGTTTCTGAAGAAATGCGGAAAGCATGGAGATGGTATCTGGCCACCATGAAGTCTCTACCTCATACAATCGAGCCGCAAATGCAGAAGGTCCTTGAAGACGACTTAGTTGCTGCCCGGCAATCCGATAGGAGCTTGGGCAGTGAAGACTTCAGCAGGTAAAAAGGACTCTTTTATGAAGATCTTTGATTCATTAGACTCTTTTATGCAGATCTATGATTCATTCTTACTGTTCTGATACACACATATTTGTTTCTTTTTGGTGATGTAGATGGCTTACAATGGGGAGGCTAATGTCTGTTAGTTTTGGAGAGAGATGCTTGTCGAAACAGCACTGGGAAATGGTGAAAGAATTAGAGAGGCTGAGGAAGGAGAGACTCCCAAGGTAACTCTAATAAACTTTAAATGTCCATTTCTATTACAAGTATAATAAAGTTTGTAGATTATAGTTAGCTATGAACCAAATTTCTTATCAATGATTTGAGTTATGGGCTTTCTTTCTAATGATTTGGAAATTATTCAACAGTTAATTATGTAGATATATGTATTTTTGAGCAGTGTTTGAAGGTAATTTACTATTTGAGATCATCATCATCCTCCTCCTTTATAAGAGCTTCTGCTTATCCTATCTTATACTATTATATATTTTTTTTACAGAAATTAAGTTTCAATGTAAATTAATCAATCCCATTAGATGTTTGAAGGATGGTGTTAAATTAAATATCCTGTTCAATTTGCTTATCTTGTCTCAGGTTGTTGTGGTTTATAATATGGAATTGAATCTAGGCTTATAATTGATTAATTAATTAATCAATTGTACTCTAGTGTAAAGTTTCTTGATACGTGGCATTTATTAATTCAATGGTTAAGGTTAAGCCTGTTGTATATGAAAAATAAGTTCATGTTTTTTTCTTTTTGGGGTTTATAGTTTACAAAATTGTGAATTTAGATAATGAAACATCATCCAATTCCAAATCATTGCTTGTGTGGTGATTATTGTATTCTTGAGCATAATCTCACAGCATCATAATCATCGTCGTCTTAATCATACATACACACGTAACGTTCAGTTAGAGGTGGTATAGGCAAGTAGAATTTATTCCCACAATGTGGTCATTTATTTTTGTGTATGTATGTTCAAGGCAGCCACGTTTTGAATGGATTCTGGTGGATGAATTATTGAATTAATTAGCAATTAGTTTAAGGAGTGTAGTGTGTTTGTTTTGTGAACTTAATTGTGTTGATGATGGAATCTCTTTTTCTCCACTAACTAGTACATGAAAGAATATTCACAATCACTCAAAAACATCATCATCCTCACCCTTTCTCCACAAAATATCTTCCCTGTTTTTGGCATTAATTTCTTCAGCCTAAGAGAGAGAAAAAGGGCAGAGGCTGTTGGGGAGGATAAGCATAACAAGGGATGTTGATCTTTGAATTTTCATCACAAGAACTATGTGACTGAGCCCAGTTGCCTCTACTTCACATTTTTTTTCTCTTTGAATTAAATACAATGATTTAAGAAGAGAAACGAGTCTTAAGCTTATCGAATTTAAATTAATTAATTAATCAATCAATTTAGAATGATTTAAACAAATTTATTAGTATAAAGTCACCGGCTCTAGTTGCCCACCAAATCAGTAAGAAGTTATTTATTGGTCGGGCAGAGGCAGTTGCCACCACGCAGGACCATTATGACCCTTCCTGTCTCCTCCTAAGTCCTGTCCCTTTCTTCCTCACAATTCCCATTTATCCAAATCCATTTTTCCTTGTTTAAAAAAATATAAAAAATCAAGTATAGCAAGACATTTATGTGTCATCTGTTTATGTATTTATCTATTGAGAATGTTTAATATGCGTTGTATATTTTATGGTATATTCATTATGTTTAATCAACATTATCACTGTCTCCTATCTCTATAGGAGAATTAGGGTGCTCATATAAAAACTAGAAGGACATAAATATTATGTTATTATCTCATATATTATTAATCTATATTGAATCATAAGCAACAACTATATTGAATCATACACAACAACGGTGAGATCATCAATGTATATATCCACAAACACATATCGACTTCACTCTTTACAAGGATAAAAGAAAAAAATGAAAAGCATATTATTTATTATACACCAAATCAACACAAACAAAATTCATTTTATTTTATTTTCTTCACTTTTGTGCATTTCTTCGATTCTTGAATTTCTGCCACAGCTTGTGCGACCATTCCCACACATGCAACACTATATACGCCACAATCCCTCCTATCAGCCCATTCGCTATCGAATACGTCGCCGGCATAAGAACCACCGTCGCGAACGCTGGAATCGCCTCCCTCATGTCCCCCCACTCCACCTCCGCCACCGCCTTCATCATCAGCACCCCCACCAGAATCAGCGCCGGCCCCACCGCCCATGCCGGAATCGACGCCAGCAGCGGCGTGAACAGCAGCGCCATCAGGAAATACATCGCCACCGTCACCGCCGTCAGCCCTGTCCTGCCTCCTTCTCGTATTCCTGTCGACGATTCGATGAAAGCCGTCGTCGGCGATGACCCTAGCAGCGACGCCACCACGATCGACGCCGCGTCGGACATGTAGGCAAAGTATTGCCCCTCGAAATTCCCCTGTGAGTCGAGGAAACCGGCGAATCTCGCCATTGAATATAGAGTTCCGGTGGTGTCGAGGATGTCGACGTAGAGGAACGTCACCAGAGCTTCCCAGAACCGACCGCTTCCGACGTGCGTGAACCTCAACGCGCCCGCGGTGCTCTCGATTTTTTGAATGCTAACTACCTGTCAAAAGACCAATGCGCCCTTTACGTGCAAGGTCGATATATGTAAACGATGATGAATAAACGACCACGAAATTCAAATATAAAATGCTTTGATTCTAATACCATGTTAAATGATGATCGATTCATTTAAAAACTTTAAATTTTAGATGACATCATTATTTACATTGTAATATTCTCCCTTCATGCCAAAAATAACGAGGACATTTAGGATACAAAATGAAATTTAAAGAATAATAATATTATATTCACAGTGACAATAAATGAATGTGTAAAAATATTTTTAAAACATATGAGGAAGTAGTTGCTAAAATGAGTATAAAAGGAAAGGAATAATATTAAATGAAAATCGTATTTAAAAATTTAAATTATAGTTATGTACTACTATTTATTTATTTATTTATATAATACAATAGAGTTAGACAACACGACCTTTTTGAAGTAACGGTACGCGCCGTCCCCGGCCGGCGTGTTTGGAAAGGCGGTTACGGCGGTGTTGCGGAACCACGAAACAGCTGTGACAAAAACGACGCCGTATATAATCCCTCCCTTCACGTTTTTCATCAGGCTGTAACTAATTATAACCACTCCGACCAATCCCAGCCACAGAGTGGGGCTCTGCATCTTGTCGTGCAAACAGAGTATGCCGCCGGAGGCGGCGCCGCCGGGGAGGAGCGAAACGGTGCCGTTCGCAGAAGTTACCACCGGCGCCACCGCTGCAAGGGCGGATCTAGGGCAACCTCCGAGAGTCACCAATGTGGACGAACTGTAGCCGATTAGACCTATTCCTTGCTCGCCTTGCAATCCGATGAAGGCGAGGAACAATCCGATTCCGGCGGAGGAAGAAATCCTCACCGGCTTCGGCACCATTTTCGCGAGCTTCGCACGCAGTCCGACGGCTGAGATTATTAGGAAGATTAATCCTTCGATGAAAATCGCGGCCAGAGCACTCCGGTAAGGTATGCTTCCCGATCCATGGAATCCGACGACGGTGTAGGTGAAATAGGCGTTGGCGCCCATCCCCGGAGCTAATCCTAAGGGGAGGTTGGCGAAAATCCCCATTATCAGACATCCGATTAGGGCGGAGGCCGCCGTGGCGACGATTAGGTCCTTCTTCGTTCTCTCGAGGCAGGCGGCGTAGCCAGGGTTTACTGGATTGAATTTGCACGATTCGTCGGGGTTTAGGAGTCTCGAATTGGGGTGATTGATGCATTCGGCCGGCGAAATCGATTGGTCGGAGCAGAGAGGGATACAATCGGCGACTGAGCACGTTCCGCCGGAGTCTGTGAGAATGGAGGCGTTGACGGCGAGGATGTAGGCCATTGTGAGAAACGTCGCCGTGCCGGCGCGGAGCTCGGTGGTGAAGCTGGTATTCCGCTCCTTTATTTTGAACCGCTTTCCGATTCGGCTCTCTGCAACGTAGTCGTTGAGGCGGTTGATTGAGGAAACCACGGCCGCCATCGCCGCCGCCGCCACCGTCGGCGGCGGCGGCGGCGGATGCTCGGTGCCGGACTCCACATCCATGTTGGTGAGTTGTGTGCAGACTAAAGATTAAGCCTACATATATATACTCTGTTCTTTTATTTATTTATTTACTAATAATAATAATAATGTTTAAATGGAAAGATAGTCAAAATAATTAATATATACTCTGAATTTGCATGGATCTAATGTTAAATAACCAGCCGTAATATATATATTGTGTGTGTGATTTTTTAGTTTGTTTTGAAGTGTGTTTAATTTCACACTTTCTTTATCCTATTTCGCAAGTTCATAAAATATGATTATTTTAATATATAATCTTTAATTACGCATTTACTTTATCATATTAAATTATTTTCTATATATAATTTGTTACTACAAAAGATTACTTAATCATGTAACTAAGCACTATAACTTATATTATTAATATAATGGCTTGATTTTATAGGTAGGACTATAATTATATTGGATCTATTTATTCAAATATTTATTAAAGGTACAATAGCATAAAATTCACATGGGATTATAGTTTTACAAAATTACATCAAATTTTCATACTTTTAACATTAGTTTTTTTCGTAATTTTATAAAATTTGTACAATTTTGTATTTTTTTAAAAACCTTTATATACTAATTATAAAAAAAAACTCAAATATTTCGATATTAAATATTAGGTTAGGTCGAGAATTTACAATTTGCATTTTCAAACCGCAGCTGCAAATTCTCATTTTATAAAAAAAAATTAAAATATTTAACTGAAAATAACATATTTTATATTTTTAACATAATTTTGTAAAAATCATGTCATCTAATAAAGATGCTCGGCAGAATCATTTTGTCATATTTGTTAGTTTTTATCTTCATGCCGATGATACACAAATGAAAAAGAATTTGGATCCTATGCTAATGCCTAATGTGTTAAATTAATTCAATATATGCTAAATTATCTTAAACCTATCTCATTCTCTTAATTAAAAATAATAGTTTAATTAATTTAAATTATTAATGGCTAAGATTTGTTTAAATAGGAGTTTTTTTTTTTTTTGAAAATTTGGAAAAAGTTAGTATTTGATTTGATATTTTATGAAAAAAAAAAAATTGTATTTAATGTAATATTTTTTGAAAAATAAATAATACAAAATGAGTAAAAATATATTGCTCAAACAGAGGCTTAATTTAGTGAAACAGGTGAAACTTCAGCTATCCAAATTGAATAAAAAATGATTAGTTATGATTACGGACGTTATTTTTTTAAATTTTGTTTTATTTATCAACTTTTTTTTGAAATAAATAAATAAATATAGGAATAATATTTTTTTCTTCATAATATATCATATAAAATATTTTTTTAAAAATTCACGCAACTTAGAAATCTGTAACTCTATATTAACTAAAAAAATCATACTCCTTGGCTAGTTTGTTCGCTTTAATGTAGACACAAAAATTTATGAGGAATATAATTAGTAAATAATTAAAAATATATTAATGAAAATAATTATTATATAGCAAAAATAATTATAGATTAAAATTAAAATAAAATTAAAAAAATATAAATTAAATTTTTAAAAATAATAATTCTTTAAAAGTGACAAAATAAGTGGTACTCCATCTGTCCCAAATACCCTGTAATATTTCTTTTTTTATATATCCCAAACACTTGTAATATTTTCAAAAATAAGAAATAATTAATTATACTAAAATCTCTACCCCATACTTTTATCTCCTCGCATCATCCAAATAAAAAAAATAAAATATATATTTCTATCTCCATCGCATCGCCTAATTTCTAAATTATCCTATTTAATACTATCCTTAAAAAAAAAAAAAAAAAAAAAAAAAAAAAAAAAAAAAAAAACTGGTGTTTACTTTTGTCATCTGAAATTTCCCGCTCTTCGTGTGAATCAGAATTCCAGCAGCTTATGTTTTGAATTTCACCATTCCGAATCGATTATTGCATACAACGATGAATTTCAGGCGCAGCTACGTTCTATTTCTCCATTCTAGGTTTCATCGGCGGCGTCAGGTTCCAGCGACAGCCAAATAGATGTTTTGAGTTTCTTCGTAGCTGTGAATGTGAGTTTTATTCTGTCTATGCAATTTCTAAGAAGTCGACTAGAATCACGTTGAATTTTTTCACATTACGAACGAAGTTAAGATTCATGAATGTTTTCGTTCCTTCCTACACTACATTTCGGATTAAACTTTAGTGTGTTTCTTAATTCGTCTTCAAATTCAAAAGCGTGCAGCATATTCTGTTCGGTAAAAGTTATTTGATGATGTGTTTGTTTATTTAATTATTGATAATGGTGTGTTTACCTGTCCCCTGCCAAGCAAAGGAAGATAGGAAAGGGATGAAGCGATTCCACCTGCTGGAGAACTAAAGCTTAAAGAATCCAAACCTAGCCATAACCAATCTGACAAGACAGTTCTAACCCCCGCCGAAAGGCCTAATGTCGATTAACCTAATCATATGGTAATCACAGACTACCTTTGTTATTTCCAGCCAAAGTATTTGATAATTGCTATATAGGGCAAATTGCATCCTTACATGTATGTTATTATAAATGCATAAAATACTCTATGTGAAGTTGCATGTAAATATGCACTTAATTATACAAATATTATGCAAATAAATAAGATAAAATTCCTCGAATATCATTCTTTGAGCAAAATAAATAAAGAGAAAATTAACCATTCATTTTATAGTTTTAAGATAGTTCATCTCACTTATTTGCATAATTAAGTGCATATTGATGTAAGTGTGTGTTTGGGTGGAGAGAGTGTTTTGTGGTTACTTTATACAATACGAGAATTTAAATAAAACAAATGATATTTTATGTCTTTATAATAAAATATAGGTGGATATTATAGACTTTACCTTGCTATATGTTTGCATCCAATTTGCTAGTGAATTGAGTGCAGTGCTATCAGTCTACTTTTTTTTTTCTTCTCTCTCTCTCTCAGAATATCAGTGATATTTTGTGTTTTGTTTGATTTCATTTCATTTCATGATCATACCTGAATCAAGAATATTGCAAATCATAATTAAGAGTTCCTCATTGCCACTTGTCTGTAATGGAAAGCTACTTAGATTGGAGGGAACCAAGGGGAATTCGAAGAATTTTGATAGCATCATAACAGCTAATATATACCCTTTTGGTTTGGTTTCCATTTGATGCACCCACTCCTTTATCTCAATCAATAGATTCCTGTTTTTTTTTTTTTTTTTTTCAATAAGTAATGCCTAGTTGTGAATTATTTGTTATGATGTTCGAGTTAGGCGCAAAACTAGCTTTTGTTTAGACATAGTACTGAGAATGACAATCAGCATAGTATAACGGTAAGTGCTCAAATTAATTGGCCGTTGTTTATACACACTTTTTGGTTCATGAACAATCCGCCTTCATTTCATTAGTTTCTTTTCTGTCCCTTTCTCCATAAAGAAGAGGCTTTAAAAGTGATTATGAAAGTTACCTGAATAAAGATATAGGGTATATATATATATATATAGATAGATAGATATAGGTTCTGATGAGTTGCTAGAAACTGGTAGGCTACCACAAACCATATTCATGCTTTATAGTATTCATAGTGCAGAAAATTATAAAATTTCTTGGATATGTAACTTATAAGTATCGTCTCCTGAATATTTACTTAGCCTCAAAATCTTCATAACTTGTTATACTGTACATACGGATATATGTAATCGCTAGACGCTTTCTTGGTAAGCATTTAATAATATGAAAGAGATGATAATGATGATGCTCGATAACTGCTAGGGAGTTATAGACTTATGAACAGAGTGGTGTTAGGGATACATACATACATATAACCTAACTATCTAGAAAAGTTTTGAATATACTTTTGTGGTTCAAATAAAACAAAGGGCTGCGGAAGGAAAAGTGTTTGCCACCATTAGCAGCATGCATTGTTACATACTTTAATTAGGAGAAAATGATGAATGAATGAATGAATGACTTGAGATCAGTGTGAATATTTAAAAATACTTAAGTAGGCCAAAGGGGCCAACTATTCATGCTTTATTAGACACTTGAATTCCCCATTATGATATCTCGAATGATTTCGTGCACTTGGTTCTCAACTTGCTACACTAACTCCATATCCGGAAAAAATAATAATAATAAAGAATGAAAAAATAATAAAAATAAAAAGAATGGAACTAGAAGAGGGCTCCCATGGTCTTTAACATGATTTAGTGGAAGTAGCACAAGTTGAGGATGCATAGAATGAATGTCCCACAAACATATGAAAATGTAGTCCACAGATGTCCAATGCTTAGATGTGCTTCTCATTATGCCATTATTTTTAACTGCATTTCTCTTTACACTTACTTTACATAAAGCATATTATTGATGCCCATCAGTCCCTCTTTTCTTTTTAATAATTGTTGCCTATAATAATCTTTTATTATAGTTTTCTTGTTAATTCTTAATATGCTAATTGATATTGATCATTGATCCCACTTTTTGAGTTAGATCTTTTTCGAGCCTTATAAGCCTATTGTGCCCTGTGTTACAGCCAATTAGCTTTCATTTGATAAAATAGCAATTTTATAGTTTCTGATATAATTGGATTTCGCCTAGTTCGGTTCTTATGAAATTTTGAACCAACCATACACGGGTTTCTTGAATAGAACCTTCTATAAGTCAGTATATTTGTGTAAAATAATTCCACAATTGGCTATTTTATATCTGTTGGCTGCATTTCGATTATGTTTCTGTACATTCGTTCATATTCAAAATTTCTGCTGCAAAATAGGATAGATGAGAACTTAGAATAGGAATTCTTCCTCATAAACTTGTTCCAGGAACACTCTAATGACAGTTAGATTAGATATCTCTTAGTTATGCTAAAACTGTATAGACAATTAAAGAAGTACAAAAAAAAAAAAAAAAGGTTTTATTTCATAGAAATGATGAAAACATTCGATAGATTGTAGATGAAAACAAACTATTAGAACAAACTGTCAAAAAGATCGGATAGCAGAAACAAATGGAACAAGAGATGTTGGAGATTCAGCAGCTAAGCTAGTATATCTCTAGAGAGTTCTATTACCTTTTGGTCGCCTTGCCAGTCCCATACAATATCCCCAAGAGCCGGTTTCATGTCCTGTTTCAGGATTTTCTGAAAATATAATCCGTCGCCTCTAGACATCATCTCAACAAAATGGAAGGAGGAAGTGATTTCGGAGATTTCTATGTAGATTGTTAAACTTCCACTCCAACTGTCTTTCTGGTGCTCTAATTTCAAGGAACCTTTGTCGTTCTTCTCTGTCACTTTCAATTTCATGTTACCAGCAATCTCCTCAAACTTTGAAATGATCGTAGATGCAGACTTATCCGACGTGAACTTAGCTTCATCCTTTTGGTCAGTGTTCACTAACAAACCCGATAAGTCCAATCCGGAGGAGAGTGAGATGATGCCGAATGCATTAAGGGTAACAGGTTTTGACATTGCCGCAAGATCTTCAAAACCAAAATGTTTTACTATATCAGTTCCTGCATCGGCATCTATGTCTCCTGCTTTACCCTTCACCAGTTTTGAATCCAACCCTTTCCGGAACCAGGGAGTCGCCATTATTCCATCAATGGAAACCCTGGTTTTCGGATTTGGATCGAGCATTCTTGAAAGCAACCTGCTTACTTGAGGTGAGCACCACTCAGGGCACGTGTACTCGGCCCTGAATATCTTCCTATACATCTCCATAACATTCTGATCGTAGAACGGAAGATAACCGGCGAACAAAACAAATAGAACCACCCCACAAGACCATATATCAGCTTTAGCTCCATCGTAGCCTTTCCTAGTAACAATCTCCGGAGCAGTATAAGCTGGGGTTCCACAGGCCGTGTGGAGTAACCCATCCTGCCCCTGGGATTCGGAGAGTGCACTCAGACCAAAATCCGATACCTTTAAGCAACCGTGCTCGTCCAGAAGCAGATTTTCTGGTTTCAAATCCCGGTGATAAACGCCCCTCTTGTGACAGAAATTCACCGCAAAAATCAGCTGCTGAAAGTATTTTCTGACGGTGCCTTCTTTTAGCCTTTTCTTGGCGACTTTCCGAAATAGCTCTCCCCCCTTAGCGTACTCTATCACAAAGTAAATCTTGGCTTTCGTGGCCATTACTTCGTATATTTGAGTAATGTTTTGGTGCTTGATCAACCTCATCACTGATATCTCTCGCTCGATCTGGTTCATAAGTCCAAGTTTTGCTACTCTTGCCTTGTCGATTGCTTTGATCGCCACAGCCTGCTCTGTTTCGATGTGCTTCCCATAGTAAACTTTGGCGAACGCGCCTTGTCCCAAGAACCTCCCGATTTCATATTTCCCCATCAATATGTTACCCTTAGTATCCATTTCCACCCAATTATAGTTCAGGGCCAGCCCCTGATCTTCCCCCTGGATATTATATTTGACAAAAAACTAACCGTCTTCCTCAAAATCGTGCTTCAAAAGACAATCAGTTGGGGCATCGTAGAACGTTAAGCTGCTGCAACATTTGCTCGTCGTGCACTGAGATTCATGCCCAATGCCGTGCACGATTGGCTTGGACTTGAGAAGCAGATGGGCGTCGGTGTTTAGTGCGCAGGCCTCAAAGGTGAAGCACATCTTTATGCATTCCCTTGATGCTGCTGTACAAGTCCCTGATGCAAAAAACAACATAACAGTTAGGGAAATTGAAACCTATCTGCTTTAGAATTAAGCATGTTCAGGAATGTTTAATTTCATGTTCCTGATCCTGAATGCTACTGATGATACAGATACTAGAAATGCATATCCACATGCCAAATATAACACAAAAATTCCTTAAAACATTTCATAATGTTTTGAGAAGAGCTTCTTTCTAATCAAAAAGTTTAAATCTACGTTGCCATTGACAGTAGTTGCATGACTCTTTAAACAGAAGAATTCTCATTATAGAAGATACACAGACCTCACTCAAAAGCAACCTACGTTGAGCAACAAAAATATATACGTGATCAAATCAAACGGAAAATAAAAATAAAAAAATGAACAGACGAAGAACATCACAATCACATAGCTGAATTCAAAAGCAACTCACGTTGAGCAACAAAAATGTAGACGTGATAATCAAATCAAACGGAAAATAAAAAAGATGAACACACGAAGAACATCACAACTGCATGGCTGAAAATGCTAAAAAGTAAAAACCTAGTTCGAGTATCCTCCTCCATCTTTACGTGACGAAGAAAATCAAATAAGCCTAACTGAATATGCTCAAATCAGAATCCACGACGTAAAGTCGTCCAAAACCATCGACATCGATGCATAAAAAAGAAAAAAAAAAACTTGGAATAAAACACGTGAAAAACTTTTTCCAGAAAATTAACCGCTTCGCCGATGCATACCTTACCTTGGAAGAGCGGAGCGAGAGCTTCGTTCCTCCTGGATAAGAGCGAGAGAATATAATCAACGAAGTTAATGAAGATGATAATTGGTATAGAAGGGAAAGGAATCGACGAATCGCGGATGTCTGGAAGACGGAAAGGCTGGCTATATATTATTCTCGGAATTTCTTCTGCTCCGTCTAGGTCGTTGTAGATGGAAGTTTCGAGATATTATAAGGAGGAGGACATTGATGAAACTCCCTTTTTGGCAGCCCTGCCCCTCCTTAATTTGTGCTAATTGGACGGCGCGTCTCATCATCCAACTGCTATAATCTTACCTAATTATGTTTGATATTTATCCACAATATGATGGAAATAGTTATCAATTAGTATTGCTATTGTTGCAGTCGATTTTAATTCTTTTCTATTTCTGGTCTTTCTCTCGATGCAACGTATCTTATATTACGTTGTTTTAGTCCCTATTTTAGGAATTCTTATACCTACATTGAGTGAATTTTAATTCTTTCTATTTAAAGACTCTCTCTCTATGCATCTTATTTTTTAGGGGCGTGATTTTTCAGTCAACAGAGTAAAATTTAAATTATTCAAAAAGTGTGATTTTTAGAATGTACTCCATCCTTAATAGGTATTTTTTGAACTTTCGAATTGATATTATTTAGGTATTATACTAATGTATTATGGTATTTTTAGAATGTACTCAACCCTTAACAAGTATTTTTGAACTTTTGAATTGATATTATTTAGGTATTATACTAATGTATTATGGTATTTTTTGAATTCTTAGTTGATATTTTTGAAGTGTAATTTTTACTTTTACTTTATTATTATTATTTCTAAAAACACTAAAATACTAATCAAGAGTGTATTTTATATATTTTTAATATGTCCCGTGAGGATTGGATGTGTGACCGTGATGTCATGAGTTCAAATTCCCGATACCTCAGGTCACTTACCACACATGATTTGTCTTATGTGACTTGTCTGCCGGACCTAGTATTAAGTTCGACTGAAAATTTACCCGGTGCATAGCGGTTTTATAATATTAGTTTAGATACTATTTAGGAATTTTATATAGTATTGACTTGTAAATATTGAAAACACCGAGACCAAAGATTTCACATAATTGACACCATTAAACAATTCCCTATGGATTCATTAAACTTTTTATCTTATACAAACAAAACAAATAAAATATTTTATAATACAGGGTCTAACTCACACCATCACACAATTTCTTATGAATTTACTAAACATTTTACAAAGTCAATGAAACATCTTATGTGACATGGAAGAGTAATATATATATATTTGTATATATATTTTTTATAGTGAAAATTTGCACCAACGGGTGCGTCAAATTTAATAGTTTGCAAATTAAATCATATAAGATATGCCACACTAGACGAACAATGTGTGACATACAAGATCCGGAGGCGTCAGAGCAATTATATTGATCACTACAACATCTAACATGGTGATCTAAGTGAAAAAAACACAAAATCCATAGCTATAACTAGTGCATAAATTACAACCTTAAATGGTCCCAAAACCATACAAAAAAACTCTCCCTTTTATCTTGAGGCTCACCTCAAAACAATGAAGGAATCCTCTTACCTCTCAACACACACTCCATTTCCAATCAATACCTAAGGCTCTTAGCAACCTCAAAGAAATGGGCAACATTTTCCTCAGGAGTGCCCACAACAATGCCATGTCCAAGATTCAATATATGCTTACCCTTCCCGGCTTTCCTCACCGTGTCCTTAATCCGGTCCGTAATAAACTCTTTCGACCCGAACAGCACGCCGGGGTCCACATTACCTTGGACCGCCATATCAGGGCCGAGCCTTCGTCTCCCTTCACCCATGTCCACCGTCCAGTCCAGGCTAACCACATCTACCCCCGTCAATGGTAGTCTCTCTATCAGGCCACCGGACCCGCTGGCGTAGAGTATCAGTGGGAGGTCGGGATGGGTTCGTTTAACCATGTCCACTATTAGTTTCAAGTAGGGAAGACTAAACTCTTCAAAGTCCACAGGGCTGAGTTCAGTGGCCCATGAATCAAAAATCTGAACGGCTTGAGCTCCCTTGTCGGCTTGGTATTGGATGTACTTGCCCATCGACGTTGCAAACTTTTGAAGTAGCGCGTGAAGGACCTAAAAGAGCAGCGATGAAATAGGGGGATTATGATTATTAAGCTGTAAAAGTAGAGAATCGTATGCCTTTCGCAGAAACGAATTCAAAACTCAATTTTAAGTAGTTAACCTTTGGCTCTGAGAAAGCTAGTTTCTTTATTTTAGAGAAGTGCTTTGAGGAACCTCCTTCGACGACGTATGACGCCAGGGTGAATGGGGCCCCGACGAACCCAAGGACAGCGGCTTCATTGTTTACCTACCAAGGACAAAATTAAACAAGAAAAATACATTTAAAAAAGTGACAAACCAATTCATAAAGGGCGATGAGAAGCTTTAGTTGATCATGGCTGCAAAATCATACCTCTTTGCGCAAGATCGTTAATGCCTCCCCAACATAAGGGACCGATTCTTGAGGAGTGAATTCTATCACTTTCTCAACATCAGCAGCTGTGCGAATTGGATCGAATATGATAGGACCCTTACCTTTCACAATGTCAAAAGGTATGTTCATGCCGGACAATGGGGTAAGAATATCGGAAAACAAGATGACCTGAAAAATTGAAGGGTAAAGGATTGCAAGAATTTATCAGATGAATCGACCTTTTTGACCATATATAAAAGGAAAGCAGAACTGCAGAAGAGAAGTCTTATCAATTGAAGAATTAGTTTCGCCGGAAAACCATATTACCCCGTCCGGTTTAAAGACTTTCCAAGGTTGAAGAGAGATCTCCACCACAAGATCTACATTTTCTGACCGTTCACGGAAGGATGGATGCTTCTCACATAGGATTTGGTAACTCTGTAAGAAGAAATTACACAACCGCACATTCAATATAACATAATAAGAAAAAATAAAAAACCTTAAAATAAGACAAAAAAGGATAGTCATGCATCCATTCCCAAAAGCCGATTAGCTGTGTATCGATTAAGATGTTAAAGAGGCCGAATAACAATTTTGGCCATAGCCATATTTCATAGACTAAGTTGGCATTTCTAAATTCAATACACTTCTATATATTTGCTTAGAGATGGATCAGCACAATCACTCGTGTGATATTCACACGATCAAATTCAACTTATAAAAGGGAATATATCAGTGTAAAGTTTTTAGTGTGCAAGAAAAAAACAATAGCCCAGGGACTATTTGCATCCTTATTTGAAATTCACATAGAACTCAAAAGTAACATATTGAGTAGCCTGTTTTAGAAGAAGACGGGTAGTGTGAAACAACAAAGGGGTTTAATATGTCATCATATAAACCTGCCTTCATGTACCTCCCTGCTTGTCTCATAAGCCAAACCGGCGGCCTCTCCACCTCTTTTCCTCGTACTGCATTAAGCAACAAAGGCTCTGTAGCTGTTACAGCTTTCGGTTCCGCCACAGCTGCTGCACGATAACACAGCAAATTCATTCCTAAACTATTTCCAAAAATACAATATATATATATATATATACATAGCAATAAAAGTTAACAGAAGTACACAAAACATCATTCCATATAATACATTTACGATTCCTCCTACCTCACAACAAAAACACCTAAAACTATAAATCCTAAACAAATACACTTAGATTTCATTGACTCTCTACATAGCTTAGATTATTCCATTGGTGTGTGTAAGTTACTTTCATGGAGCATCATGAAAGCTTCTATCGTGAGGAGTTCCTGCTTAAACATTCTAACAAAGTTATTTGGTTCAATCCAATCACTCTTATGCAACATCCTCACCATTGAAATGTCTCCTAGAACTTGTAAATAAATCTGAGATCACAATCAAATCAACAACAATGGCCAATTCAAGGCACTTCATCATATAGCAGAATAAGAACAAGTAAATCAGCTAGCCACAATTCAGCACTCGTTTAATTAATTAGAAACTCAACTAAGACGTTGAGGTCCTAAAACAAGCTTGAGGACAGCAATACTAGAGCCAAAAGCTAGACCTTCGGATTCCATAGAATTACCATTTCTTACAGAAAAACTTCATAGAATTGAAGAAGGAAAATAGAAAAAGGGAATCGAATTACCTCCCGAGGAACAAACGAATCTAGGCTTGTGATTTGAGAGAGAGGTCAAATTCAATTTCAGAGAGAGCGATGAAACTGAACTGCCATAAATGCACGCCATTTCTTAGCTCACTGCGCTGGAAAACCCCCTCCAGCGACGAATTGAAGAATCTCAACCCCCAATTATGGAAAATCTCTTCAAACAAAGAAGACGTAGTCAAGGAATATGATTCAAGAGGAAATTGAAGAAGAAGAAAAAAAGAAGATAAGAGGCATGAAATCTGAAATCTAATCTTGTCAGATATAAACCCTGGACCACTCTGCCTACGAAGACTCCATTTTATTATTATTTTTTTTAAGATAATAATAAAAAAAATGAAATACGATCAAATTTTATTACATTTGTGTCCATCACTAATCGTTCTATATTTCTTACTTATTCATCCTGAATCTATTATCTTATTATCATAAATAGCAATATCACTCTTCTATTATTATTATTATTATTATTATTATTATACAAATAATATTTTTTTTATATATAAATTACAATGTATATTCAAAAAGTTAGATATTATATTTACTATTATTTTAAATCCATTAATAATAAAATATTAATATTCGAAAGTTTATATACTAATTGATATGAGACAAATAATATCACTTTTATGTATCCATTTATGCTGCATAGACTTGATTTATTGGCTAAAATATTCTTATAAACGGCGTATTTATGAACTATATGGATTTCATCAAATAGCTTTAATTATTTAATTATTATTTTTTTAAAAAAAACATTGAATTTTTTTTTAATAAGATATTATCCTATTAAATTTAAATTTTTTTTTTTAATTTTTTTTCTAAATTTTTAAAAATCTTTATTTACTCAAAGCCTAATTTACATTTAAAATATAAATTAAAATTTTAAAACCACCACAACCAATATTTATTTTACATTATTGTATCAAATACTTCACTATATTACTGTATTTATTATTTAAATTTTTATTATTTTTAAAAATTCCATAATTTCTACTTTAAATAATCAGGGAAAAGTTCTAATTTCACGAAAATGATAGGTTACAAACGCGCTTTTGTTTAACATGATAAAGCGTGTTACCATACTTCCATAAGTAATTTACAGAAAGGACTCTAGCCCACAAGGAATAAACGAACCCAATAAATTGGGCCTCAATTGGCCCAATTATTATTGTTATTATTATTATTTAAAAAGAGAAAAGGAACTGGAGAGGACGAAAGGTATTTAGCCAGAAGTGTTGACGATAGAAGGTCTTTTCTGAGATCGCTTACCGATTCTGGTCGATTACTTTTCTCGTTCACCTTCCTTACAAAATCGAGCCGCGTTGGGGTCATTTTTGCGTGAAGGATTAGAAAAAGGAGGGGAAAAATGGGCGATCATTTGGCAAGAGGTGAAGATTTCGAGCAGAAAGCCGAGAAGAAGCTCAGCGGCTGGGGACTCTTCGGTTCCAAATACGAAGACGCTTCTGAGTTGTTTGATAAAGCCGCGAATTCCTTCAAGCTCGCCAAAGAATGTAAATACTCTCTAAATTGATGATGCATATTGATTTCTGCAGTCGTTTTGATTTTATCGGTGAAGTTGTTTTCGTTATTCTGTGTTTATTGCTGTGAAGAAACTAACGAATCATTCATCTATCGCTTGTTCCTTGAATATATGTTGGATTCATGACAATCGATGTATGGATTTGGTTTTTAGTTGGAAATTAAAAGTGGTAGTGTAGGAGGCTTGTCCTAGGAGCAGATTTTTTAGTTAATCTGAGATGTTATTAGGTAATAATTGTAGTTAGATTGTGCTTGCATAATTTCATCTTGCAAACATGTTTTTTACAGAATCACTGGAACAGGTTTCCTTCATGGCAATAAAACTAGCGTTCAGTTTTTGACACTTCCTTGTTCAAGTTGTGTAAAATATGCACGCAATGTGTGTTGATTTGAATGGTCTTTAAGCTGATTGCTGGTGCATTAGCTTGTAACTTTTGATAAGCAATGCAACAGCTATCAGTTTATACCACAAGGATGAATTTGACCAACTTCAGTTATCTTGAAGGAAATATGATGTGAAAAGAAGTGTAAATTAAAAGTGATTGTTGCTCGAGGAATTATTATTTTACTTGCATATAATCTTGAAATAATGGTTTTATCAGGGAATCGGGCAGGTGCTGTGTATGTTAAGTTGGCCAATTGTCATTTGAAGGTAAGGTCTATGCCTTGTAGTGCAGCTTCCTTTGCTTTAAGGTCAATATTCCTCTTATTTAACGTTTTTATAGAAAGATGTGTTTCTTCAACTGGTTTTAGATGGATAGCAAACACGAAGCTGCTAATTCATATGCTGATGCTGCACATTGCTACAAAAAAACCAACATAAACGGTGCGTGCAGTTATTGTGTGGTTTATCATCTTTTTTATTTTAAGTCTTGATTTTGTGTTAATTTTTGGAGAACTGTGAAGAAACTAGTTAAATTTAATCAAGGATGTGATAATCGATATGTTAGAAGTTACTGCATCTTAAGACCTTCCACTTCACTACATATCTGGCCCTCATTGGCCCATGACTGTGTTCCTAATTACCTGAGTCTGAAGATTTTCTTTTCACACAATGCCGACTCCTTAAAAATTTGATTGAGAAAACCTGTCCTTAACAGAATAGTACTGACTTTCATCATTTGGGGAAATAAACTTTTGCATCTGAGGAATTGTTTTGAGTTTTTAGGTAAAAGTAGTGGACACATGTATCTTGTTATCCCATGGTATGGGATAATCACTATCATCCTAGCCACTATTTCATTATGTGGTGGTTGACAATATGGATCAGATGTTGCCGTTGTATTTATTTAAAATGCATGCTTTCCTTTATATTCAAATATAATGTCCCTTCCAAATTCCTTCCCTTCCTTTTTAGCTCACTTTTCATGTTTTGATATAAACTATGGACTTCCTAATTGTGCAGCATGAACTAGGCCTTTCTTCTACAGGTCTTCTAGGACTAAACCATCTCAAACCTACTTCTCATTTTTTTCATCGTACTTAAACGCATTCATTATTTGTTGATTATTATTATTATTATTATTAACTTTTTTTCCATACATATATCCTTATTTTTTGTTCAAGTTCTGACCTAATGAGTTATGACCCAGCATTCCAGCATTTTTTGTTTTTTAGTTTCATGTGGGGAAGTTACAGGTCAATTAATGCATTTGGATTTTGCAGAGTCAATATCCTGCCTAGAGCAATCAGTAAATGTATTTCTAGATATTGGAAGACTTAATATGGCTGCCAGATATTACAAGGTACGAACTTTAGAAACATCTCAATATCCGGTGATGATGTTATAGACATGATGTTTCCCATACGGCAATCAAGCCCTGCCCGTTGTTATATAGGATGGAAAACATAAAATTTCCCATGTTTAGTTATGATTAATCAATGACATTTACTGTCGTATTGGTTGTTGTATTGCTTGGGACAAGGAGACATTCAAAGTAATAATTTTACAATTGAAAACAAAATAAATAATATTCGAGAGATGTTTTTCCTTGCAGGAAGTAGCAGAGTTGCATGAGCAAGAACAAAACTTGGAGAAGGCTGTTGTTTACTATGACAGAGCTGCTGATCTTTTCCAAAGTGAAGAAGTATCAACATCTGCAAATCAGTGTAAACAGAAAGTTGCTCAATTTTCTGCTCAATTAGAACAGTTAAGTTTTGTCAATAACTGCATATTCAGATCTCGCCCGAGGAATCATTACCTTTTCTGTGTCATACTTCTTCATTTTTATGCCTTCTGTTAATTGCATGCATCAGCTTTACATTTACAATCATTATAATCTGTAGTATATCTAACTAGGGAATTCATTCATACGTATTGTGAGTCCACATGCTGTTGTAGTCGAAGGATTTATGATGCTTCATTTTTCTACAGATATCAGAAGGCTATTGAGATTTATGAAGAGATAGCGCGCCACTCTCTCACTAATAATTTGTTGAAGTATGGAGTTAAAGGGCATCTCCTTAATGCTGGTATTTGCCAGCTCTGCAAGGGCGATGTCGTCGCAATAACCAATGCTCTAGACAAATACCAAGTAATTATTGTTTTCAGTTGTTTTACGACATTTCATTATTATTATCCCATGTTATCACCTGAACACAAATATCCACTTTCTCTACAGGATTTGGACCCAACATTCTCCGGAACACGCGAGTACAAGTTACTATCGGTGTGCCCATAACATCAAAACCCTTTTTGTTTTGTTATCTTAACTTATTCAATTGATCAATATCTCGACCGGTGATATTGACATACAATACATAAATTACAGGACTTAGCCGCTGCAGTCGATGAGGAAGACATTGCAAAATTCACTGACGCCGTGAAGGAATACGACAGCATGACCCAACTGGTTAGCAAATTTTCACATTCACCCCTTTAGCATCTGGTTGAGTTATCTTCACTTTTTTAATCTCCTCGAAACCAATGATTTGAGTGAGTCGAGTGCTGTGGAAAATCGGTTAGGGTCGTTATTCTCTAACGGTCGGGGTATTTCAGGATTCTTGGAGGACAACACTTCTGCTGAGAGTGAAGGAGGGGTTGAAAGCTAAAGAGCTAGAGGAGGATGATCTCACCTAACTCTTGAGTCTTGAGGTGATAAGTAATTCTTTTTGTTGATTATGTTTCGAATTATTTTGAATGCAGCAGCATGCATACCTTCACTTGCTTTGAGCTTTAGTTAGTATGTATTGTATTATTATATATATATATATATATATATTATAACAAAACTGGATGCCTTATTTGTATTGAATGAATAATAAGATACAGGTTCCCTTCCATGGCCATAGCCATAGCCATAATTTCATTGTAAAACTACTTAAGCCCCACTTTTATAGACAAAATTTCATGTTTTTCTTGGAAGGTTGGTTGTAATAATTATTGCCTGTCAATGTGTGTGTAGATGGATGTAAGATGATTGTACATTGTGTACAAGTTTCATATTGTTGATTTTGTAGGTAGGTGATGGTTTTATATTTATAGTGGGCCGCCTTGAACCTGGTGCATTTAAGGCTGGGCTGACTTAGATTATAAGCTCTACCTCGTTTGGGCCCATTAGGGGTTATAAGCCTGAGCCACGGTTTACATCTTGGGGCAGAATGGGCCTTGTTGGGCGGGTTATAAGTGGTCATCTTACAGAAAACGGGTGGGTCAAAACCGAGCAAGACTTGGATATTATTTACTTTCACATTTTTTTAAAAGTTTTTGAAATATTTATTAACTGTACTCCTTTTAAAAGAAAAACATCAAATACTTACATATTTACTTTCTACTCAAAAGGGATTTAAAGGGATTTTTTTTTTTTTTTTTTTTCTCAGAACTGATTGGAAAAATCGAACCGTCATGCTATGATATGGTAACAGAAAATCTAATCATAATATATTAATATTTTAATACATGATTACATTATCATAAGACACCCAAACCATGAACACGTGCTGTCTGCCAAAAGCAAGACAAACCTACTTACAGTGGTTGGGCCCACCAGGCCCAACACGGTTTCCTTATAGGCCCGTATGGTCTGATATATTACTTGCACAGCACACACCAACCGGCCCAATAATAGGTGTCCAAGAGCAGACAAGAGCACATGCTGTCTCCCAAAAACCCAACCGTTCAATTGAATGTCAGCCCAGGCTCAGTTGAGTCCAATCTAGTCAGTGTGGACCCCATCGACAGGCCCAGAAACTGTCTCTCAATAAGCCGACAGAAGCACATGCTGTCGGCCCAAAGCTCACGTCCAGCAGTCATGGACAATCAGACCCAATTTGTTTCTGTATGGGCTGTATAGCCCAATGTAACGACTACAAAAGCCCATTTGACGTGCTGTCTGCTTTATAGAAGCCCAACCACGTGCAGTCCGGCACATATGTCGCCTAACAGCCGACAGAAGAACATTTAACGTCTACCCAAAATCAGACACACGTGCAATGATCCTGGACTATTAGGCCCATATGTTGTTTTTTATGTGGACTATATAGCCCAATACAATGTCAGCAAAAGCCCAATTGATAGGCCCAATAGGTTTCCCACTGTCTGTCCGGACCTTGTCGGCTTAATGTGCTGTCAAGGCCCATCGGGCCTAAGTCGCTTCTGTCCCGGCCCAAGGAGCCCAATGTAATGTCAACGTAAGCCCATTGGACAAGCCCAATGATGGTCTCCAAACACCCGACACGATCACGTGCTGTTGCTTCATAGAATCCCAACCACGTGCGCGTCTGCCATCTAACTGCCGCCAGAAAAACATGTGTCTGTCCACCCAAAATCAGACACACACGTGCAGTGATCCTGGACTATTAGGAACAAATATTGTTTTTACGTGGACTATATAGCCCAATGCAATGTCAACAAAAGCCCATTTGAGAGGCCCAATAGTTGTTGCACTCTCTGCCCAGACCCTGATGGATTCACGCGTAGCTGCCAAGGCCCAACGAGCCCAGAGTCACTTCTCTCCCCGTCCATAGGAGCCCAACGGTAATGTCGCACAACGGCCGACAGAAGCACGTCCTGTCTGAACAGATCCTGATAGTTCTACGGGCAGTGTTTAGGGCCCATTCGGCCCAATGTAATGTCAACTCAGACCCATATCACAGGCCCATTTGTTGTTTGTAAATTGCCGACAGCTCCACGTGCTGTTGTTTAAAAATCAACCTATTAAACTAAATTTTATAATTGTTAAAAATATACCAAACTAATAACTTACATCATGAAGATTGAGTAAATAAATTATTACATTTTTCACATTTGGGCCAATAAAGTGGACCAAAACAAGTTCTGGTAAGCTGAATGTTGGGCTTATGGGCCACTAATGTAAGCCCACGATTTAATTTCTAAGATCTACTATGGGCCTAATGGTAACATCTATTGTCCACGTGACATACTCTCTTGCACTCAAGAGAGTATTTTGACAGGCCTAATTAACATTTATAAAAATAAAATAAAAATGATTATAGTATTTCTAGTTCAATTAATTATTTTTTTTGGGTACTATATAATATACTTATACTTCAAATTATACATTATTGATACTATACAAACATAATGGATATATTTATTTACTGTTTTAGTTTGAAATTTTATTTTATATGAAATATTAAAAATCATATCAATAACATAAAAGATAACAGTATTTCATACGAAATTATTGATTTTTCATTAAAAAATATAATATAAATAACTCAACATTATCGGAAATTGGAAATGTGGTGCAAAATAGACAACATCAATTCAGCAAGTAAAACTAACATGGAGGCGATCCATATCTTAAATTCCTAAATTATCATATATCCTCAAATCCGCCTAGACGATTAAAACTAATTTCACTAGTCACTGCTACTATATTTTCGCTCTGATATCTTTGATAGCTTTAATTAGCACAAGTCAATAACCGTCGCCCTAATTTAGCAAAGAATGGACATAGATAGATATGTACGTACCTGGCAATGGAGACAACCAATAATAATAATAATAATAATAATAATAATTATAAAGCCTCTTCCGCTCTGCACTGCACAGCAAAACTAAACTCGTGGAGAACCTCCCATTTTATTTTAGCTTTAGCACCTGAGATTCAGAATGAACACAAAAAAGGACCAAATGAGATCTCAATATGACCTTTCTTTTCTGCAATATCTCCTCCTCCTCTTCTCCTTCCTTATCAGATAATAATAATAATAATAATAATAATTGTAGCAGTAGTAGTAATAGCAATAACAATAACAATAAAGGTGGGTTGGGTTGTTACCATGGAAGAACCATTGGCGGATTCAGTGTCGGCCGGAAACAAGTACATTGCATGCCAATACATCGGCAGGTACGCCTCCTTCGGCAACTTCTTCCGCCGCAGCCCCTTGGACTACGCCGTCCCTCTCATCCTCATGCAGCTCTCCTTGATCTCCATCACATCTCAGGCCCTCGAGTTTTGCCTCCGCCCCCTCGGCCAATCCTCCATCGTCTCCCAGATATTGGTGAGTTTTCAGTCGAGTCTGTCAAATATCACTATATTACCTAGAAACTTAAAATGGATACGCATCACATACAAATATTGCACGTGGACGACAAATGGGTGACAATAGGACTCGAACACGGGACGTCCCGACTTTAATACCATATTAGAGGACTTGGTTGATTAATAATTAATATGGTAACAAAGTCAGGACATCCCGTGTTCGAGTATTACTGTCACCAATTCGTCGTCGTCCAACTACTTTTAAGTGAGATGGTCATTTAATAGTCGAGTCGAGTATTTTCTTGCATTTTCCACAAAAACACACATATAACAGATTCATCAGCAATGTATGCGATTTTAGAGCACTCTATATATGTATAAAAAAACAGGGAGGAGTGTTGTACGGACCTTCTCTGTTGGGTAATCAGGAGATCTTCTCCAAGAATCTGTTCCCGGCGAGGAGCGTCGTGACGCTCGAGACCGTCGCAACCTTCGGGATCATGTTCTTCTTCTTTGCGGTGGGCGTGAAGCAGGACAGCGGCCAGATGATTCGCCCCGGGAGGAAGGCCTCGATCATCGGCATCTCCGCCATGATCGGGACACTGGCGCTGACCGTGTCCTTCGCTTTCCTGCTAAAAAGATACGTACACATGGAGGATTCGTTAGCACAAGCACTCCCCTTTTTCGCCGCGTGCCAGTGCCTCACCGCATTCCCGAACATCGCGTGTCTGCTCACCGAGATCAAGATGGACAGCAGTGAATTAGGCCAGATGGCGATCTCAACATCGTTGCTCTGCGACGTTCTCGGCATAAGCCTTGTAGCTATAGTGTTAGGACTGCTGCAGTCCTTCGACAGACCTCTGCAATCACTGATGATGGTTGGATCCACATTTATGTTCATCTTCGGGATGGTGTTCGTCGTAGGACCCGTCATCCGCAGGATTGTGAAAAGAATACCTTCCGGTAGGACCTTGCCTGAGCGATACATCCATCTCTGTTTCGTTGGGACTCTTCTGGCGGGATTCGTATCAGAATTCATCGGACAGCATTTCATGCTCGGGCCGTTGGTGTTTGGATTGGTCGTGCCAGATGGACAGCCGTTAGGCGAGCCTATAATCTCCAAGCTCGATTATCCCATCGGGAAGTTTCTCTACCCGACATTCCTCACCACCAGTGGGCTGAAGACGGACTTCTTCAAAGTCGATCCGCGATCGTTGTGGATTGCAGCCATGCTGATTTTCATTTCCTGTGTGTCCAAAGTAGCTTCTGTTGTAGCCATGTCTCACTTCTTCGGGATGAAGGCACGCGACGCAGTTGTCCTCGGGCTTATGCTGAATGCGAGAGGAACCTGCGAACTTGTTCTGTACAACCTGTTGAGAGACGGCGGGGTATGGTTAAACTCTAAATTGTTCTTCTCCGACGAAAAAAAAATACGTGCATCAAATGGCTGCGGTTAGAGTGCTGAATGATATCATTCAGCACTCTAATGACAGCACATTGCATACATATGGACATTACATATAGACAAAACACAGTTTATATGAATACATCATATGAATTAATAACACATGATAATAGCCCTTACAATATATGATAATAGTTCACACGGCATAACACCATCGATTAAAAAGTATAGATCATAATTTAGATAAACATACAATTTATGTTAATATAATGCAACATACAATAGTAACATATATATAGCACATGTCTGCCGTATTATATTTTAACATCGCAGAATATATAATATATAACTGACAACATATACAAATAATATACACTACACATGATGTTTCGACAACAATCATGTATTATGTATACTATTACAATGTGATGATCGGGCTTAATCAAAATAGTACTGATTAACTCCAATCGGACCATAATCAGTTATGCATCAAATAGTTCTTAACTCAAAGCTGAAACTCACATATTGAAGACAGGTTTTTACAGAACAAGAATTTGCTCTGAGCATTGCTTCAGTCATAGTTGTGACAGCAGTCATAGCTCCTTTGATCAAATTGCTCTATGATCCAACCAAGAGTTTCGTTTCCCTAAGGAGAAGGACTATTCAGCACATGAAATACGATACGGAGTTTCGAATATTAGTCTGCGTCAAGAATCCAGAAACTGTACCTTCAATGGTGAATCTACTCGAAGCTTCTTGCCCGACACCAGAAAGCCCCATTGCTGTCATAGCTGTCCTTTTGATCGAGCTACTCGGTCGAGCAACGCCCATGCTCGTAGCTCATCAAACGACGCGAATGCTGCAGCCAACCAACTCGAGATCAGGCCGGATAATCAATGCTCTGCACCAATATCACCTCTACCACGAAGACTGCGTCACTCTCCAATCTTTCAGTGCCATATCCCACCTGCAAACAACACACCACGACGTCTGCCGGTTAGCGTTGGATCAGAATGCAACAGTAGTCATTCTGCCATTCCACAAGCACTGGGAAATAGATGGTTCCGTATGGTCGGAGAACAGGGCTATGCAGAATATGAACACCCAAGTCATGAGCTGCGCACCATGCTCGGTTGGAATCCTTGTAGATCGAGGAATCCTAACTGGCTCAATGTCCATTATATACAACCAGGCCATCTACAGAGTTGCTGTCATTTACATTGGAGGTCCAGATGATGCAGAGTCACTAAGCTATGGAGCTCGAATGGCGAGACACGAGAATGTCACTCTAACAATCATCAGGTTCTTACTCTTTGGGAATGATAGTGCTAGAGAAAGAAAGCAGGACAACCATCTGATAGACGAAGTTCGTCAGGCCAACATGGTTAACCAGAACTTCATGTACCAAGAACAAGTCGTCAAGGATGGTGTGGACCTAGCATCATCCCTGAAGATCCTAGAGAACTGCTTCGACTTACTGATAGTAGGGAAACGCCACCAAGCATCACAGATCCTTATGGGGCTAGGGACTTGGAGCGAATGTCCTGAACTTGGCGTCATTGGCGACATGCTGGCATCAACAGACTATGGAACAACGGCGTCAGTATTGGTTGTGCAACAACAAAGACTGCACAGGGAAAAGCTTAATAAGAAAAAGATGAGAAATGCAGTGATGAGCCGTGAACCATTGTCCAATCGTCCATCTGCTGCAACATCAATGAGTGATTTAATGCCTTAACTCGAAAACTGTAGAGAGTTTAGATAATGGGGACTCACCTGAGGTTTTGTGTAGATGCACTATGACCCGTGGGAGGGAGAGCTCGGCAGATCAATGCCTACATTCATCTCTGTCAAAAAGCTAGAACAGGATATCAGAAATAGCAAACAAGGGACAAAAATGTGTAAATTCCTTTGCAGTTATGATACAATTCAACATACAGTAAACCAATAGCTCTTTTCATAATCAAGAAAAATGAGCTGTACCATATTTTCTGAACGTTTTGTTCTTTCAATAAACTACACGCCGATACACATGCAAGAACACATCTAACTTCCAAGGAAATTACACTACAAATACCTCAAGAGAATACAACCTCTGTAAATGTCCTGAAGTGGACATTGTAATCATATCGACAGAAAATTTCCTGCATGTTGTTTATCCTCATTTTCCACCCAATTCAACCTCTGATACTGCAAAATATTATTCAAAATTTGCAAGAATGGCGAAGACCCAAATTTCTTATTTTGTAATGACCGTGCATGTACAAAGGGACAGCAAGAGTATGATCTATTGCTTGTTGTGTTCATCAATGCTGGTTTCTTCTATGATTTGGCATTCCAATGCAGCAGAGTTTGTAGAATCTGGAATCTCGAAGGATATGTCTTCACTTCTACGCGCCTGTAGTCCTGTATAGCGTGCAAGATCGATCCATTGCTGCATCAATTATTAACAATACAAACATCAGTTGACTACTAAACTGAGAATCACCTCTTGGAATCAAATTTGAAGTAAACAGAGGACAATTCAGCCTATGTTTAAGGGAGGCTTAATGCAGCCACATTTCTGCTCCATTATTATGACACATAATCATTGACCAGAGAAAATAGGGAACAGCTCATGTATGGAAGTTCATTTTTGAGAAGGCTATATAGGACTACTAACCTGTGTTCCCCAGTAAGAGTTTGCAGTTCGAGCCACAAAAGAGATTAAATTCACAAGAAATATCTGGTCAGAGAACTGGTCCGAAATTCGGTGTTCCACTATTCCAGCAATAACCTGCATATATATTAAACATATTAAACTAGAATATATATATATATGTTTCAAAAGTAACCCCAAGAGGATTCATATCTTAAAAAGAACAGAGCACAGCTTAGACCAAATTATCTCATTGAATAATGCAGCATAAACAAAGGTCGCAATATCTTTAACAAAGTATTTTCACCAATTTCCAATTTGAAGGTGAAAAATACTGTCAATTTAAATGTGAATGAATATGTAAATTAATATTTATTTTATCCAAATAAAGGCTTACTAACCTGGTACCGTAGATTTGCTGATGTCCCAAGAAATGCAGCATATACAAGTGCTGTTCTCAGTATAGGTGATCGTTTATTCTGTTGTACTGTGGCCAGTCTAGGATTAAGATGCTTCCGCGCCGTAAGCAACATATTGGAGGAAGCCACAGTGCCGATGCTAGAAATGAATCCAACACTGGCCAGTTTAAGACCGCCAACAAGCACTGATGCAATTCTGTGATTCAAATTCCAGTCCCTCCCTACAAGGCTTTTCTGAAATGCATTGTCTGGGATGGAACCCAAAAGACCTTTTACTGCTTCTATGCCATCAGGCGTACTCATGTCGCCAACAACGGGGATGAATGACAATGTGGGTGCTGGAAGCCACACAGTAAAAAAATCAACAACTGTTCCCCTTAATGTGTCTGTGACAACATAGTCAAGCTCTTGAAAGAAGTTCTCTTTACGCCTCTCGTACTGGGCTAGCAGTGTGGTGCTAATGGATATAGTTTCTTCTATAGCTAACCTATGCAGGAATTTTGGATCTGCCAATAATCTCTCTCTGAAACCCTGTAAATGAGAATTGAAAGAAATAAAACCTCAAAGTCACATAGCAACATTTATAGTTCTTATTAAATGGAAATGTATAACCACCAACTGTACCTGGAATTGATGAGTCAATCCTGAAAGAATAGGATTTTTCTCAAGATCGAAGAAATTCTGTAGTACTTCAGGTGATACGAGGCCAAGATCCAGACCGTTTTGAATGTCCTGAAACATAACCATCACAAATGCGTCTCATAAACATTCACTGGAGATGGAGGATACTTTCGCATTGAATATCCAACAAAAAAATTCTTTTATGATACGGAAAATTATCTATTTACAAAACTTCTTTTAAAATAACCATGTCAAGATACGATAAGGTTGTACGGATTAACATCACATGACAATTGGCAAAGAAGAGCACACAAAATTTCAAGTTCTCACACATGTAAAAAACTTAAAAACCACCATGTCTAAACCAAATGTATATAAGAAACTAACCTGAGGTAATGTGTCTCTCCTTCCACCTGCTGCATTCATCACTCGAGCTATTTCAGCACGATCAAAGCAATTTCTGTTGCAGGGTCTAGCTGCAGAATACCACAAGAAGTCTGCAACAGGGGTATCTCCTTCCCTGCGTATGTTCTGTCGTTCTGGGTTAAGTAATATTATCACCTGATCCTTCTTTTGCATTTTACTCGAGATTCTTGCAGGTAATCCAGTTCCTCTTGACCCATATGCAACATGGCTAGCACCTGTAACTACAACTATCATGCCAGTAGATCCAACATTTGTCACAGCCTGTGAGATGATCTGGGACATTGTGTAATCCTCAACAACTCGTGCTTGAATGGACAGGTATGAGCTCGACCCAAAAGAAGCAGACTGACTCCAGAAATTTGTATCAACAGATGATCGCTTCGAGATAGAGGAAAATCCTGAGATGAAACCTGAACCAGCTGGAGGAACAAATTTCTTCCGATCGGCTTTAGAAAGCCTGCGGACACCTTCAGCTTGAACTGTTCGTAAAACCTATGCAAACAGTACATCAATAAAATTTTAGGCCCCAATTCATGCCTTCTCATTTTCAAACTATGGAGCTTAATCAAGTTAATAAGCTTCAATGCAATACTAAAAGAAAATGATGGTTGCGAAAATTCTTATGTGCCAAATGCAAATAAAACATATAAGATGTTTCTAGATGAAGGATAAATCAAATATCAGATCAATATAATCCCCAACAGAACTCTCCACTGCACACAACTTCAATCCAATCGATTGTTTGGTTTAGAACAGTAACACTAAAATGCTTGTTTACTTGCTGAAAGCTGCCCAATTTATCATACATCCATCTACACAACAACATGTTTCCAGTCACTACCTCGAGTGGAACGCCACAGGCGACTAGCCGAATCCCATTGTCACAGCAGTAATTTAGCAAAGGCTCATACTCTTGCCAACGCTCAGGTGGCCAATTAGTTACAAAAGACTTTAACATCTCCCCATTTATCCTGGCACAAGTTAAAATAAGAAACATATGACTGTTTTTTGTAGAACTGAAAATTGAACATCACATCAATTCAGTTTCAGGGTATTAACTATTGAAGCTCACTAACCTCAACTTATTGAACAACCAATTGATATTCACGAAGAAATTTTACAGTCAACAATTTCAGTAGGCCTGAAACCCTAAGTACAAACAATAATTCTTAGTATTGAGGAATAAAAGGGAAATTGAACCTTTTGTCCACAAACAGATCAAGCTGTTCCTGTAAATCGCAAGAGAAAGCTTCCAGGGCCAAAGAAATCGGCCTCTCAGCTTCCACGCATTTCTTCCTCAAACTCTTGACAATCTCAAGCTCCAAATCTTTGTCGCCCCCAATCGGAACCTGCTCCGCCTCCCCAAGATACACAATCCGCGCACTCATCATCTTCTCCCACACCTTCCTCTTATCCTTCCCCAACGCCATTGGCTCCCCAATAACCGTCGCGTCGTAAATCCTCGATTTCACCAGCTCCTCCTCAACCGCCGGAGTCGCATCTGTCTCAGCCGTCGAACTGGAATTGGAACTAGAACTAGAACTCACCACCTCCTGCTGCCCAACCACTGGCCTCCCCTCCGAAATCGGCTTCTCATCCTCCGCCCTGGCCACCGCAGACCGAAACACATACGCTCCGACTGCGAGGAACGGAGTGATCAACACATCTCTCCTGCTCGTCTGGCGTCCGTCGCCAGAACAGCCGTCAACACGGCGGCAAATAACCGACAATCGGGAACCACCACCGCCGCCGCGCCTTTTGCGGTGCACCGAATAAAACCCCAGCGGCCTGACGTTTAAAGCGTGTGCCATAACTTATACGTATTATGCGCCGTCGGTGTAGTTTTCTCCGGTGAGGCCGGTGGCGGTGCTTCGTCGTAGCAAAAAGGTGTACGTAAAAGAGCGTGAACTACTACCACTGCTTGGATTTTTGGTTACGTGGACGATAATGAATATGAATGAGAATCATTTAGTGGTGGATTTTGAATCGTCGGAATCAGTGGCCGGTACAAGTTCCAACTTCCATTGTCAACCATGAAGTTGCACTTTGGCTTTTAGCACACAATTTGGTCCTTTTGTCCATTCACAGCTCACCTCGTTCATTCCTCCAAGTTTGGATGCAATGGGTGGGTCCTCTTAAACTCGAGGTATTACATTACCGCCCCATAGTTTTTCGGTTATATTGTATTTTACTTAATTTTAATGTAATATAAACAAATATTTGAAACTCCATTATGTTCGAAAATATACATTATGTTTTAAAAAGTGTTTGTTAAAATTTATATAATCTATTTATAATAAATAATTTCATCTTATAATAAATAATTTTATGCATAAAGACAAATAAAAGAGCTGACATTTTATTAGAAATGAATGTACAAACTGTGTTTAAGCTCAAAGGAAAGGAAGAACAAAGAGGCATTTTTTTTCCCTTTTAAAACGTAAGAAACCCAGCCATTGCTCCAAGTAAATCCCCGATTGAATTTAATAATTTGTAAATTAAACGTGACAACACTACGCAAACTGATACATAAATCCATTGGACCAACTGAATCAGAATCAATATGATACAATCCATTCTTCCGTATAACTATTTTCCATAACCTAAAAACTCGGAACAAATACAATGTACCATAGTAAAATATCCATACGTCAACAAAGCATAGGCGAGGATTCATTAAGGAAAAACAGAACAAAACGATGGACATCAACACAAGAACAAAACAATAGAGAAAACACGGTTTCTTGAGCTTCGAAATATCGTACAAAGAAAACATGGTGTAATGAAACTTATGTTCGGCTGAAGTACCATGGAAAATCGAATATAAGGTAACAAAAGGGGGATGTGGCAACATGCTCGAGACAGAGTGGGGAAAGTAAGATGGGGAAAGAAATACGATAGACAATAAGAACAAAGTCGAAATAAATGGGAACAATCAAAAGAAATGAGATCAACCCGAGTGCAAGAAAGCAATGGATCTATGACTAAACACAACGTACAATCTATGGCATGCTAATAACACAGAATAAATGGATACAAAGAACTCAGATCATTCGATGTTGGCCTTAAATACTAGTAATCCGACAATTAAAGAACCCAGGTTGTTGACAAACAGAAATTCTTTGAGATTCTACCAGCAATATCCACTACAGCAATGCCCAAATCAAGGTCTTGTGTGTGTTCGTGTACAAATAAAATGTGTATAAACCATCAAGAATCAACAATCGAAAAATTAAAGTTCTGGATTCAGACACTTGGAAACGATTTATCCAGAAAATCTAATTATGCACAGGTTCTCACAGCCCACTAAGATCAAGACAAATCCAAACCAAATTCAATATAACCATTTAGCTAATGAGTTCTACTCCAGAACTCTGAGAAAGAACAGTAAACAGTTATATGTAAAAACAAGATCAGATCCAATCATCGATCTTCTGCTATCCACATTCCACCGGCTATCCACATTCCACCTACACTTACATGTCTGTAGATCCTCTGTTTATATATATAACGACTTCTTTTCAAAAGACAATAACAGGCAAAAGCAGAGAAATTCAATAAAATTGACTCAAATATGGGCAAAAACATTGTATGAAGAAATATCTATGGAGGAGATAATGTTAATTGTAAAACAATAGTATATCAATGTATATGAACACAGTAAGAGGCCGTACAAAATGTCTGCAGGTGAATTTATGATAATTCTACAGATGATTGAACAATTATAAATCTCGGTAGATATTTTGGGTCTTGAATCCAACGTAAAGCCACAAAATGTTCAACAAAACCCTAAGAAATTACTCCCAATCACAAAAGAATATGATAGTTGAGCCAATCGAAATTGATTCATTAAATTTGAAACCCTAAACGCCTAAATTACCTCTTCGGCTCAGTTCAATTGGCAGATCCGATCAGATCTGAATCATACGCGTGCAACAACAGGCGCGGCAGCGGCCGCCGCGGATGAGGCGGCGCCGCCTAGGAAGGAGAGGAATCCAGTATTAGCAGGATCCTGTTCATCCAAAAATAGATCCTCCGGAACGCGGAATGCGCCATGGGTGCAGACGATAAGAAGGCCGACGAGCATAGCCGAGATGAGAAGCGATCCGACGGTTGTGAGGAAAATAACAACAATCGTCGACACCACCAGAATGCCCAAAGTTTCCCGATCCGAAAACGTGCGTCCCCCAATCACAAGCGGTTGATCCGCAGGGCGGAATAGGTAGAGGAACACCCAGGCGGCGAGGAGAGCCAAAAGCATCAGGAGAGAGAAAGGATGCGTGAGGAGAGAGAGCGCGAGCGAGAGCGCGATTAGGGAGACATAGTTGACGCGGAAATAGGAGAAGTTTTTGCGGACGCGGGACGCGGCTTCGGAGAGGGTGTCCGGACGGGAGAAGGAGGATCGGTCGATGAGCTCCGACCAAGGGCGGCGCTGGGAGAGGCCGTGGCGGATGGTGGCGTTGAGGCGGGAGAGGAAGGCTCGGAACGCCGGGGTTGCGATCGGCGGCTGAGATTCCGATTGAGGATTGGAGATCGGAAGCGTCGGCGAAGAGGCCATTGTCGATTTGGTGAGAGAGAGAGAGAGGAAGCGAACGATTCTGATTGGCTGGCCTCTTTGTTCAGTCTTGCACGAGAACCGTCAGATCCATATATATATATATATATACATAAGTCACGACAGATGGGTAAATTTGAAATGAGATTTCAATCTACTATAAATTAAAATTATTGATCAAATTTAGAGCGTGTTTTTTGTTTCTATTTAAAAACAAGCGCAAAAATAAAAATAGTTCCGTTCAAATTTTATTTTCATATTTTTAGGGTGTGATTGTTTGGAATTTTAAATTTTGAGATGGAATTTGAATAATAAAAATTTTGAATTTGAATAATTGTATGATGTGATATAGATAGGTGTTGATGTGATATTTTGAATATAAAACTGATTTTTAGTATAATATAAAAAATAAAAAATATGTGTTTGATTTGATATTTTTTTGAGGGGAAAAAATAAGATGAATAGTAAAAATTTAATCCAATCACCCGTACTTCCGGCACGTTTGATCAATCGTCTGTCACTTCAGGATCATAAACAGGCAGTTGCTCGACCTCTAGGTTGTCGGGTAAATGAGGCTCGACTGGGTGATCGCCTAACACTCGACAAAGTTGAGATACATGAAATACATAGATAAGACTAGTGGCTGACAAATCCAGCTTATATGCGATCTTTCCTACACAGCGAAGGACGCGGAATGGTCCATAAAATTTGGGCATGACCTTGTGCGCAAGCTGCCTTGGCGATAGGGTCTGACCTTCAAGAATACCAAGTCACCAACCTGGAAGGTGAGCTCACGGCGATCGCATATCAAAACCTCAGGATAAAATCTTACACCACGAGGCTCCAATATGCAGTGAATAAATAGAGACCCAGATAAAATGTAAGAGAAATTCATTGCAATTTTTCCCCAGTGATGAAAATGAACAAAATATAAGTGCGTTCACATTGTATTACATTTGCAGTAGCATCTATCAAAGGAATTTTTTTGTATTGAGTTTTCAGAGGCACATGTTGATGGAAGATAAAAAGCTGCATCAGATATTAAGGGTGTGCTTGTTTGGAGGTTTGGATTTTGAGTTGGAATTTGAATAGTAAATATTTTGAATTTGAATAATTGTATGATGTGATATAAATAGGTGTTGATGTGATGTTTGAATGTAAAATTGATTTTTAGTATAATATAAAAAATAAAAAATAGATGTTTGATTTGATGTTTTTTGAGAAAAAATTTTGGATGAATAATAAAATTTTGACAAATTCCTACGAACTAACACACCCGAAGTGTAGATTACTAGTAACCGTTTTGACAAACAAATAAGTAACAACTCATCTTCCTACACTTGAAAGAAATACTGACATGCTATATATCCAAAGCCCGCAACTCACACTCGAATTTTAAGCATACTAAACTGCAGTCTACAGTCTATAGAATTAGGTTCACCGCTCATCGGAAACCAAGCATTGGCAAAATGTTCAACCACCAACAGCACTCTAAATCACAAAACTATAAATATTATTAGCATAAAAATGAACTTGGATTTCTAGTTTTACAGCACTGACTATTTACTTAAGTTGTGGCCCATTCAAGAGTCCCAAGAGGTATATTTACATGAGGAAAACGCAGTTGAAGATTGACGCAGTGTAACCCTTAACGTAGATAACAAGCGGAAGCCTATAGCAGTAGACACTTGTCACAAAGAATATGATAAATTGAACTTACATACAGTAGACCATACATCTGGAAAAGAGACGCAGGGAGTTCCGTCGGAGTACAGAAGGAAATGCCGTCTTCGCCGGACGATTTTCTAGCAATTAAAACTAAGCGGTTAATATCTGTCTCGTTGATCTCGAGCGTATATAAGGGATCCAGACTATGGCGGCAAAAAACACTTACAAATTTCAACCATCAATTGATGCCGTTCAGGTTCAGGTGCAGCACTTCCCTGAACTCCAACTTCCGAGTCTCACTGTACGAACTCCGGTACTTATTGGGCCAATACGTGGCCCAAATCCAGCCCTTGATGGTCCACTCCATCGTGCGGCCCACGCACGCTCTATCCACCTTCCACCAGACGCGCTCGCCGTACTCGTCGCCGGCGAACACCACGCCGCCCTGGCGGGTGAACGCCCGGCCGGCGTTGGAGTAGCGGTGCTTGAACCAGGCCTTGTGGTTTATGAGCGCCAGTCTCGACGGCCGCGACGAGAAGACCTCCCGGCCGTCGGTGCTGTCGTGGAGGAACCAGTTGAGATTGGCGGCGTTGCCGAAAACCGACTGCTCGAACTTCCAGGGCTTGATGGTGGTGGAGGCGCTCTCGGCGGTGGAGAAATTGAGGCCGACGGTGGACGGCGGCTCGAAGGAGGCTTCGATTCCTTTCTCGACGGTGATTTCTTTGGCGGGATTGTCGGAGGATTTTCCCACGGAAACGGCGATGATGTTGGATTCTAGGGTTGGAGTGATTTGCAGAGCGATTCGGGAAGGAAAGTGTTTCTCGGAAGTCCCGGCCCCGCGCTCCGAGAGTAAAGTATCCGATAGGAGCTTGACAACATCACACCTGTGATAAAAATAAATAAATAAATTAATTAATTGAATTATGACTTCTTTTAATTTTTATTTTTTAATAGCTAATAAAATTAATAAAGATAAATATTTTAATAATTCTTAATAACTAACGATGAAATTATCAAAAATTATAAATACTAAAAATATGCAATATCTATTTTTCGTGGTTTTTGTTTTGTTTTTTTTTTAAAAAAAATTATTTAATACTAGTATTAAATTAATGATTAGTTTTATCTTTATCTTTTCAAAAAAAATAAATTATAATATATATAAATTAAATAGTTTAAACCATATTAAGTGTTATTTTATTTACTATTTATTTTTCTTTTAAAAATTTCATATAAATAACAACTATTTCTATTTTTTAATACAAAACACAATTTTTATTTATTTCATATTAAAAACTTCAAAATACAAAAAAAAACAAAAATAGAATAAGGTTGTGTTTGTATTCCTACTTTGTATTTAAGTTAATATAATATTTATAACAAAGAATAATGTATTTTTACACATAATATAATCATAAAAGTTGGATAGTAAATAAATTGGGGGAACAAAAATTTTGAAGTGCATTCTTTTGGTATATATATATATATATCCATATATTTTGAGTTTTTATATGTTTGAAGTAAAAGAAGATTCTACCTAACATGATTACTTTAAAAGTTAAAATTAAAGACTCATGTATCAACCAAAATATATAAAATATTTTGAATATAAAATAAATTTTACTTTTCGAGTTTACCTTATGTTGTCAACGTTCACCATGACATCTATCCATTTCTCTCGAACTCCCACCTTATAATTCAATTGGATCACACTTTCGAGTTGATGAAAATTAAGAGAAAACTCGAGATGATCATCAAGCGAAGAATTATTCGACCTTTCCATAGACATAGCAACAATGGGACAATACACTTGAACTTTCCACAATCCACCTAAAGTCGACAATGAATGAGAAAACAACGGAGACAACGACCTATCCAACAAATAAGTCGATTTGAGCTCCAAGATCCAATTCGTGATCGCAAGATTTATAGAACGCATCCAAATTTCTTCGGTGTTCGACCCCAAAACCCTAATCAAAACCCTAGAGGCATCCCTAGCTTTAGGGGAAGCAAATTGGTCTTTAAGTGTATTAAGACACGACCCACGCAAGTCGCCGGGAGCTTCATAAATGCATACGACGAAAGAAAGAGTGAGAAAACAAAAGTTAAAGACATCTTTAAGCTTGTCTTTCTCATTAGGGAGTTTGATCGCCCGAGAATACGGGCACTTAATGGATGCATAGTTTAGGACATCCTCGACAAAGTTGTTTGTAAGGGATTCGATGAAGGCTTTGTTTCCGGGATCGGTTAGCTTGTCCGGGCTGGGGTTTAGGGTTAGGGTTATGGTTTTTGATGTCCATAGAGTGATGGGGAATCTGTAGTCTGCATAAATTGAAAGGGTTAGAGATGAAGGATTAGGGTTTCTAATTGAGACCTTTATGGAGGGTTTTGAAGAAGAAGAAGATGATGATGATGAAGAAGGACGGCTAAGATTGAAAGTGAAGATCGAAGAGTTTGGCTTCCATTGAGGGATTGGAGGGAGGGTTTCAATCCAAGAATACAAATCAGGGAAGGAATAAGAAGATGATGATGCCATCAAAAATTGAAATTGAAATTAGGGTTCTTGATTTTGATCAATTGGGGTAAATATTTATGGAATTTTGGGGGTTGCAAGTTCTTGATTTAAAGGACACTTAAGTAGTGATTATGTTTGAAAGAAATGGAACAAATATTATTTTATAACTTAAAAGAATGATTTTTTTTAAAAAAAAGTATACATTTTTAAAGATGGGACACTTTTTTTTTATTTAATTTGAATAATATTGGATGTGCCTGCATATTTTATTTATGTATTAATGTTATGTTAAAAAAGAGTGTAATATAAATGGATTATTTTGTATGTTGTTTCAATATAATTAATTTTCTATCGTCCGTTATATATATATATATTCAATACATGTAGATTTGATGTTCTATATTTTTATAATTTAACTTCATTTTATATTTGTTTGGGGGTTTGGATTTTGAATTGGGATTTGAATAGTAAAAATTTTGAATTTGAATAATTGTATGATGTGATATAAATAGGGTTTGATGTGATGTTTTGAATGTAAAATTGATTTTTAGTATAATATAAAAAATGAAAAATAGGTGTTTGATTTGATGTTTTTGGGGGAAAAAAATTGGATGAATAGTGGAAATCCACCAAAATCCTTCAAACAAACCCACCCTATTTGACAGTAAAACTTCCAATAAAATTCAATCAACTCCTAAATATCATTACCTTAAATTTTCATACATTCCCAAATATATACAATGATAATTACTATAATTTTTGCATGTCATAGTTATATAATTGTAATGCATGGTAATAATAAAATTCAAAGAAGTCATATTCTAAATGATGACAAGAGGAGAAAATGTGCAAGAAAAAATAAGATGCCGTAGCTTACTTTTGACTACTTGGATTCCTCATTTCATCCAATCCTTACTTAAAAGAATCTTTTAATTTTCAAAAGAGTTAGAAAATAATAATAATTAGGTTCGCCAGCCTATTGAAAATTCGTGACTATCATGAGTTTATAAATTTCAACTTTCGATACTTCTAAATTTGTCTACCATACAAGATCCATCCAATGTGACTTGTTTCACTGATCTAAATTACACGCTACTAAATTCGGTTTAGGATTATTCTGATCGTAATTGAAAAATAGTAATTACGGATCCAACATCATAAAAAAAATGATAATAATTATTAAGATGATTCGGGTGATTTAATAATAATAATGATGATGGTGATGAAATATTAGATTAAATTTAATAATTTAGAGAAAAAATTATATATTTTTATAAAGAACACTCATTAAATAAAAAAAAAAGTGAAAAAAAAAATTCAAAAATAAATTGAACCCATATTTCTTCTTCAATGACAGTTAAAATATATAATCCCACAAAATATATCACGATTGATCTCATCACATATATAATATGACCTAACAATACATGGTAACAATACATACCACATATGTTGATTTAATTAATTCAAATAATACATAAAAAAATAATAGTTATTAATGTATTTAGCTCTAATTAACACTCTAACCTAAATTAAGAATACATTTAAATACACCAACAAATATGACCATAATCGTTATTTAATTGTCCTTTGATTAGTTTTATATATAACTTGGGATTATGTTGACAAGCTAAATAGAATATGTAAAATACAAAAATGTATTAAAATTGAATTTTATATTTAAAATATCACATTAATACATATTTATATCACACCAAACAATTATTTCAATTTAAAATATTACTATTCAAAACCAGAACTCAAAACAAAACCCCGCAAATAAACACACCTATACTTGTGGGATTTTATGTTTGATTTTACTATTTTAGTTTTCTTTTATCTCTAAAAATATCAAATAAAACACTCATTTTTTATTTATTTTATTACAATAAAATTTAATTTTATATTCAAAATATCACATCAAACAACTATTTCAATTCAAAATTTTACTATTTAAAATCAAAATAAATAACTATAATCTTACAAATAAACACATTCATATATCTAGCAGCCTTAGATTATACTCCTTCTGTACCATGTCCACGTTGCCGTTTCTGTCCGTCCCACATACCGTGTCACTTTCCTTTTTTAGATTATGATTATACACTTTAATCATTTTTAAACTTTTTAATTTTATTTTTTTAAATTTTAATTAAACTAATTTTAATTTATAATTATTTATATTATCGGATAATTATTTTCACTAATACATTCTTAATTATCTACTAATTATACTCCTCTTAAAATACCATGTCTACAGTATAGTAAACACGATATGTGTGACGGATGGAGTACTATTATAGAAGCGTTGATATATAATGTTATATTATTCTTATATTCTTCTATACCTAACTAAAGTACAAAAGTAAAACTTGTGCATGAAGGTTTTGAAATTTGCCCATGCTTTATTTATTTATTTAATTGAAATCTTGTTAATTTTTTTACTTGGAAATAAATGTATTTGTTAATTTGTTTGCTTTAATACGTTTGGAAGTTGTTCGAATAATAGTTAATCAGAACACGAAAGATTAAGAAAAAATATTTAGTTAATAAAATATGTAGGTAATAAATTTATCATTTAATTTAATTAAAAAATGTTGATTGTAGTTGTTTTCATGGTTTGTCCATTTTTTTTTTCCTACATATGATTGGTTTGTGTTTTTAATTTTTATTCTTTTTTCTCCATTTATTAGGGTGATTATTGGGTACTGTTCGATGATTTGAATTGATTATGCCGAATAGAATTTATTGAATTTGAATGTTTTAGTTTTAGCTAAATAAGTTTTGGTTAATTGTGGGTTTTTTTTTTTTGTTTGAAATTCTTTTTTTTTTCTACCTTAAAGTTGTACGATTTTTAATAAATATATATATTTTTTAATATAAAATATCATATTAAAAAAATAATAAGTCAAATAAAATAATTAAAAATCAAATACAATCCAAACAAACAATGTGTTACTGTGGATAAATTTCATTTAAATTAGCTAACAATGGTATTTACATATAACATTAATATTAATATGCTGAGTATATATTATTTTTTAATAATATTTATAGAGAATTGTAACATAATAAAAATAATAATAAATAAATAAATAATTAATTAATTAATTAAATAAATGGATGAACAAACCCAATAAGCATAAAAACATCACAAACACACCTCACAAATTTTATTACACGAGAATCTAACAATATTTAAACATATATTTTAATATTTTAATTATATATCAATTTATATTTTCAAATACTAATAATACTATATATATATATATACAAACTAATAAATATAAGATTTAAATATTATTTTATATTATCTAAATAACTATGTTCAAAATAAATAAATATATGTCTGAAATAAAATTTTAATATAAAATATAAAATACAAAAGTAGAGATAAAAGCTGCAGAACATATTCCACTGTCATTTATCTGAATAAAATATTTTTTATTATTATAAAATTAGGAGAGACCATTTAGGGTGTGTTTGTCTGGGTATTTGAATTTTGAATTGGAATTTGAATAGTAAAAATTTTGAATTTGAATAGTTGTATGATGTGATATAAATAGGTGTCGATATGATGTTTTGAATGTAAAATTGTTTTTTTAGTATAATATAAAAAATAAAAAATAGTTGTTTGATTTGATGTTTTTTGGGGGAAAAAAATGGGATGAATAGTAGAAGTCTAATCCAATCCCCAAACAAACACACCCTGGAGCACAATCTATAAAAGAATTAAAAAAATAGGATATACTATATTATACAATCTATAAAGTTTTAGGCACGTGTTAAATTAAGGAGTTGGCTTAATACTACTAATAATAACAATGCAGTGGACGATTGGACTGTATTTTGTTGTATATATATAATTGTTTTTATTATTATTTTTTTACCATACACTCACAATGTACATGCACCGATCCGAAATCGAATTCAAGACTTGGGCAATTAGACCCGTTTTAGACACCTGAATTTTTAGATAAAATTGTAAAAAATATTTCACATGTATATCCTATTATTAATTTTGTTATGTATTTATCTCATTGGTAAAAATATATCTTACATGTTTGCAAAAGTCGCTATTCGTGTTCTTTAACTACGCGTGACGTTCACCACGTAGAAGAAAATTCCATTTTAAAAAACAATATCGGAAATTGTTTCTTTCTCCTATGTGGTGTTTTTCTAATATTTTTTTTATCTTTACTAAAAATTAATTTTATATTCAAAATATCACATGAGATTTATTAATATCACACAAAAATATTCAAATTTAAAATTTTTTATTATTAGAAACCTAAATTCAAAACTTAAAATCCAAACAAACACACCATATATAAAATTTTAGTATATTTTTAGTTTATTCTAATTATTTGTTATTATATTACATATATAAATATTATACATACACATGTTAAAAAAAATAAAATATAAAATTAAAAAAAAAAGTGAAATAGTAAAAAAAAAGGATGCATATTATATAGATACATATGTATATATATAAGTTCAAACAAAAAAAATTAAAGAAAATAAAATGCAAGTTAATGGGGTGGGGGTAGGGAGAGGGGGGAGGCTGCAGCCTCCTTGCCCCTACGTGCGTCCGCCATTGTCCGCCGCCGGAGACGAAGAGGCGGGGCCGGTTCGCCGCTGTCGGAAAAGAAGAAGAAAGAGGAACCATTGCCGTTGCCGGGAAAAGTACTGGACCTGCCGCCCCGCCAGTGATTCATCGTCTCGACTTTGTCGGATCCGACTGGATCCAAAATTGATATCTGTGCAAAAATATATTTTTTTATTAATCTTTCATTTTTATAGTTTTTAGAAACAAATAGTTATCTCATTTTTATAAAATTATAAAAATAAATAATTGATCAATTATTTATTTATTTTATTAAAAAAATTATAATAATATTTTACATTTTTTATTTGTATAAAACTTAACTTAGATCTTTATTTAGAACAAAATATAAATTTTGGACAAGAGGGGTGTTTCGTACAAACTTTACATTAATACATGGAGGTTTCATACAATAAATAAAACATAGAGTATTTTGTGCATTTTTACTCAAACACAAGGGGCATTATATAATTTACCCTTTAAAATATGATTAAAGTGTATAATTATATTTTCAAAATAAGAAATAGATAATTTACATAGGACCGACTGATAATATTTTATGTTAAACTATTATATTTTTTAGTGTATAAATTATATATTATATATTTTGTATAAAACTATACATATTATATTTTTTTAATATTAATCGAAAACCGTATTAAAATTTTTTTTATTTAAAAACATCTAATTTGGTGAAAAAATAAATAAAGTTCTCGAAAAAATGGATGTAAAGTTTAATTTATCATAATAAATAAAACTCGTGAAAGGATAATTATCTTGTTTAAAATATTAAAAATCCAAAATTTTCAATTAATTTGCAAAACAAATTGGATTTGGAAGATATAAATCCTAGTTGTTTTACCAACCAAAAGTAGGATAGATTGAAATCCTAAATACAATAAATTCTATCACATATAAATCCTACCGTAAAATCTCAATTCTATAAAAAAAAAAAATAATAAAAAAAATTGTGAACCAAACGACTCTTTATATCAATTATGTGTAGGGATGGAGAAATTTACCGAACATATACCGACTTATCGTACAGTATCGTGTCAAAAATATCAAAAATTTCGGTACGGTATGGATATCGTACCGAAGTTTTCGGTACGGTATCGATATGAATTTTCGAAAAGTCGATATTTCGGTATGATACCGTACCGATATTATTTTTATTAAATAATTTAATTATTAATATAGATAATAATTATTAATTTTTTTTAAAAAAATCATAACAAAAAATATGTAGACTATTGAAAATTTTTTGAGTTTTTCATAATATTTTTGTGGTGGAGAATAGTGATATTTATTAATTTTTTTTAATTATTTTGAAATTTAAAATTATATTTTTAGTATATACCGGTATCGTATCGAAATCAAAATTTTCAGTATAAGCGGTACATATCGGTAGTATGTACTTTCACCATGCCGAAAAGTTCGGTACGGTACGATATGTCATCCCTAATTATGTGGGTATAAACGTTAGCCACATATGTATCTATATCTATTCCGAGGTAATTTCTTCGTTTATGTTATATAGAAATACTTCTAACCTTTAATGTCCACCGAGCCAAGTGATCAGCTTTTTTTTTGTTTATTTTTTCAATTTCAGATTTATGATCCAGCAAATCTCGCTGGTTATTGAAGCATTTGTTTGATAGTTGATGCTTATCAATGGCGGATGAACCTGTAAATGTAAGTGAGTTCCAAGAACTTGCTAAGGTTGCCTTCTAAAGATGTACTACGACTTCTATGCTGGAGGCACCGAAGATAAGCAAACTCTGCAAGAAAATGTCAAAGCATTTCAAAGGATTGTGTGAGCCTTTATTTCTTGCACTTTTTTTATTCACTGACTTCATGATCAGTTAAATGCATCTAAATATTAATTTTTTATGCCTCCGGCGCAACATTCGCCCCAGATTCTGAAAGATGTAAGCAGGATAGATATACCGATATCATTTATGTTTCATTTCACTTCCTGCAGATCGGGCGAGCCATCCCAATCCCATCATTTTCGGTTTGGCTGCAAAGGGAGGGAGAAAACAGGGTGAAGCAAGTGATGGATATATATGCTGAAGCCTTTTTTCTTTAAATCCACCGATAGGCTGAAACTTTTTTCAGCAATAACTTTGTATGGAACTGCAATGGTGTATCAGAGAAGTCATTTCTAAAAACTTTTATATATACCTCTTGAAAGTAAAATATTCAAGTAAGAAAAAACACAAATCATGCTCAAACTAGTCTTTGTCATTATGAAATTGTTCAAAACATTATTATTACGAAATACAGTTCATAAAAAACTCTAAACTAAGACTACTTAGTACCAGCTCGCAAACAATCTGTTCATAACTCAGGGGAAGAAAAAAAATGACCGTGAGAAAATTATTAAGCAGAACTTGACAACTATTTTAAACGTTTTAAATAAAATTTGATTCATTTGCCTTATGGAAATATGTTCAATAATTAATTGACAAAAATTAATGTTCACACATACATCCACATGAATACTAGAAATCATATTACTCTTTTTGTACAATTTTTTTAGTATAAAACTCAAAATGTAACAAAAAGTATATATTCATTTAGGTAACATGTTGCAATACTTCAAAAACACATTCCACTACGCATACCTGCAACGCCCCTGGGTTTATTTGCAATAGTTTTATTTGTAAGAGGAAATAAAATATATTAATTGAGAATATAAATATTGCATTCAAATAATATAATTCAGATAATTTTAATGTAAAATTTATAATCCATATCTCTTTAATTTTTATTTGCAATAGTTTTTTATAATTCTTTTTGACTTATAAAATAGAAAAAAAAAAGCTATAATTCTTTTTTTTAAAAAAAAATCAGAATATTTCACATTAAAAATAATACTCCATCCGTCCCACATACCATGTTATTTTTCGAAAAATGATTAAACACTTTAATTTCATTTTAAACTTTTTAATTTTATTTTTTTAAAATTTTTTTAATTAGTTATCTTAATCTTAATTTATAATTATTTATATTACTAAATAATTATTTTTATTAATATATTTTTAATTATTTACTAATTACACCCCTTTTATACTTATAAATAATTATATTATAGCTTAATTTAAATTCGTAAGCCCTAATTTTACGAAGGGCACGAATCCACAGGCTGTGACCTGGGTAACCGTACAGGCTGGAGGCGGCGGAGACGGCGGTGAAGGCGATGAAATTCAGCGTGAAGGCATGGAGCAAGGGCGGAGCTCGGGCGGGGGTACTGCAGGTCGGCGGCAGCTGTTGTTTGGAAACTCCAGCTCTCCTCCTCACTACACGCAAGGGTTTGCCTTCCTTCATTTCCCCTGACCTGCTGTCTACTCTCCCGTCGCCGGACTCCCGCCTCCTCCAATTTAGTCCTCTTCACTTGTGCGTCACTTTAATCATCTTCTTCTTTCTGTTTTTTCTTTGATTTTGTTTACTTATGTTCTATTTAGCTGTGGCGCGACGTCTCCGGATTGCGGATTAGGTATTCGTGATGGTGTATGATCGAGGAATTGGACAGAATTTGAATTGTAGTTAGTGTCGATTGTTTCCCTTGATTTTCGATGCGTTTTGCAGCGCAGAAGGAATCTCTATGAAAACGATATCCGAATTGGGAGGGCTGCATCAGATGCTTGGTTTGAAAGATCATGTGTTTGTGGCCGTCCCGAGGGATTCAATTATATCCTTGCCGGATTACCAGAGCGCTAACAGGCTGGGAGCTTCTTTCGAGACTCCTTGTGGTCGACCGCTGGTAAAAAAAGTTATGTATCAAAGTGTTTTTTCACTCAATCTTGTGGTAGTGTTGTTTAGTGCTGCTATGTTCAATTTTCTTGACGGATGGGATTTTGACAGATGAAACCAAAGCAGTATATGGAAATGATTTCATCGATGAAGCCGGATATATGGTCCACATTGGCAGATGAAGTCCCTGCATGGGTTTCTGAAAAGAGAAACAGAGCCTCGGTTGATCGAACTGTGAGATGGCTTGATGAATGCCTACCGTCGGATCTTGCTTCCAATGTACGTGCTAAATGTGTTCCTATTTATCAGGTTATTTACTTTGATTTAATGAGCAAGTGAAGATACCTTTTAGGGAGTTATGATATGGTTACTTTCGCATCAGCCGACATTTATAATTGGAACCTATGAAATGAGAAAGTTATCATAGGCGAATGTGTTGTGTTGGTTTTCAATTTTTTCGATGCACAGAATATGTGCAAGACAGGGATGATTATCTTGTGAATTGTGTGAGAACATTGCTCATTGATTTGTTGTTAATATAGAGACACTTAAGTTGAACTAGCCAGTGAATACCAAAAGCAGTTGATTGCCTCCTAATTTGGCCTTATTTCATCAAACCAGAGACGAGGTTAGATAAATCAGGAAATGCATCATTTCACTTGAATGAGTTGTTGACTTTAAATCGAGAAAAGCATTTTTATCAACAATCTGGTAGCTCCTCTTTTTCATATTAAATTGTTCATCCTAAGAGTCTGGAAAGTGGTCCATGGGCACATGGAAATGGTTGAAAACATTGTAAAAACCTCGGCTTGTGTTTTAGGCATTTAATTTGGTAGCAGAATTGTGATATATTTGTAATTAATTGACTTATAACTTGATATTGGTGAATTAAATGCAGTACTGCATATGTTAATTCTGAAATGTAGACAGGCGGAGCTGCATTTGAGACAATTGTGGGAGGCTCAAGAATTGATGAACGGAAGTGTTGTGCAGAAGAAGTTGCAAAGCGAAATGTGTCAGGTGTTCATAACCACTTATGTCTTTTGAGGATTTCTGGAAATTTATAGATGATGCCGACTTGTGAGCCAATCATATTATTTCACATTATAAAGAAATGCAAAAGCTACAACAAGTTATATATATATATGTATATTCATTATTTCATTTAAGAGATTTAATCTTTGAAGAAAAAATGTAATAAATTACGAGATAAAATAAAATATGACTACTGCCAAACCTACTCAAATATTCAATATTCAGCTCAACATTTCCTCATCTTTTTAGGCTTTAATGCTTATTGTATGATTTCAAACCTGCCATTTTCATTATATTTACTTACAAGAAATTGTATCGTATAGGATTCTGCATAGGAGGCTTTGGCCTTGGGGAAAGTCTGGATGATCGCCCTGCTCTTCTCCGTGCTATTATTGTATGTATTTATCTCGTCTCCATCAATAGCGTGTTGCTTCAGTGGAGCAGTATATCAAATTTATCATATTTATAACTTTCATGTCAAGCAAAGGGTATCGAAATTCCATGTCTTCTCGCATAAGTATTTAACCAGAAATTTGTTGCTTTATCATATTTGATTTGCATTTTAAGATAAACTTGTGCAACAGTGACAAAACTGGCACCACCAGGATAGAGTTGTGTATGCAATCTAATATTACTATATCTATATATATGTATATCTACAACAATATCTGTGCATATCATAATTTTTGTAACTTTTATGTACTATTTCTGGGAAACCATTATATTCTATGACAAATTTCCAATGACCAAGTGCCAGACGAATTGCATAGTTTGTCCTCTCATCTCAAATTGCTATGATATTCCTATTGTTCCATTTCCTTTATAATTTTTTTTTTTCTTATATGTGTTGGAAATTCAGTGTTGATTTGATGTCTCTTTACTTGAAAACGCAGGAACATTTACCAGAAAACAAACCCCGTCAGATTTGTGGTCTTGGGCTTACTGGTAAATTTTAGTCTTGATATTACTATTATACGTTGTTCCTTTTGTTTTGCCGAGTCTCTATGTCTTGGGCTCTGTTTTTGCTTATCGCACAACCAGCATGACACCATTTATTGGTTATAGAATCACAGTACTTGGTCTAATTTGATGTATGCAAACTGTGTTCACGATTATCCACTAAATGGGCCATTAAACCTTTGAACGTTTTAAGTTAGGAAGAGTTCGTTTATGGCCTTATTCATATACCACCATGAATGAAATTCCTCGGCAATGAATATCTTCTGTTTTTAAAATTTCAGAGGAAATCTTGCAAGGTGTTGCTGCTGGGGTTGACCTATTTGACTCGACGTACGGTACCAATCCTTAACTCTATTTAACGCTTCAATCTTGCCCAAAATAAAAAGGAAAACTACAATCATGCTAACTTTTTTTATCATGTCGGATAGTTATATAGCATATAGATTCTATCGTGATCATTCTTTGGGTAAAATTCTGATATGAAGTTCAATCTCCAACAGATATGTTTACCATCTTACACTTGGAGGATTTGCCCTTACATTTGCTTCTGCGGAAAACAAGAAACACGATGTTTGTGATCAGCTAATTGAAGGTCATTCATCTTTTGCTTGTTCAATTTTTTTCCATCAAATTCTCAACTAACTTTGCCACCGTCATAAACCTGTGATATACAATAAAAACTAGTAATGCCATATTAAACCTATGTTTACTACGAACCTAAATGTTGTCGATCATTAGCTAAACTTCTCTTGGAATGGGAACTATTGACTCTGTTTCTCGGTAACTTCTTTAAAGGATAAAAAGTGTGTTTTTTGGGGTGAGTGTTCTTTTCTTTTATTCCCATAAATGAATAGTACTTTCTTCGTCATCGAATTGTATGCTCAAACATGTGGGCATAAGTTTTTAATTAGTAATTGATATGTTTTGACTTTTATAGTGAAAAAATGCAAGAATGATAAAAAAATTCTTTACTAAAATGATAAGTGAGAATATTTATTCCAAAAAAGAAAGTGTGACATATATTTGGATGACAAAGAGAATATAAGATATTGAATGCAAAATTTTAGTTATATTATATTTGTAGTATGCATGCACTACTAGATGCTATAGTAGCATGGCATCGGCATTCAATCAAATGAATAATTTCTATGGCGTAACTATTGTAGCATGATATGTTTACTCGGAATAGAAAGGTAATTATTGAGATTTGGATATTCTGGCAAATGGGAGATAGTTTTTTTTTGGAACATCGATTAAGTGCTTAGATGCTGTGTTGGCTTAGCGTAAAAATTTAAATTTCAACATCAACTAGATATGCTAAAAAAAGTACTTGTATTTGCTGCAATTACATTAGTCTCGTCTCTTTGTCGATCATTGATTAGTGTTTATATGAGATCTCACTCGTGTAGTAAAAAAGGATCACACAATTTATGTGGCTTTTCGATATTCATTTCTACAGGAAAGACACATCGCCTATCGTCGAGGATTGCAAGTGCTACACATGTAAGAATCATACAAAGGCTTACATAACCCATCTGTTCAACGTGCACGAAATGCTGGCTCAGATTCTATTAGAAATGTACGAATCATCGACTCATTGTTTCATCACTTGCACATTATTTTTGTCCATCATTTTATAACTATTTGTCCATCTCAAATGTTCTCAGCCACAACACCCACCATTACCTCGGATTCTTCCGAACAATAAGGGAAGCAATCCAAAGAGGAAGGTTCGAGATGCCAAATGGGTACTACTATTGGCAAATCAAGTGCGGCCTTATTTGACAGCCTCAACCCACCAAGTGGGCTTGATACAGTTAAAGTTAAACCAAAAAGAGATGCCAGACATCTACCAAAGAAGAAGGTGAAGATTTCCTTGATCTCTTTGCCATGATTTCCTTAATCTCTTAAAAAGTCACATGATTCGGTAAGAGAGCATCAGTCACAATGCATGAATGTCAGTCATAATGCAGTTTTTAATTCATTCATTCCATCATTTATATAAATTTATTTTTGATGGTCTCGTCTCGTCGTGTCGATTTAAGTTTTGTTTTGCTGTAAGAAAAACAAAAGTATTGGATGTTATATTATGTGTTTCCTTTCCTTTCTCTGCAGCAGAGTGAGTGGGCATTGCTGAGGAGGGGTGGGGGTATGTATATGCATCACTCGTTCCGTAGGGGAAATATGCGCTGCAATGCTCTCTGCCCTCTGCCTGCTCAAGTAAGTAACTAACTCTCAACTGTCTCATTTTATTCAGAATACTTTCCATTTCCATCTCCATCACCATCTCTTCTCTCCGTCTCCATCCCTATCTCGTCTACCTTCCATTCATTCTTTGTTCTTGCCCAATCCAAGTCTATTGGTGATAGTAATTAAGGAAATCATTAGTCATAAGATCTTTTAAAATCTTATTGTTATATTATGACCGTTATGGTCTCTATTTGTTTTTACAAGTAATTTTTTTTTTTAAAAAAAAATCTTTATAATTAAAAATTATTCATATTATATATATTACTATAATACTAATGAAATCATTACGATAAAAAAAATCTTTTAAAATATGACCGTTTTGTTTCTATTTATTTTTAGAAATAATTTTTTAATATTTTTATATTTATAATACTAATGAAATCACTAGTGATCGGACGTACTTCGGGAGCATGTAAAATCCTGCAAGATTTAATCTTATTTTTTTTATTATTGTTACACAAATGCTATTACTTTTTATACTCATATTTTTTACCAACTATCAATATAATATCAATATTCTTTAATTTTCGTTCGCAACCCAAATATGACTGTAGTTTTTTAGTAGAAGGTTAGTATTTATTATATATTGTTTTTAATGTGAAATATTCTGATTTTTTTTAAAATTTTTTATAGCTTTCATTTTTTTTCCCTATTTTATAATTAAAAAACAATTATAAAACTATTGCAAATAAATATTAAAGCGAAGAGGATTAGAAATTTTCTTTTATCTAAATTATATTATTTGAATGCAGTATTTATCTTCTCAATTAATATATTTTATTTCCTCTTACAAATAAAACTATTGCAAATAAACCCAGGGACGTTGCAGGTAAGCGTAGTCGAATGTGTGTTTGAAGTATTGCAATATGTTACTTAAATGAATATGTACTTTTTGTTACATTTTGAATTTTATAATAAAAAACTGTCCAAAAAGAGTAATATGATTTCTAGTATTCATGTGGATGTATGTGTGAACATTAATTTTTTGTCCACTAATTGTTGAACATATTTTCATAAGGCAAATAAGTCAAATTTTATTTAAAACGTTTAAAATAGTTGTCATGTTGTGCTTAATAAATTTCTCACGGGCATTTTTTTTCTTTCCATGAGTTATGAACATATTGTATGCGAGTTGGTACTAAATAGTCTTAGTTTTGAGAATTTGATGAACTGTATATCGTAATAATAATGCTTTGGACAATTTTATAATAACAGTTATATGAAAGACTAGTGTAAGCATGATTTGTGTTTTCTTTACTTAAATATCTTACTTTCAAGAGGTATATGTAAAAGTATTGAGAGATGACTTATCTGATGCACCATTGCAGTTCGATACAAATGTATTGCTGGAAAACGTTTCAGCCTATTGGTGGATTTAAAGGAAAAGGCTTCAGCATATCGGTGGATTCATATTTCAAGGTATCTTGTTTCTATTATTTGAGAAAGTTATATCATTTTTGGAAAAAAAATGTGCCAATTTAAAGTTAGTATTGCTCCCCCCGCCACGCAAAAAATTTGAGCATTTTTCGCGATGGGGGGAGTAATATTTTTTTGGGTTGGCGCGGGCCGTTTTAAAATTCAAGCCCATAGGCCCGGCCTGATTTTGCATTGGGGTTGAAAATCCAAACCAAGGCATGGCCCGGTTTCAAATTATACCGGGCCATGCCAGCCCAGCCCAGATTTTTAATATCATATTTTAAAAATAAATTGTGTCTTTTATTATTAAATAATAAATTATATTAATCTAAATTAATATAATTATGACAATATTTTTTATTGATAATTAAGAAACTAAATATTAATTAATTATTAATTTTATGTTAAAGTTAATATTATATTAAAATAATATTTTTAGTTACCTTATTTTAATAATTTGGACCGCGCCTAGCACATAAAAATTTGCATAGACCTCGAAACGGTTTGGTTATTCAACCATGCTTGGCTGGCCTGACCTATATATAGTTTGGATCTAATTTTTAGACCAAAATTTTTATTTTTTCGTGTCGTATATGGATTGGATAGTAGTAGACTCTATATAAACTTTACCAACAAACTAAATACACTAAAATTTAAGTTAGGATAAAGTCCCGAGACGTAAAAAAAAATCTATTTCTATATACATAATGCTAAAAAAACAATTTATGAACAAAAATAGGAACAAAATTAATGCATGCAAGTCCCGGGATATGCAAGAAAATAAAATAAATGGAAAGCATAAATTAAAAGAAAAAGTAGGAGATACTCCCTATTATGAGTTCGGTCAATATCCTTCGAGTTTGAAGGATATTCGCAGATCCTCTCGTCTCCCATAAGCTTTACCTACAAAATAAAAATACACTTAAAAAACAAGTTAGTATAAAATTTTGGAACAAGATTAATGCATGCAAGTCCCGGGATATGCAAGAAAATAAAATAAATAGAAAGCGTAAATTAAAAGAAAAAGTAGGAGATACTCCCTGTTATGGGATATCCTTCGAGTTCGAAGGATATTCGCGGATCCTCTCGTCTCCCATAAGCTTTACCTACAAAATAAAAACACACTTAAAAAACAAATTAGTATAAAATTTAGGAACAAAATTAATGCATGCAAGTCCCGGGATATGCAAGAAAATAAAATAAATGGAAAGCGTAAAATAAAAGAAAAAGTAGGAGATACTCCCTATTATGGGATATCCTTCGAGTTCGAAGGATCACTACAAGAAAATATCATTTTTGTAACGAAATTTTTTCGTCTTTAAATCCACTTTTTCCGTCACTAATGATATTAGAGATGGAATTAATGATGGAATTACGTTAGCTACGTGATCTTTAGGGACGGAATTCCGTTACAAATATAATATTTTTTTGTAGTGGATATTCGCGGATCCTCTCGTCTCCCATAAGCTTTACCTACAAAATAAAAACACACTTAAAAAACAAGTTAGTATAAAATTTAGGAACAAAATTAATGCATGCAAGTCACGGGATATGCAAGAAAATAAAATAAATGGAAAGCGTAAATTAAAAGAAAAAGTAGGAGATACTCCCTGTTATGGGATATCCTTCGAGTTCGAAGGATATTCGCGGATCCTCTCGTCTCCCATAAGCTCTATCTACAAAATAAAAACACACTTAAAAAACAAGTTAGTATGAATTTTGGGAACAAAATTAATGCATGCAAGTCCCGGGATATGCAAGAAAATAAAATAAATGGAAAGCGTAAATTAAAAGAAAAAGTAGGAGATACTCCCTATTATGGGATATCCTTCGAGTTCAAAGGATATTCGCGGATCCTCTCGTCTCCCATAAGCTTTACCTACAAAATAAAAACACACTTAAAAAACAAGTTAGTATGAAATTTAGGAACAAAATTAATGCTTGCAAGTCCCGGGATATGCAAGAAAATAAATTAAATGGAAAGCGTAAATTAAAAGAAAAAGTATGAGATACTCCCTATTATGGGATATCCTTCGAGTTCGAAGGATATTCACGGATCCTCTCGTCTCCCATAAGCTTTACCTACAAAATAAAAACACACTTAAAAAACAATTTAGTATAAAATTTAGGAACAAAATTAATGCATACAAGTCATAAAACAAGAAAATGTTACCAATAGTTGTGTTATTATTGGAAGTTAGAAAATGTCCATAAATCTTTGCTAGTATTTTGTTTTCCTTGAAGTGGATCGAGTAATTAATTACCGAACCTTGAGAAAGAAATATGTCTTTTGCATCTAATAGCCTCTCCACAGTCAATCAAACAGTGCTAGAACATAATGAACAATAAATAATATATCAACGTGAACATGAAGAATAATAATACATAATAATTTCTTTAGAAATTAACCAACAACCTCTAATAATTTCTTTTTCTTTTTCCTTCCATCATTATTATTTTATTTTTGGACCGTGTATATGTATAAATGAATACCTGAGGATTTAGGGCTTAGGGCATTATCAAGAATTGAAATTCTTGATCGAATAAAAAAGAGTATGAGAGAGTAAGGAAGAAATCAATGGCATCATCTTACCATCATCATCCTCTCCTCTTCCACGATCTTGATTCTTCCTTACTCTCTCATACTCTTTTATATTCGATCAAGAATTTCAATTCTTGATAATGCCCTAAGCCCTAAATCCTCAGGTATTCATTTATACATATACACGGTCCAAAAATAAAATAATAATGATGGAATGAAAAAGAAAAAGAAATTATTAGAGGTTGTTGGTTAATTTCTAAAGAAATTATTATGTATTATTATTCTTCATGTTCATGTTGATATATTATTTATTGTTCATTATGTTCTAGCACTGTTTGATTGACTGTGGAGAGGCTATTAGATGCAAAAGACATATTTCTTTCTCAAGGTTCGGTAATTCATTACTCGATCCACTTCAAGGAAAACTAAATACTAGCAAAGATTTATGGACATTTTCCAACTTCCAATAATAACACAACTATTGGTAACATTTTCTTGTTTTATGACTTGTATGCATTAATTTTGTTCCTAAATTTTATACTAAATTGTTTTTTAAGTGTGTTTTTATTTTGTAGGTAAAGCTTATGGGAGACGAGAGGATCCGCGAATATCCTTCGAGTTCGAAGGATATCCCATAATAGGGAGTATCTCCTACTTTTTCTATTAATTTACGCTTTCCATTTATTTTATTTTCTTGCATATCCCGGGACTTGCATGCATTAATTTTGTTCCTAAATTTCATACTAACTTGTTTTTTAAGTGTGTTTTTTTATTTTGTAGGTAAAGCTTATGGGAGACGAGAGGATCCAACCGTACATGAGATTTTCACCTCATACGGCTCCTCGTTCAATTCTTTCGAATTCATTGGATCCAGAAAGATTGAGAAATGGAACCATCTGATTTAATTCGTCCGCGAATATCCTTCGAACTCGAAAGATATCCCATAATAGAGAGTATCTCCTACTTTTTCTTTTAATTTACGCATTCCATTTATTTTATTTTCTTGCATATCCGGGACTTGCATGCATTAATTTTGTTCCTAAATTTTATACTAACTTGTTTTTTAAGTGTTTTTATTTTGGAGGTAAAGCTTATGGGAGACGAGAGGATCCGCGAATATCCTTTGAACTTGAAGGATATCCCATAACAGGGAGTATCTCCTACTTTTTCTTTTAATTTATGCTTTCCATTTATTTTATTTTCTTGCATATCCCGGGACTTGCATGCATTAATTTTGTTCCTAAATTTTATACTAACTTGTTTTTTAAGTGTGTTTTTATTTTGTAGGTAAAGCTTATGGGAGACGAGAGGATCCGCGAATATCCTTCGAACTCGAAGGATATCCCATAATAGGGAGTATCTCCTACTTTTTCTTTTAAATTACGCTTTCCATTTATTTTATTTTCTTGCATATCCCGGGACTTGCATGCATTAATTTTGTTCCTAAATTTTATACTAACTTGTTTTTTAAGTGTGTTTTTATTTTGTAGGTAAAGCTTATGGGAGACGAGAGGATCCGCGAATATCATTCGAACTCGAAGGATATCCCATAATAGGGAGTATCTCCTACTTTTTCTTTTAATTTACGCTTTCCATTTATTTTATTTTCTTGCATATCCCGGGACTTGCATGCATTAATTTTGTTCCAAAATTTTATACTAACTTGTTTTTTAAGTGTGTTTTTAATTTGTAGGTAAAGCGTATGGGAGACGAGAGGATCCGCGAATATCCTTCAAACTCGAAGGATATCCCATAATAGGGAATATCTCCTACTTTTTTTATTTAATTTACGCTTTCCATTTATTTTATTTTCTTGCATATCCTGGGACTTGCATGCATTAATTTTGTTTCTAAATTTTATACTAACTTGTTTTTTAAGTGTGTTTTTATTTTGTAGGTAAAGCGTATGGGAGACGAGAGGATCCGCGAATATCCTTCGAACTCGAAGGATATCCCATAATAGGGAGTATCTCCTACTTTTTCTTTTAATTTACGCATTCCATTTATTTTATTTTCTTGCATATCCGGGACTTGCATGCATTAATTTTGTTTCTAAATTTTATACTAACTTGTTTTTTAAGTGTTTTTATTTTGTAGGTAAAGCTTATGGAGACGAGAGGATTCGCGAATATCCTTCAAACTCGAAGGATATCCCATAATAGGGAGTATCTCCTACTTTTTTTTCTTAATTTACGCTTTCCATTTATTTTATTTTCTTGCATATCTCGGGACTTGCATTCATTAATTTTGTTCCTAAATTTTATACTAACTTGTTTTTTATGTGTGTTATTATTTTGTAGGTAAAGCGTATGGGAGACGAGAGGATCCGCGAATAACCTTCGAACTCGAAGGATATCCTATAATAGGGAGTATCTCCTACTTTTTCTTTTAATTTACGCTTTCCATTTATTTTATTTTCTTGCATATCCCGGGACTTGCATGCATTAAGTTTGTTCCTAAATTTTATACTAACTTGTTTTTTAAGTGTATTTTTATTTTGTAGGTAAAGCTTATGGGAGACGAGAGGATCCGCGAATATCCTTCGAACTCGATTTCAAACCTAAGGTAAATGGTTTTCTATACATATATACTATTTTTGTTTACGTTCCGAGACTTGCATCTATTAATTTTGTTTCTAAATTTTATGCCAACTTGTTGTTTAGTGTATTTAGTATGTGGCTAGCCTGGCCCGGTGTAATTTAAAACTGGGCCATGGCAGGGTTTCGTAGGGGTGAGCAAAATATCCGAAATCCGAAAATCCGATCCAAACCAAAACGAAATTTAAAATTTGGTTCGGATTTTTGGATTTGTTAGGATTGAATTTTTGAAAAATTTCGAATTTTCGGATCGGTATACTTAAAATCCGAACTAAGTCGAAATCCGAAATATAACATTATAATATATTTTTTTATTATATATATTTAATATTTTATTAGAAATTATTATATTTTAATATAAAAAACCTCAAAATTATTAATTATATTTTAATATATTTACTTTTATATATTATATATATATTTAATATTATAAAATAATAATAAAATATAAAAGAAATTTACAAATTAAAAAAATAATTAAAAATATTTAAAATTTCGGATTTTTCGGTTTTATTCGGACTTTTTAGTTCGAATTTTGGATTTTCGAATTTCGGTTATTTCGGTTCAGTTCGGATTGATTTTTTCAAAAATTCCGGATTTTTGGATCGTGCACAATCCGAACCGAAAATCCGAGAATGCTCACCCCTAGGGTTTCGGTTTTCAACCCCAATTCATAATTAGGCCGGACCTATCGGGCTTGAATTTTAAAACAACCCAAGCCAGCCCAAAACAAATATTACTCCATCCTTCGCAAAAAAAAATGCACTAATTTTTTGCGTGGCGGGAGTAATAACAGCCTGAAATTGTCATATTTTTTTTGCCAAATAAGATGTCTAACTTTTTCAAATAATGGAAATAAGGTACCTGACAATTTGAATCCACCGATATGCTGAAGCTTTTTCCAACAATACCTTTGTATCGAACTGCAATGGTGCATCAGAGAAGTTTTTTCCCAATAGAAGAAGTCTCTGTCCACTTTCTACCTACAACCCAAATCATCATGAGTACCAAGTTCCAGCACATACATCGAATATCCAAACTATTTCTTCATTACTAAAATATCAATATTTTGACATGCAACAATACATAGATAACTGATTCTGTAGGTTGATTTGCTCTCCTCTTCGTCTATCATTCATAAACCATAACTTCAAGTCATTGCCTCATTTGAGATATAAAATATTCATGATTTTTTTTACCAAGACCGACTAATGTCTTCTCAAACTTCTTCACATGTAGGTTAAGTGAATAGATCAAGAAGTTAATACCTCACTAGTTATTGTATACCACAGAATCAATGCGTTCGAATACAATTTGAAATCGGCATAATGAAGATATCACAGTTCTAATACCAAAAAGTCCAAGCAAACCTCAAGAATGAAATTACTTCCAAGAGTGGTATGTCATTGATTGAGCACCATTAGATAGATCATCTTAACAAAACAGAGCAGCACACATAAATATATACTATCAGACAGTTGAGAGAACAAGCAACATAACTGAAGAATGTGAATGAACACCTATAGAATTAAACCAGAATAAATATATAAATAAATAAATTAGGCAAGTAGCAATGACGAACCAAGGTGCGTGCGATCAACGCATTTTTTCCGAAGCTCTTCTTCCCTGATGTTTTATATATTCTCTACGTATTGTATTGTATTGTTTTAACAACGATTCGATTCGTCATTCACTTGGCTCGGTTTAGATGAGCCTCCCTGAAATCAGATATTATAGATTAAAATAACACAAAACAAAGGTGGGCGTGTACAACGAACAATCAATGAGCAAGGACAATGGTAATTCACTGAACAAAAAGCGAAGAATGAACAAATCTTCGAAAAACATAGCTAATAGAAAGGAAAAAAAAAATGGCGAGGGAAATGTAGGAACACGCCGGTGAGGGCTGTTCATTCCCACGGATCGTTGTTGGATGCCAACGCGTACATACATGGTATAAAACGATCCTAAGCATGCTCCTATAAGAATGAACTAGAGATGTACCCTTTTTGGAACCACCAACAGCAATCACGAACAGGTTGATTCCGCTAGAGACCTTCCAGACTGTTCCCGAACCCCGCTCGAACACCGGATGGGCGGCGATCTATCAAACGGAGGGAGACGAATTTTGCTCTTCGTGAAACCCTAGAGCTGACGGCTTGCACCTGTGGTTTTCGCCTCCTTTTGAAAAACCGTCCCTAGGGTTTGACAAAGACCGCATATTAATAAGTCTCCCAACAGGTAATTGGGCCAGACCGGGGATCTTTAGAAGGTGTTGGGCTCGGGCTCCCTTATAGATCCAAATCTCTATATTCAGCCCTGAATATAATTCGAATCATAAAATATTAATTCATTCCATTAAAGAATTAATATTGCACTCCCAGCCCAACCCAAATTGAATCTGGGCTTCTATTAAACTTAATTAATTCCCCATGTTTAAGATGTTCCACATCCATTAATTAATTAAATCTTCTGACAATTTAATTAATTAATATCTTTTAATTCCTTAAGTAATACCACTCAAAACTTATTATTGTACGGATTAAATCCACCTGCAGGGTTTATACAATAATCCTTATTGAGTTCCTTAAGGGGATGTCATCAACCTGGATGTCCAGGACATGGTGCCTTAATGATAATAAATTAATTACTATGCGAATAATGTAGTTGCCCAAAATACGAAGCATATTGAATCACTAAGGATTCTCACTTATGGTAAATTAAAGCAACGAACATTTATTCCATATATTTAATTTATTTCATCTAAGGTTAAGAATTAACAGAGTTACCGAGATCTTGGTTCTTCAATGTCAGAATAGAAGAACATATCTCAACTGTGATCCTTTCAATGTGACGCAGCACATTAGTGTAAACTAATAGTCAAGACAAACTAATTCCAAGTTTACACTACAACTTAAACCGATGGTTTTGTCCATAACCATCTCAGTTGTGAAACCCATTTATATTTAATAAAGAACTGACAACAAGATCTTCTGTGTGATCTCCACACACCATGTTGTCTACAATATTAAATAAGTGGACATGCTAATATATATAAAACATAAATAAAAGCAACACAATGTGAAATAACAATTTATTTATTCCAGTTAATAAGGAAATTGAATGATACAAAAGCGTACTAAAAGTTTGCTTTACAGTATAATCCAACAATCTCCCACTTATACTAAAGCTAAACTTTTAGTATACAATGCAAAAACAAGCTCTCCCACTTATACTAAAGTCTAGCTGCAATGTATCGTAAACCAAGGCCCTCTACGTGTTTCTCGAAAACCTTAATGGGTAAAGTCTTCGTGAAGGGATCTGCCAAGTTGTCCAACGATGCAATCTTAGTGACAGCTATGTCTCCTCGCTTTACGATGTCTCGTATGATGTGGTACTTCCTTTCTATGTGTTTACTTGCTTTATGAGCTCTAGGTTCTTTTGAGTTTGCCACTGCACCAGCGTTATCACAATAAATGATTACACGCTCAGGCATACTCTCAGACACCCCTAAGTCATACAAGAAGCTCCTGAGCCATACAGCCTCTTTTGCTGCTTCAGAAGCAGCAACATACTCGGCTTCCATGGTAGAATCTGCGATGCATTTCTGCTTTACGCTTCTCCATGAAATAGCTCCGCCTCCCAAGGTAAACGCATAACCCGAGGTTGACTTTCTCTCATCTCGATCACCTTGAAAATCTGAATCAGTGTAACCCAAAGGAACTAGATTGTCAGACTGGTAAACCAAACTATAATCTCGAGTTCTTTTCAGATACTTGAGAATATGTTTTACCGCAATCCAGTGTCCTTGACCAGGTTTGGACTGATACCTAGCTACCATGCCAACAGCATAGCAGATATCAGGCCTCGTGCACAGCATGGCATACATGAGACTTCCTACAGCCGAAGCATAAGGAATGTTAGCCATCTCATCTATCTCCTTTTGTGTTTTAGGACACATATCCTGAGATAGAGCAACTCCATGTCTGAAAGGTAAGAATCCTTTCTTGGAGTTCTGCATGCTGAAACGGGCAAGCACAGTATCAATGTAGGCGGCTTGAGATAAGCACAACATTCTTTTCTTCCGATCACGAGTGACCTTCATACCAAGAATGTACGATGCATCTCCCATGTCCTTCATTTGAAACTGTTCAGAAAGCCATACCTTTACGTCTAATAATATCTTGACATTGTTTCCAATGAGAAGAATATCATCTACGTATAGTATCAAGAATACCACTACGTTTCCGTTGCACCTCTTGTACACACAACTTTCACTTGGACATTGTTCAAATCCAAAGGATTTGATCACCTCATCAAAGCGAATATTCCAAGATCTGGAAGCTTGTTTAAGTCCATAAAGAGACTTCTTTAGCTTCCAGACTTGATGCTCTTGGCCTTTCTTCACATAACCCTCAGGTTGCTGCATATAGATGTCCTCATCCAGATTCCCGTTAAGGAATGCTGTCTTGACATCCATTTGCCAAACCTCATAGTCCATGTGACTTGCTATGGATAAGAGTATCCGGATTGACTTTAGCATGGCTACTGGTGAAAAGGTTTCATCATAATCGATGCCCTCTTTCTGGGTAAAACCTTTTGCAACCAACCGTGCCTTGAAGGTAGTAACCTTCCCGTCAGGTCCTCTCTTACGCCTAAAGACCCATTTGCTCCCAAAGGCTTTCTTGCCTTTGGGAAGGTCTTTGAGGTCATAGACCTCCATAGCATGCATGGATTCTATTTCTGAATCCATGGCCTTATGCCAAGAATCTGCATCAACATCTTGGATTGCCTCTTTATAGGTACAGGGATCAGGTTCTTGTTCATCACTAGGGACTGAATCCGAGGACTCTCCCACTAACAAGAAACGACTGGGTAATCGAGTTACCCTCCCACTACGCCGAGGCAAATCATGTGTGGTGACATAAGGATCAACACGCTGTGCAGTTTGTTGTGGTATATCTTCTTGTACACTTGGTACTTGATTGTCTCCCCTTAATTCGTAAAGAATAATTTCACTTGGGGTCTTATGCTCATGCATATAGTCTTCTTCTAAAAACCTGGCATTGGTGCTCACCACTACCTTCTGGTCTTTAGGACTATAAAAACAACCTCCTCGTGTTCCTTTAGGGTATCCTACAAATAGCCGTACTTCCGTCCTAGATGCCAACTTATCAGCTTCCTTGTCCAACACGTGTGCTGGACAGCCCCAAATCCGAATGTGGTTCATGCTGGGCTTTCGCCCGGACCACAATTCTATTGGGGTTTCAGGAACTGATTTGGAAGGCACATAATTCAGGATGTACGCTGCTGTTTCCAAGGCATATCCCCAAAACGAGATGGGTAGAGAAGCATAACTCATCATTGACCTCACCATTTCTAAAAGAGTCCTATTCCTCCTCTCTGCCACGCCATTCTGTTGCGGAGTACCAGGCGCAGTCAACTGGGATGTAATCCCATTCTCTAACAAATATTGCCTAAATTCAGCGCTAAGGTATTCGCCACCACGATCAGACCGTAATGACTTGATACTTTTACCTTGACGGTTCTCCGCTTCTGCCTTGAATTCTCTGAACTTGTCAAAGCATTCAGACTTGCGGCGCATCAAGTAAATGTATCCATATTTTGAGTAGTCATCTGTGAAAGTCACAAAATACTCAAAACCACCCCTAGCTTGAATTGACATAGGCCCACATACATCAGAGTGAATCAATTCTAACACTTCATTAGCCCTATTTCCCTTGGCCTTAAAAGACCTGGAGGTCATCTTGCCTTCCAAGCAGGACTCGCAGACTGAGAATGGTTCCACTTGTAGAGAGTCCAAGAAACCACTGCTCACTAGTCTTTGGATCCTCCTAAGGTTGACATGACCCAATCTAAGGTGCCAAAGATATGTTTGATTCGATTTAGAAGATTGTTTTCTTTTTAATGATGAAGATGCATGAACTTGAGTATTGGTTTCAGTTTGATGCGCACTAGTAATAGTATAAAGATTGTTTTCCAATGTGCCAGAACAGATAACAACTTTGTTTCTCATAATAAAAACGCTTTTATTAAAAACAACTGAATATCCATCCACAAAAAGTTTCGAAACTGAAATTAAATTCTTTCTAAAACTTGGCACATACAAAACGTTCTTTAAAACTAAAACTGAATCA